AATGATCGCGATCGCACTCCGCAGAGTCTTGACGCCGACCGACTTGATGTCGACGCCGTCGATCGAGATGGAGCCGGACGCGAGCTCGTTGATGCGGAAGAGCGCCATGGTCAGACTCGACTTGCCGGCGCCCGTGCGCCCGACGATGCCAATCTTCTCGCCCGACGCAATGTCGACGTTGACGTCCTTGAGCACGAGCGCATCGTGCTCCTTGTAGCGGAAGCTCATGTTGCGAAACGTGATATGGCCCGTCGTCGGCCAGTCGTGGGCCGTCGCTCCGTGGATCACACGGGGCGCCTCCGGTGCAATCGCCGCGTACTCGGAGAGACGCTCGGGGCCGACCATGGCCGTCTCGAGCGATGACCAGCACTGCACGATCCACTCAAAGAACGGGAGGATCGAGAAGGCATAGTTGAGGACGAGGCCAATGACGCCGGGGCTGATAAAGTCCTTGGAGAAGACGAGCGAGGTCGCAATCACAAGCAAAATGACCGCCGACGTGAGCTGAATGCGCATCGAGAACCACTGCGCAAAGACCGAGCTCACAAAGTTGGCCTCGAGGTTGCCATCCACGTTGCGGTGATGGAGGCGCTGGAAGCGGCGCACTTGCTTCGGGCCAAACGCGCGAATCACAAGCGCGCCTTCAATGCACTCGGAAATCAAGTTGATCATCGGCGACCGCGTCGTCTTGTTGACGCGCTCCATCTCGCGCGCCGGTGTCACATAGACGTTGCCAATGTAGACGTAGATAAAGAGGAGCGGGACGATGAGCAAGCCAAACGACCGAATGACAATAATGGTCGTGCCGAGGGCGAAGGCTGCCATGAAGACCATCGCGAGGAAGCTGCTGAGCGTGTTGGCGATCTGCGTATCGACCGTCGTCACGTCGCCGGCGTACCGGTTCAAGATGCGTCCGAGCGGGTTGGTATCAAAAAAAGTCATGGGTGCCTTCAGCAGCGCCTTGGTCATGTCCTCAAAGAGCACGCGCGACGCCTTCAGGCCCGAGAGCAGAATCGACGCCGTGCGGAGGATCGTGAGCACGATACCACCCAGTGCCAGCGCCGCGTACACGCCGAGGTAGTACTCGGCCTCGTCCAAAAACGTCTCCTTGGAGACGACGGCCGCCGTCGCACTCCACGTACTGAGCCAGAAATCACCGGCGATCGCGAGGGCTTGCCACACCGAGAGAAGAACGACCCAGAGAAACACCATGGGCCAGCCGCCGATCGCGTCGAGGTACGCCGAGAAGATCTTGGTCGAGACGCGGCCGTGACTGCGCTCTTCGTCGAGGATGAGCTTGCCGCCGACCGTCTCTTCATCAAACGTCATGTTGCCGTCGCCAAACGGCGTGTACGAGGCGCCCATAAAGTCCATGGGAAAGGGCGATGCGACTGTCGGCGTCAAGAAAAGGTCCCGGTTCGGCACTGCACGCGCCTTGGGATCCAACTCGAGCTCTTCGTCGGCCGCAAAGCCAACGCGCGCCTTCAGTGGCGAGATAAGGATTGGCGCGTCTAGCTTCTCGACGTCGGTGACCAGCAATTTGCCTTGCTTGAGCTCGATCGACCGGTCAATGTACGAGGACGCAATGATCTCGGGCGAGTGCGTCACAAGCACGATCGTCTTGTGCCGGAGGAGACCGAGAAAGCACTTGGTGAAAATCTCATTCGACACGATCGCGTCGACGGCGGACAAGGGCGAGTCCAACAGAAAAATGTCGGCGTCGCTGTAGCACGCGCGGGCGAGCGAGATGCGCGCCTTCTGGCCGCCGCTGAGGTTGACGCCTTTCTGGCCAATCTCGGTGCGGTCGCCGGCGGGAAAGAGCGTCAGGTCTTTACTCAACGCACACGCGTCCAAGACGGCGTTGTATTTTTTCCGGTCGTACGGCTTGCCAAAGAGGATGTTGTCGCGGATCGTGAGGTTCTGGATCCACGCCTGCTGCGAAAAGTACGCGACGTGCCCGCCCACGAAGACCGACCCGTGGCGCTTGTGCATCTCGCCGAGCAGCGCCGACATGAGCGACGACTTGCCTTCGCCGACCGCGCCGTGGACTAAGACAAACTCGCCACGCTTGATCTGGAGATTGATGCCGTGGAAGAGCGGCTTGCCATTGACGTCCCATGCAAACGTGGCGTCGGCAATCTCAATGTCAATCTTCTTTTCGGCATACGCGTTGAGTTCCGACGTTGAGATGGTCTCGGGCGTCTTGACGACATCATTGTCCTTCTCGCCCATGTTGAGAAACTCCATGATGCGCTTCAGCGCGACGACCGCCTGCATGAGGTTGGCGACGATCTGCGGCAGGTTCATCATCGGGCCGCGGAGCAGCGTGAAGAGGGAGAGCGCGGTAAAGACCTTGGCGGCCGTCACTGCTTGCTGCATCACGAGCGCGTAGATGGCAAACGACGAGACAGTGACGAGGACGGGCGCCGAGTAGAGGCAGCCAATCTGCACCGATGTGAGCGTCACGATGTAGCTGAGCGTCGACACTTCGTCGCGGCGGAGGTCGGCAATCTTGTCGCCAAACTTCTCTTCCCACGCGTTGAGCTTGATGATCTGCATGGCGCCAAAGACCTCGTTGACAGCCTTCATGCGCTCGTCCTTCTGCGCCATGAGCGTCTTGAACGCGTTGCGCTGGGCGATCGCGAGCACATTGTTGCTGAGGAGCGTGATCGCAATGACGGCGGCGCCGACAAACGTCGCCCACCCAATGACGTCGTAGAGCATATAGAGCACGATAAAGAGCTGGAGCGGAATGAGCCAGATCTGGTTCGAGTACATGGCGAACGAGATGATCCACTGGATGTCGGACGAAAACATGTTGGCGATTTCGCCGGCCGTCTTGTCCCGGCGACAGGCCGCGTCAAGGACGAGCGCTTTCTGGAAGAGGAGGTGCTGCAGCGCCGACGTGATCTTGATCGTAATGAGCTGGTTGGCGAGGTTGGCATGCGCCGTGAGGATCGCCTGCAGCGCCTTCACGGCAAAGAGAGAGACGACAAACTGGAGCACGTGCACGAGGTCGAACGACGGGCCTTCGACTGCGGTCAAGATGGTCCGGAGCACGATCGGCCCGTACAAGGTGCAGCCCAACGTGAGCGCCTGGAGGAGGCCCACAAAGAAGAGCCGCCAGCCGTAGAGCGAGAAGATGGTCTTGACGATCGAATGCGACGACGCGAACGACGGCTCAAAGACGCCGCTCACGACCTTGCATGTGTTTTCTGGCGCCAGCGGCCAGAGGTCGTCCGGGTCGATCTGGCGTTCGTGGCCGAGCGCGAGGAGCGCGTTCGCCCAGCCAAACGTGATCTTGGAGAGGTAGCCCGCGCGCGTGAGCGGGTGCGTCGGGTCGGCCGCCGGCTTGGCGGTCGCCGCCACCGACATGTACTTGGCCATACTGCTGCTGCTGCTACGCCAATCGAAGAATGGCTTGCTAACCAGGGCGCTCGGATCCAGGAACAATCCGCGATCCTGAAACAGCAGGTGGCGTGGTATTTTATTCGACACTGGTTATTTGTATGTCGATTGCATCGGTCGCATTAAAATAGAAAGGGCAACCTGGGAACGGGACCCACCCAAGACGTGCCATTTGGCGAGCGATGATGATGGAACCGACAACCCTTCTGGGCCATCCACGACGAGTTCGCGACCGTCATTCTTGCGGCCGCCACGACCGACCACGTTGGCTACTGATGATCCCTGAGTTGATTTGGCGACGTCTAGAAGCCAGGCCGATTTGGGTGCATAGCCCGTGCATCGCACGAGACAAGAAGAGGGCAGTGTGTCCAGGAGGATGTGCTGCACGCTGTACGAAGGGACAGCACTGGCGCCGACCAGACGTAGTGGCTGCCGCGAGAGTGGCACGTCGACGCCGCAGATTGCCAGCAGAGGCTCGTCGCGTGTATGCTGCGGCGCCTGTCGCGGCTGCATGGCCTCGGCTCACTCAATGATGGCTACTGTACGCCAAAGGAAAGTCCTTGGTAAGCCTAGTACTACATGAGAGGACGGCGTGGGTGGTGAATCTACCTAGCTGCAAAAATGAGGCTTTCGTCGGTCTCGAACTGTAGTCTTGTTGTCGCATCAATCGCTGCAAGGATGCATTCGACCATACCTGCGATACGCGATAAGCGATCGTGCACCCTTCCCGGCGTCAATAATTCTTGTCGAGGAAATATAATTTGGATGATTTTGGTGTGGACAATGCAATACTCTGCTTTCGCCATCTAGCGCAAAAGCCTTTGGTTTACATCGGCCAGTGAGGGAGCCCACGCACATGTAGGCATAGAATCGCATTTCGCATCCCGTCGCTCCGCCCTGAGTCACCCTCGCTCGCGATAGTCTGTGATGGAGTGCAATTATATTGCAATAAATAGCAATTTATTGTATCCAAAGCAGCAACTCGACGCCGGTGCTAGATCGAGGAGTCCATCAACGTCAAGGCCGCACAGTAGTCGGGACAACGACTTATGTAGCTCCAGATCAGAGAAGTTTCGTACTGTCCATGCATGTGTCTTTTGTTCATGGTCCAAGGAAGATTGACCAGTGTCCAACATGAAGGCGGTTTCGCGATGTGGTCAGTTGATACATCGATACGATTTGAAACGCTTCAAAACACGAGCTTCTGGCAATACAAACGACGCTACTGCTCTGACATGTCGTCGCGAATCGCTAGCATCATGGCGTAAAGGTCCAACGAAATGTGCTCGGTGCCGCGGGCGACATACAACTCCCGGTCCGGCCCGGGCCAGAGGTCCTCGACCGCCAGTTTAAGGGTCGGACACGCCAACGTCGCATGGGCCCATTTCGTGTGGCCCAGTGCAAGCTCGCTTGCAATCTCGTCATCAAAGATCTCCATCGTGGCCAGAATGTCGTCGTCGATCGTCGCCTTCTCGTCCAGTGTCAACGGGGCCGAGCCAAAGCTGGCTGCAAACTGCAGCACCACGTGCCCCGTAGCGTTGCGACCGTACTGGAGCACGACAGCGCTAAAACGCTGTGGATCGTCCGCGTCCGCGTCGAGAAAGTACTTGAAGGCCAGCGCCACGCGGAGCCCCGCCAGCATGTCGAAGTAGCCCTTCATCCAGGCCACGATGGTCGAGATGCTTCGGTTCACGACCTCGAGCTCAATGACCATGATCGGCGGGAGCATGGCGCCGTCGGCGTCTACACATGCCATCTTCGAGTCGGCGATGCGCACCTCGCCGTTCGCAATGATCGGGCGGCTCTGGGTCATCTCAAACGTCGAGCTATACGGCGGCCGCGTGATGGCGCGAACGATGTAAATCGAGGCGAGCGTCGATGGGTCATCGGCGTCACCTTCGTACGTGGCCGACAAGATGACGCCGCAGAGACGGCTGTCATAGTCGTCGGCGAGCCACTCGACCAGCGGCACGTTACGTGCTACGAGCATGCGTGGCGCGTCGTCGACCTGCGCCTGAAAGAGGGTGGCGGCGGCCTCAAGGCCTTCGCGCATGACGGCGCCTTCCATGATGGTGAACGGAGCCGTGCCGGAAGCGGGTTGCATGGCAGCGAAAATTGCGTTGTGAAGTTTCTTCTTCCAGCGGTGTTTTTTCAACGGGCACGAGAAGAAGCAGGGACAGTGCATGATCGACTGTCATTTTTATGGTGGAGAAGGCACCTGTTCTCGTCCACACCGGGGCACATCATTACACCGCGACGAGAGGGGCAGATTGCATCTTGGTGGCGACCGAGACCTTACGAATGGTGCAATGGTCAAGTACCGAGAAGACTGGCGAATATGAATCGAAACAAGACCAGAGCAGTCCAACATCAATTTTTGAAGTGTCTTGCGTTGTGTCTGCAACCGACCTCCTTGGATGAGCGATGGGAGCCAAAAAGATTGTTCTAGACCAGCTGATCTTGCCTCTGTACCAAGTGCGGCTGCACGCCTCGATTTGAGCGCATGATGCATCGCCGGCATGGATACCTACTACCATTAGCTCGCTAAATTGAAAGTCTCGAATGGGATTACCATCTATCTACTCGTGCAAAGTTAGTCAAGTAGACAACAAATCCTGCGCGCGAGGGTTTCTCAAGGCGGAAAGCAGGGCTCCACGCGAGATCATGGCGACGGCGTAGGGGTTGATGAAAAGGCTCGTAAGATTTGGCGGCGCAGCGCCGAGCAAGTGGCATCGTCTTGGTACCGGAGAACGTCGGGTGGGCCCACTCATCATGACCCAGAGCCACTTCGTGCGCAATTCCGTCTTCGAAATGCTGCATCGCATCGCGCACCTCGTCACTCATCCCGTGCAAAGATTGAGGCGTGAGCGGCGCCGTGCCAATGCTCGCAGCAAATTGGAGCGTCGAAGCGCCGCCTCCGCCCAGAACGTACTTGAGCGCGACTGCGCCAGAGCGACCAACTTCGCTTTCTGGATTCTCAAAAGCTTGATGGCGATAGCCGTGCGCGTCTCGAGGCTGATAAAGTCCTTGATCCATAGCTCCAAGACGGAAAAAGATCGGTTCTTGTAGTCGAGCTCCAGCACCACGCACGAATCCTTGAGGCACTTCCACCCACGAATGCGCTGAAAGATCGCAATGTCTGGCTGGCGCCCTTTGCCATCGAGCGTGAGATCCTCGCAAGGTCCGATGGAGAACGCATCGCGAGAGTCGATCTTCTGGATGCTAAGATCATCCATCGTATCACCTAAAGACTGCGCCTGCGCGCGACTGAGCGTACGTCGGACGATGAATATCGTAGCCAGCGTCGCTGGATCCCGAGGATCACCATCAAACGTGGCACCGAAAACGACGCGGAACTGCCGGCCGTGCAGCGTCTCGTCGTCGAGCCACGCTACCAGCGGCACGTTGCGTGCAATGAGCATCGGAGACATCTCGCCATCACGGGCGCAAAAGACCTTGGCTGCGGTCTCAAGCCCGTCCAAGGTGAGAGCCCCGTCCATGACGTCACATTCTGGCAGTATGCTGCCAGTTGTGGCCATGATGTGTGAGGACTCTTGCTCTTGGAACACAACTTGGCTATATTGCTGGCACGGGCAGGCCGCGCCATTTTCTTTCTTTTTGGGGTGAAGAATGGTCGACCTGGTGTGGTTGGGACGAGACGATAGGCGCATCTGTAACTGACTGCCATGTGAGCCTGCCACGTCATCGAGGCATGCCCAACCAATATTAATATAGTACGACACCTAGTGGCGAGGGCGCGCTTGGGTAGTTACCAGAGTCTACGATGTTGTGCATCAATGTACAATTCCACACAAGTATAAATCTATGGTTATAGTTTCCGGATCAATGTTACTCTACGGCGACGAGAGCACCTTGTCGAGGTACCCGCCTTCGGTGCAGAGCTCGTAAAAGATGCCGGTGCCGTCGTCAATCAACTGCTGCGGCGTGTCGCACTGCACGAGTCGGCCTTGGTCAAACACGAGGATGCGGTCGCAGTCCAAGACCGTGTCGAGACGATGTGCGATCGTGAGGACGGTCGAGGCCGCAAACGCGGTCCGGATCACGCGCTGGAGGTTCTGGTCCGTCTCGTGGTCGATCGCAGCCGTCGCTTCGTCCATGACCACGATGCGCGCCTGCCGAAGCAGCGCCCGCGCCATGCACAGCATTTGCCGCTCGCCGACGCTAAAGTTCTCGCCGTTCTCTTCGACGTGGCTCTCGAGCTGGCCGTCGACCGACGCGATGCGCGACTGGAGCATGACTTTCTTAAGCGCGTCCCAGAGCTGGTCGTCGCCATAGTCGCTGAACGGATCCAAGTAGTTGCGCAGCGTGCCCTTGAAGAGCACGGGGTTTTGCGGAATGATCGCGATCGCACTCCGCAGAGTCTTGACGCCGACCGACTTGATGTCGACGCCGTCGATCGAGATGGAGCCGGACGCGAGCTCGTTGATGCGGAAGAGCGCCATGGTCAGACTCGACTTGCCGGCGCCCGTGCGCCCGACGATGCCAATCTTCTCGCCCGACGCAATGTCGACGTTGACGTCCTTGAGCACGAGCGCATCGTGCTCCTTGTAGCGGAAGCTCATGTTGCTAAACGTGATATGGCCCGTCGTCGGCCAGTCGTGGGCGGTCGCACCGTGGATCACCCGGGGCGCCTCCGGTGCAATCGCCGCGTACTCGGCCACGCGTTCGGGGCCGACCATGGCCGTCTCGAGCGACGACCAAATGCGAACAATGCTCTCGAGCTGCGGAAGGACGGTGAGCGCGTAGTTCATCACAAGCCCAATGAGCCCCGCGTTGAGGTACGACCGCATCGCGATGAGCGCGCCCGAGATGACGAGGATCATGACCGCCGAGATGAGCTGGATGCGAAGCGAGAACCACTGCGTCACGACCTGGCTCGCCCACGTCGCTTGGTTGCTGCCGTCGACGTTGTGGTGATGGAGGCGCTGGAAGCGGCGCACTTGCTTTGGGCCAAACGCGCGAATCACAAGCGCGCCTTCGATCGCTTCCGAGATCAAGTTGAGCATCGGCGACCGCGCCGTCTTGTTGACGCGCTCCATCTCGCGGGCCGGCTGAATGTAAAACTGGCCGACCTTGAGGTAGAGAAGGAGCAGCGGCAGCAAGATCAGGCCGAGCGACTTGACGACACAAATCGTCGTCCCGAGCGAGAAGCCGACGATGAAAATGTTGGCCGACATGGCGCTCAGGCTCGACGGAATCTGCTGGTCGACCGTCGACATGTCGCCCGAGTACCGGTTGAGGATGCGTCCGAGCGGGTTGGCGTCGAAAAAACGCATCGGCGCATGCAGCAAGGCCGACGTCATGTTGGCAAAGAGCGATCGGGACGCGCGGAGACCCGCAACGTAGATCGAGAGCGTCCGAAAGACGGTCAGGATCACACCGCCAAACGCAAGCCCGGCGTAGATCGAGAGGTACCACGGCGCCTGCAAGGCAAACGTCTCGCGGCTCTCGGTGGCCGTCGACGCGCTCCACTTGCTGAGCCAGAGGTCGCTGCCAATCGAGAGGCCTTGCCAGAGCGAGAGCACCGTGATGAGGTAAAGCACCATCGGAAGGCCGCCAATCTGCTTCATGTAGTTGAAGAAGACGGCCGACGAGACGCGGCCATGGCTGCGCTCCTCGTCCTGGACAAGGCGGCCGTCCGGTGCGCCATTTTCCGCGTACACCTTTTCGGTCGCGTCGACCGGCGTGTACGAGAGCCCGTCAAACTCGGCCGAGTACGGCGACGACGCGGACGGCGTCAAGAGCAAATCAAAGAGCCGCGACGTCGGCGCGTCATCATCATCGACCACGTCGTCCTTGACAAAGCCAACGCGCGCCTTCAGTGGCGAGACCAGGAGTGGCGCGTCTAGCTTCTCGACCTCGGTGACCAGCAATTTGCCTTGCTTGAGCTCGATCGACCGGTCAATGTACGAGGACGCAATGATCTCGGGCGAGTGCGTCACAAGCACGATCGTCTTGTGCCGGAGGAGACCGAGAAAGCACTTGGTGAAAATCTCGTTCGACACGATCGCGTCGACGGCGGACAAGGGCGAGTCCAAAAGAAAAATGTCGGCGTCGCTGTAGCACGCGCGAGCGAGCGAGATGCGCGCCTTCTGCCCGCCGCTGAGGTTGACGCCTTTCTGGCCAATCTCGGTGCGGTCGCCGGCGGGAAAGAGCGTCAGGTCTTTACTCAACGCGCACGCGTCCAAGACGGCGTTGTATTTTTTCCGGTCGTACGGCTTGCCAAAGAGGATGTTGTCGCGGATCGTGAGGTTCTGGATCCACGCCTGCTGCGAAAAGTACGCGACGTGCCCGCCCACAAACACCGACCCGTGGCGCTTGTGCATCTCGCCGAGCAGCGCCGACATGAGCGACGACTTGCCTTCGCCGACCGCGCCGTGGACCAGGACAAACTCGCCGCGCTTGATCTGGAGGTTGATGCCGTCGAAGAGCGGCTTGCCACTGACGTCCCAAGCAAACGTGGCGTCGGCAATCTCAATGTCAATCTTCTTTTCGGCATATGCGTTGAGTTCCGACGTTGAGATGGTCTCGGGCGTCTTGACCACGTCATTGTCCTTCTCGTCCATGTTGAGAAACTCCATGATGCGCTTCAGCGACACAAAGGCCTGCATCATGGTGGCAATGATCTGTGGCAAGCTGATCATCGGGTACTTGAGCAAGGTGAAGAGCGAGAGCGCGGTAAACATCTTGGACGACGACAACGACTCCTTCATGACGAGCGTATACACGGCAAAGGATGCCGTCGTGACAAGCGCCGGAGCCGTGTAGAGGAGGAACGTCACCGACGACTGGAGACGCCAGACTTTCCAAAGCGTCGTGAGCTCGGCTTCGCGGCACGTTGAGATCTTGTCGCTGAATTTCTCTTCCCACGCGTTGAGTTTGAGAATTTGCATCGCGCCAAAGACTTCGTTGATCACGTTCATGCGTGCGTCCTTGCGCACCATGACCTCCTTGAACGCTGCTCGCTGGGCGCGCGCAATCACGTTGTTGATGACCATGGTGAGGAGGAGGACGCCAGCACCAGCAAACGTCGCCACCCGATGACGTCGTAGAGCATGTAGAGCACGATGAGGATCTGGATCGGGATGAGCCAGAGCTGGTTGAGGAAGATCGAAAAGTTGATGATCCACATGATGTCGGTCGAAAACATGTTGGTGATTTCGCCGGCCGTCTTGTCCCGGCGACAGGCCGCGTCGAGGACAAGCGCTTTCTGGAAGAGGAGGTGCTGCAGCGCCGACGTGATCTTGACGGTAATGACTTGGTTGTCAAAGGTTGCGTGCGCGGCGACGATCGCCTGCAGCACCTTGACGGCAAAGAGCGAGACGACGTACTGCAGCACGATACGCACATCAAAGCCGGCGTCTTCGGCCTCGATGGCCTCGAGCACATGGCGCAGCACGATGGGCCCGTACAGCGTGCAGAGCACCGAGCCCACTTGGAGGAGCCCGATGAAGAAGAAGCGCCAGCCGTACGTGGCGAGGATCGTCTTGATGACCGACCGCGTCGCGCGGAACTTGGGCTCAAAGACGGCCGAGACGAGCCCGCACTTGTTCTCGCTCTGGAGCGGCCAGAGGTCCGACGGGTCGAGCTGCCGCTCGTTGCCAAGCGTCAGGAGCGGCGTCGCCCATGCATAGAACGTCCGCGAGAACCAGCCGGCGGTGTCCACCGGGTGCGTCGCCGCCGGCGCTGGCGCGGCCGCCGCCACGCTCTGGTACTTGGCGCCTGCCCGAGACATTTCCGAAATGAACCGAGTGTTCCGACCTATGGTCAAGATACACTTGGTGTTTGTATGGTCGTCGATATTTTTATCCGGCATGAATCCGGATAATGCGACCCAATTCGAAGTGATAGCGAGCGGCCGCTGGGACATGCCACGTGTTTAACGTGTTTAACGCGTAGGGCAAACCGTTCGCTTCAAGGCTGCAAGGTACTCTGAAGGACAGAGTGGCCGCGGTGATTTCGCCAGAGCTACGACGACGATTGGGGCGTCGAGTGTAGTAGCGTATGGGTACAGTGTAGCACCAGTACTCAACCAGACCGACCATTTGCCAAGGCCACCAAAACGTATAACGTTGCAGCAAGAATTCTTGCTGGTTAAATGCACGGGTTAAACAGGGGCAGAGAAGAACGCGACGGGAACTTGGTTCTAGGAGACGTGGTCATTGCATCAAGGTGCAGAGGGATGTGGAGGGGCATACACTCCTTCCCATCGCGGGGTGCTTTCATTCTTCAGTGCGCCGACCCGCGTAAAACGTGGGGTTTAACGTGCCAGCTGGCGGCTGCAACAGTCCAAGGTTGTGGTCCGAGGTTGCGCTTCGAATGGCAATTATCAGATTTTTGCCAAATCGGTTCGTGTTTACCGTACCACAGCGTGCAACTCGGCGAAAGGTCGCCAACCCCAAGGAGGAGTTGCCATCGGAATATGCAAATGATGGGACTCGATCTGGTGGAAGCAGCCAGGAGAGCCCCCTTTTTCCCTTGCCTGGCCCGGCAATCGTTGAATTCTACTCTAATATTATTCAAGAAGTGTTGAAAACGGGTGCATCTCCATGCAACAACACGGCTTATCGATGCTTCAAGCGAAGTAACACCTCGGCTTTATACGCTCTTGCTTAAACTACGGCGTCGGATAAGAGTACTCCGACAAGATTTCCACGAGCGACAGGCAAATATCCATGTATCCATCGGTCCGTCTAGGACGCACGGTGTAAATTTGGGCCTTGTTGGGTACCAGACAAGTCTAGTCGGCGGCGGTACTAGTAGGTGCAATGCATTCTCGTCCTCATCGAGCTATCAAACCTATCTTGGCTCGGTCATGTCGCCATGTGAGCACAGGTGAGCTTACTACATGACAGGAGAAGATAAACTCCGCGCCACCAGATCTGCACTGGCAGATATGTCTTCCAGTTGTGGTCGTTCTTACTAGACTGTCGGCGGTCTCGTCTCGCGAATGACCACATGCATTCCTGATCCTGGATACCCTACCATCACTCTGACTGGTGTTCAACACACGTAAGAAACACGATGAAAAACATCCCATCCAGCGATTCGATTCGCTGAAACATATTCTTTCTGGCCAATCAGCGATGACGCGAGAGTGGCCACACGCCGCTCCGAGCTTGGATCGCCAATCTCATGATTGAACACGAAATCGCCCATACTTGGCAGGTGCATAAAATCTGCTCTCTAGAGCATGACGCGCCAACTCGCGTCGCCGATGGACGAGTCTAGCGTGAGAAATTGCACGTACAAGTTTCATCGGCACATGCCACTTTTAGACGTCAAAAGAAGCCGCCAGATGCCGAATCCAAGATCGCAACTACCATCATCCCAGCGATGGCAAGCGCGGTCCCGCATGTCCTCGAGACCCTTGCGTGCTTCCTGCCGTCGTACGATGCGCTCGCAGCGTTCTTACATGCGCTGCCTCGCGACCTCTTGACGCCGTCGATGCAAGCGCTCTCTTCGCTGGTCGAGCTTGCGCTGCCGCCGACGCTCGCGCTGGTCATCGAGGTCCCGTTGGCCTTTGAGCTCCATGGTCGTCTGTCGCGCGACGTCTGCGCGCTCATCCAGGCAACGCTACCGCTAGCACCGCGTGTGCATGTGCGCTACGCAATCTACGAACGATGCGATGTCGAGCTGCTCGAGCAGTACCTTTGCGACGCGCTCGTCGAGGTCACGATCAAGTGCAGTTGGCATCCGATGGTCCTCGACGACGCCTTCTTCGTGCGCGACACGCTCCTCGCCTGCCCGCTCCTCGAGCGCTTGCGCATCGTGCGCGGCCACTCGTCGGCGTTGCTGGACCCGCTCTGGCTGAATGCGCTGCTCTCGGTCCTTCCGCACGTGCGTCATTTCCATTTTCGGGGCTACCGCCTCACGAACGTGTCCCACACGGCGCTTGCTTCCGCGCTCCTGGCGTGGCTCGAGGCGCCGCATAGTGCATCCCTGGCGCTGCGCGACGTGGCGTTCGATTTAGACCGCCAGACATCCCCGCTTGCCTCCGCGCTGGTGGCGGCCATTGGCACGTCGACCTCGCTGCAGTCGCTGCGTCTCCGCGATGTGGATCTCTTCAAATACGGCGTACCGCACCTGCCGCCGCAGCTTGTGCATCTCGAGTGGGACAAGTACGCGGCGCCGTCGGCGTTTCCGCCGACGCTGCCCCGGCCGATGGTCCGTGCGCTGTTGGAAGCCGCGCAGCTACGCTCGCTCGGGTGCGCACAGCTCACAAGCGCCATCGACCGCGACATGCTCCGCCCGGCGCTGGCGCGGCTCACGCACGCGTCGATCTTTGCGCCGCAGCAGAACATCCCGCGGCTCCTGCGTGGGCTTGTGCACCTGCACCGCCTCGAGCGATTGGACCTCAAGCGCAACGAGCTCACGACCACGCAGCTCGAGGCGTTCTTGCGCCTCTTGCCCGACTTGCGCCACTTGCGCCACTTGAACTTGGCCGAGAATTCGCTGGAAATGACCGACTTGCAGAGACTCTTTGCGGCGCGCCTGCCCTTGGCGACGCTCAACGTGGCGTACCATCCGTGCGCATGGGACCAGTTTGTGCATCTCGTCCCGACCCTTGTCGAGGCCATGCAAACCATGACGTGTGTCGATGTCTTTAGCCAGTGGTGGCGCCACGAGCACCATGCCAAAATCCTCCACGCGCTCGCCAAGGCGAATGGTGACGGTGCCTTTTACGTTGCCGCCCATCGCGGCAGCGCGTCGATGGACGCGAAGACGCAGAATTTGATTGCGTCGCTCGGCCTTGGACGACAGTGGCACAAACCGCAGTGCGCTCTCCTCTTTTAAGACATGATGGGGCCGTTTTCAAGAAGTGGAATTCCGCGCAAGGTCGAGCGATCTAGAAGACCGGTTCCACGATCGCACACGATCCAAGATCCAGGCGCAGAGCCAACGAGCTCAAGCCAATTCCAGATTGGTCAAATTCAGTAACTACAATTGTACTGTAACTCACCTCGCGACAAGTGTCCTTTACAACAGACCCTTCAAAACGACAGCACCGCCATGGGCCAGCCCACTGCCGTGGGAAGAAACGATGTCTGCATCAACACCAAGCGGAGAATCACGATGGCAGAGCCGTCGACCGCTGCGTCGACAGAGATATGGTAGCGTGTTGCTAATTCGCATCCTGCGCTCTCGTCGTGCCACGTATTTCGCCGTCGCCGCGACGCTCTATCATGGGACAGTCGCGCGGCACGCCGTCGGTGCTCCACGTACCACCCACATCGTGGGCGCGCCAAGTCATCGCGGACCACAGAAAGGCCACTCATATCATTTCCCACTGGGACAGGATCCTGCAGACACGGTTCGCGGAGAGCCACCAGTTTGCGGTCGTGGCGCATAGAGACGTACGTGGCGCCCGCTCTGCGACGCTCCGCTGGAAACGAGTGGCCGTCCGCGACGCCACGTAGAGGCCGACTGGCGCTGAACCTTCGCAGCACCTTCTTCGGTCCATTGATTCCACTTGCAACTTCAACTTGGCTACGCTAAGAATGACATCGATTTTTAATGGCCTTCTCTGCGCTTTGATCTTTGGGTTTGTATGCGATGGAATAAAAGCGTCCGCCAAGAAATCTCAAAATTTAAAAAACGTCGCGCGCTGCCTGGCTATCTCTGGAGCGGGGTAGGTGTTTTGTAGCCAATCAGCGCGCGGCTTTGGCGCCGCCGAGAACAAAATCCGCAAAATGACACGGCAACATGGCGGTCGTAGCCAATCACCCGCCACCGTTCGCGATACAAGCCGGCGCGGTGTCTCCATATTTCTCAAGCCGCCGAGCAGTGGCTGCGGTGGGTCGTCTTTACCGTCGGCACCGAAGAAGTGGGGCTGCCATTAGTCGTCAACACGTCGACTAGTGCTGACTCTCGCGTGACCAACGCGTCAAAAAGTGACGTTCGACTACGCACTCTATCTTTGGGCATGAACCTCGCCCGCCACTACGCCTCGCCGCTCGAGGGCATGCGGACAGCGTCGCCGCCACCCGGCGCAACCCACCGCGACTTGCCCCGCTTCGACCAGCTCTACGCCAAGCAGCCACAGCGCGAGACGTCCGCTGTACGTAGAATCTGCGTTGACGAAATACGCATCGAACACGCTCCAATGTAGGAAGCCCAGGATCTTTTGCGGTCTCAAGAGCTCTTTTTGAGCGTCGTTTTGGACTGGCAACGACACGATTTGCCGCAGCACACGCAGGTGCAGCGCGTCCAGCACTACGCCGAGCCCACGTACAGCTCGTCATTTGAGAGCTCCGAAGGCTCGGACCACGAAGGTGGCCAAGCGCTCTTGAGCTTTACAAAAGCGCCGCCCAAGCCGATCGTCGACGATCCCAGCCCAACCAAGTAGGCATCATCGAGACAGATTTGGACCAGTATCTCACACCATGGCTCTGTTGGATAGCTTGCCACGGGTGCATCACATGCCGCTGAACCACCCGTCAGGCCCGCCGGCCTTGAGCCTCAACAACCTCCTTCCGGTGCCGTCCAAGAAGATTGGCGTCTACACGCCGCGCTCGCGCCGCGTCCTCATTGAGAAGTACATGGAAAAGCGTACCAAGGTACACCAAATGTCTGGCTTTTTTCCCATGTCACGGAAATCGTGTGCGTAGCGCCTGTCCCGCAAGAAGGTCCGGTACCGCGTGCGCAAGACGCTGGCCAACGCCCGGCCGCGCGTCAAAGGCCGGTTCGTCAAGACCGAGCAGCCGCTGACCGCCGCGGCCGTCGAGGAGATGGAGAAGCGCCAGCAACAGCCGTCGGCAGCGCACGCCTCGGACGCGATGGACTATCTGCACGCCTTTTTGAGCTTGAGAAGCGGTCCCGAGCCGACGTCACCGATATGCTCAGTAGCATCACGACGCTCATGCGGCGGCGCAACCACGACATCAACTGGGAAGAGTACGTGACCTGCTCGTTTAGCTCGCCGAGCTCACGCTGGCGTCACTAGCTTGGCGGCCAATCTCGAACAGTCGATGCTGGCGCTTCTGCCGCGCCAGCACAATGAGTCGCCGCTCCCGGACGTCCAAGCCGAGCTCATCAACCTGCTCGCCGACGCTGAAGACGAGTGCACCCAAGAGACGTACCTCCGAGCGCTCCACGGCTGCGCTCTATATGTAGCGTTGTGCCTCAGCCTCTACGCGAGCCTTCGGCACCCGAGCCTGTGGGACATGGACGACGAGCCGTCGCCCGTGTTGCACCACTACCTCGCCGACATCAAGCAGCTCTGGCTCCGGCGAAAGACCAAAAAGCAACAGACCTTCGATGCGTTCGAAGGCACAGTGCATGGGCTCGCGGCCGTCATCTGCCTCGGGTACGACGACGCCAAGCGCTACCTCAAGCCCCTCACGCTTTAAGGCGTACCCCCCACGCCACTTTGTATTTATGAAATTTCGACTATGTATGAATTGAATTTGTAAACTAATAGCTTAATATACTTTCAACAGACAATATTGTATGCTTCGCGACTGAACGCCCACACCGTGGCGGACAAACGTACTACCAGCCCTAGCAACAGTCCACCAGGAATGTCTAACCTACCACTTCTTGGCTTGCATGTCACTTCGCTCAGCTCCTCATAGCTCATTGCTAGCCCTTGAGGACTCTAAAGAGAGTTGTCTTTACTACGTTAAACCCGTACGAGGTCATCCGCGTAGCCCTTCGAGCCTGACAGTGTAGTCCTGTAGTCGGTGGCAGCTGCTAATAGCCATTACAAGTACGAACCTTGACAAGCAACAAGATCGCACCGGCAGAGGCTGCAAGTCGGGTAGGCATCCGGATAGAATGATCGTAACCGGACGCTACTTTAGCATTGGCGGTCGACTTGCCGTTGATATCCGCGATCCCGTCCATGACGCTGCTCGTGAAGAAGGTGCTCCAGCGCGTCCCGGGCGAGCGCCTTGGCATGACGCTCATCTCGCTCAACCCGAATGGCCCGGGCTCGGTCTTCGTCTCCTTCGTGCACCCAAGCACAGCAGCGGCCCGCGCCAACGTGTGCCCCGGTGCGACGACGACGACGACGACGATGACCTCATCGATGCAATCGCGACGTAGGCTGGGAAATCCTCGAGCTGAACACGAAAGGCGTGGACACACTCACGGTCGAGAAGATTGGCCAGTACGTGGCGGCGGAGAAGGGCCCGGTAACCTGCGACGTTGCGCGGCCTCGTCGCCCACCCTGCTGCCTGTCTAGATCACGGTCATCTTCAACAAGGCGCATTCGCCCGGCTACGACGAATGGAAGAAGAAGAACATACAGAGCATCCAAAGCGTCTGTCGAAAGCGCGCCATGGACAACGCGCTTGAAGCGCACGAGGCGGCAGAGGTTGCAGACGCGCCGACGAAGCGGCCGACGAGAGCATCGCTCGCGAAAGCAGCACCTGCCACACAAGGCCCCGTGACGCGGTCGTCGCCTGCAAAGACAACGAAGAAGGCGATGCGGTCGTCGCCGGAGCCCAAACAACAAACACGCAAGAAGCACGCACCCCAGCCGCCTCTCGAGCCCGAATCCACGCCTCTGCAAGCTGTCGCCACGCCAGAGCCGAAATCCAAGGTCAAGACTAAAGCAAAAGCGTCCGTGTCGTCGTCACCGCCGCCTCCAGAGAGCACACCGTCCAAGCGACCGGCGCCCCAGGTCCCTCGGGGCCAGCGACAGATGAGCGAATTCGTCGTCCCGATGAGCGCCCGTACAGTACACTACTGCGTGATGGAGTGGACTCATGATGCCTAGCGTCGTCGCCCGAGCCTGAAGAGGTGAGTGGGCCCAGCCGCGGGTCCCGCGCCGAGAACGCCAAGATGAACTTGGCCATCCAGCGGCTCATGGGCATGGGCTTCAAGCGCGACGACGCAATTTTGAGCTACGAAAAGACGGGCAGCGGCACGGTCGACCAATGCATGCTCTGGCTCGTCTCGTACATCGAAGAGCGCAAGTTTCTTGAAGACCTCAACAAGGCGCAGATCGCCTCCGAGCTTCAGAAACGCACTGACGACTCGCAGCTCAAAGAAGTATTACGCTCCTGTGATACATGCATATCATCTCGTATCCTGCTTGTAGAAGGCACAGGAGGAACTGCGTGCCACAACGACGTTGCGCAGTCTCTTTCCCGAGGTGTTGTATTCTCTGGTGTCGACTCGGCTCATGCGAAACTCATCTAGTCGGTCGTCTTTGCGGCCACGAGCCAGTTGGAGGCCTTCCAGCGCTTCATTGAAGACGACTTGACTCGCGTCTGTGCCGAGAACCAGCTGCGCACGCTCGTGGCCGAGCTTCTGACGCTCGAGGTCAAAGCTAAAAGGTGGTTTGGCCGCCCCGCCGAGTGTTACGTCGTGCAGCTCTTCGAGACGTTGACGCCGATTCTGACGGCCCATGCGCCCCGGGCGTGCTGCTGCCACCTGGCGGCGACGACGTCTTCGTGCGCGCTCGTGGCCGGCGTCGCGGCCGAAATCGCCGCCCTGAAGCATCATTTATACGCGATGCCCTCCAACACGGGTGGCATCCCAGAGGCCTTTCTCCAGGCCGACGAGAGCTTGCGGTATACGCTGGACGACGACGGCTTCGAAGTGCTCGACGTCGCCAAGAGCAGTGACGACGACGACGCATAATGAGTCGACCACTTGTCGTTCGTCGTCTCTTGTTTTGGTGTGGCATGCGTTGGTCGCGGTGGACTGCTCTGGGGTCCTACGGGTCGTACCAAGCCCATTGCAATGGACCATACATGTCGACGACGGACGGCCACCCCTGAACGAGTTGTATCGAAGATGGGGCGAAAAGTATCAACGTATCAACTCGTGTTTGCAATGGGTGGGCGTTGCGTGGATCGAGGCACCCTGCAAGCGATTTAGCCGACGTAGATGCCTTCGCCCGCGAACCAGAGACCGTTGTCGTTCTTGGTCGGCACGGCGTTGACTTCTTGCTGGCCGACAATCGGGCAGCGCGGACAGTTTTGGTTGTTGAAGCTCGCTGCGTGGTCGCTGTGGAGGTACCGCTGCGTCTCGACGTGGCGCAGGCGCACGAGGTCGTCGCGCGCCCAGCTCGGCGCCGCGCCGTTCGCACACGCTTCGTCGCCGGCCTTGCATTGCATGCCGCTTTCGCACTCGAGGATCCACGAGTCGCTGCGGTCGCCGTCGCCCGCAACGCCAAAACCGCTCACCTCGCCAAACCGACCATTCGAGAGCGGCGACGCAAAATGGTGCGAGTGCAAGTTGCGGCGCGTGTTGATGTGCTCGAGGCGGATCGTTGCGCCGCAGGCGATCTTAGCCCCCAAGGAGCACGCGGCGTCGCCGTCGCCTTCCTTGACCTAGCATCCTTATGAGAATGCATGGTCGTGCAAGCAAAGCACGTACCAGCCAGTAGCTGTTGTAGTCGTCGCGCGAGCCATGGGCTGTCACGGACTGCTGGCCGCTGCCCGTGCCATAGTTGACCTCGTGCGAGTGCAGGCGGAAGCGGCTCGCTTCGTGCACGAGCTTGATGGTGCTGCCGCAAGTGACGTACTCCATGCCAGCGGGATAGTGCAGCTCTGCGGACGCATCCTCTTTGCACGCGTCTTGGCACGTGAACGGGTGATGGTCGCAGTCGACTTCGCGGACGCGCCGCCGGTTCTCGCACTCGCAGTAGCCCGAGCTGCCCGACTGGATCGTCGAGCTGCAAGACGCATCGTACCACGAATCGCGCGGGCCCGCGGGGTCGCAGCCGGAGGTAGCTCGCCACTTGACGCAGCGCGGCTCGTCCGCGACGACCGCCGTCGACACCAGCGCCAACGCAATTGCGGCTGCCAGCATCCTCGTGAAAATGGCCCAGCGCGTGCCAAGTGTTCACACCCCAAGGCCGAATTTAAATGCAGTATTTATATTTTCTAGTAGCTGTTACATACTTACATCCAGCTTAAATAGAATCGTCGCTATTCTATTGTCGTGTCCACAACAGTAGAATTACAATTTTCCGGATTGTATCCGGAAAACGTGTAGCGATCTTTGGCCAGGATACGCGTCCGCACGTGGCATGCGTCTGATGTCCCAGCCAGCTGCTTACATCGATGAAATGCCCTAGTACAGCCCAACCTTGCAATAAGATATGACTGCTCGAGTCGGTAGAACTCAATGCGTGCAGCAGCGTCAACAGCTGAAGCGCTCCAAGAGCAGGCTGCTGAGCTTACCAATTTATAGTCGAGTTGACGGTCAGCTTAGAAATGTAGCTCAACGTCTCACTTCGACACGCTGCAGCCATGGCTCCTTGCCTTGCATGACCCACGCATGGATGCGTCGTTCCGGCAGCAGCGTCGCCACGCCCGCGGCCACGAGCCCAACCATCGACCCCAGCATACACTGTTTATGCAGCTTGACGTTGCGCTGCCGAATCGCTTGGATGCCTTTTCCCAGCGACGCCAGCGTCAAGACGCTGAGTGCGTGGACCGGGCTAAAGCTGCCGCTGGGCACGAGCTCCGTGACGCCAAAGCTCGTGAGGCACGTGGCGACCATGGAGGCGGTCCAGATGCGGCCGAGGAGGACGTGTTGCTTGGTGCCTTTCTTGGTTGCAAGGACGACGGCGCCAACGATGCTGGCGGGCACAACGGCAGCAAGGTGCAGTGCGAGGGGCACGTGGACTGGCGCTTTGGTCGTCGTCGATGCCATGAGGACCTTTCGCTTTTCAATCTGAGCTTCAGGAGGGGCACAGATTTTCGAAACCGCATGTTGATGGTCGTAGTCATACCAGGGGTATCCGGATGAATTACTGTATTGGGATCGGTCACTTCAACTTGAGGCATTCGTGAACCGCGATGTACGAGTAGCCGCCAAGATTACCCACACGGAAGGAACCGGCGTCGCTCTAATAATGAAGTACCGGTACCTGTGTGCACTGCCTTACCTTAACCTCGTCTCGTCGACCTTCTCGTGCGGATCACGTCCGCAGTCTCAAGACATTCAAGTATACTTGTGCATTCAATCCCACAACGTATGCCTCACTTAGCTATGGCACCGAATGCGTTCGCGTTTTAAGCTTGAGTAGCGTGAGGGCACCGACGCCGAGGAGGCCGACCATGGAGCCCGCCATGAACTGTTGGTGCACTTTGACCTTGCGCGTCGAAATCGCGTACATACCGCGCGCCAAGAACGCAAGCGTGAGCGCACTCAGCGCATGGACAGAGCCGAGGCAGCCCTTCTGGGTTCGAAGCTCCTTGACGCGGAAGCTCGAGATGCACGTGGCCGCGATCGCTGCTGTTGTTGCGCGCCCGAGCAGCACGTGCAGCTTGGTCCCTTTCTTCGTTGCAAAGACGACAGCACCGAGGACGGTCGCGGACGTGAGGGCTGCGAGGTGGAAGCTCACAGGCACAGTCGCCCGGTCGCAAGGCGCCATACTAGCTCGGTTGCACGTGGTCATGGTTGGCTAAATTCAAAATTGAAAATGGAGGTCTGTGCCAACGACCATCGCATCTCGAGATTGCCCTTGCCGTCAACGATGACGGTATCCGCAATCAGATGGTCACCATGCAGCAAGAGTGCAGGTATCTTGATTGAGTCGCTGGTTCTCAAGCGCCAACACGACGGCGACGCGGCTTGCACGACATTCCCTCGACTGTGGAACCAAGTCTGGGTGGAAGCACTGAGCATGAGCTCTTTACCAGTAGCATGCATTTAAAGATCGTCGGCCACTTTTAGTCTACTGACATGCCCCACGTAACGTCATCCTGTATACCAAGAAACCAAAATGCCAAGAAACCGTGCAACGACAGTGGTCGTACTATGGGTCGTACTTGGGGGCACTAAGCTTTCTAAGCTTTCGAGCCGGTTCGATTGCTCGCACGTCATGTTGGTATTACAATGCTGAGCTGTCATGCAAATGAGCACCTTTGACTAGTATTCTCTGGTACAATATTGTAGTCCTCTGGAAGCGGTCATCGTTTAGAGCCACGTCTGCCCGATACGGTTGAGCACGAAGAGCCTCAAAGTGACGTTATATATTGATCGCAAATTAGGCTTTTTTCTCAACGCGCTGCAACCATGGCTCCTTGCCTTGCATGACCCACGCATGGATGCGTCGTTCAGGCAGCAGCGTCGCCATGCCCGCGGCCACGAGCCCAACCATCGACCCCAACATACACTGTTTATGCAGCTTGACGTTGCGCTGCCGAATCGCTTGGATGCCTTTTCCCAGCGACGCCAGTGTCAAGACGCTGAGTGCGTGGACCGGGCTAAAGCTGCCGCTGGGCACGAGCTCCGTGACACCAAAGCTCGTGAGGCACGTGGCGACCATGGAGGCGGTCCAGACGCGGCCGAGGCGGATGTGTTGCTTGGTGCCTTTCTTGGTTGCAAGAACGACGGCGCCAACGATGCTGGCGGGCACAACGGCAGCAAGGTGCAGTGCGAGGGGCACGTGGACTGGCGCTTTGGTCGTCGTCGTCGTCGTCATTGATGTGCGTAAATTGGAAACTAACACGGTACATTGGTGCGTGCAGCTTGCACGTTGGTACGATGAGGTCACGCGTCAACGATGACGGCATCCACAATCAATCACCTTTCTCCAGCAGCGCGATGAGCAACCAGCTGGTCCGCTGGTCCTCTGTCCGACCAACGCTTCTGCCACTGCCCTGCCAGGATTGCCCGTGCTTGAAGAATCCGACGAGTGTTGCCAAGGACGCTCTTGGCGCCACGTCGGAACGTCCATATTCGCTGTCCTTTCTACGGTCTTGCACTTGCGTCGAGTCGGCGCGATCTGTTTTCCGATGCGGAATGAAGGTCGTGTCCCGCTGTCCGGATACGATGCCAGCAGTAACCGGTCGGCGCGATGTTGCGGCATGTCTTGGCGCAGGAAGGCGTCGCGGCGACAGCGCTCGAGGCCAAGGGTATCCGCAGCTTCAAGCGGCTCGTCCAGGTCTCCGAGATGGAGGTAGCCCAGATCCTCGACGTCTCGACGACCGAGCTCGAGGTACATGGCGTCCGACTTGCTTAGCGTCCGCCCATCACGTCGTAGCACCTCGTGGCCCGGATTGCGCTGCGCAGCTGCCCCAAGCCGACGCTTGTGCGCGCCGCCGCTCTAGCTCGCACGAAGCTCATGACGCGTAGGCTTTCGACATGTTTATGAGCAGCGTCAACTCGCCGTCGAGCCTCCGAACGACGCTGGCCGAGCTCGACAAAGGCATGTACGGCGGTCTGCCCTGCGGCGCCATCACCGAGGTACAAACCCCATCGTATCGCATATTTGCACGCCATCGTATGGCGCAAGTAGCTCGCGGGTGTCTCTGGCATTGGCAAGTCGCAGTTTTGCATGCAGCTTGCCGTGCTCTGCGCGATCGAGTTTCCCGACACGACGATCCTGTACTTCAACAGCGGCCAGAACGTCAGCGCCAAGCGGTACGTGGCTTTCTCTTCAATGCGATGATGATGATGAAATGCAGTCTACCTCGCGCATCCATAGGATCTGCGAGATGGCGCGCGCTCGGCTGTCGCCCATGGCGTACACGACCGAGGCGGCGCTGTGCGCAAAGGTCAGCTCGATCGCCCAGCACATTCGCCTCGTGCCCGTCTCGACGCTGGACGAGCTCCAGACGCAGTACGTGCCCACTGCATCAACGTCATATCTACCGTTACGACAATAGCCTCGACGGCCTTGCGGCCGACTTGACGGGCAGCTGCAAAATGATCCTCGTCGACTCGCTCGCGTCCCTGGCCCAAGAGGTAGACGCCCGCAATGCACTCACTAGTAGAAACACGCAGCGTAGAGTGGTCTTGAAATGTCGTTGGCGAAGCGGCAGATGCTGCTTATGAACGTGGCCAGCAATCTTAAGTACTTGGCGGCGGCGTACGAGGCCTTTGTCGTCGTGACCAACCATGCAACAACCAAGCACCACGACGGTAATAGATAGTCGACACGGCAAGCACTCGTATGGTACGGGCGTAGGGGCGCCGGCGTACTCGCATCCGGCGCTGGGCGTGGCCTGGGCCCACAGCATCACGATCCGCGTACGTACTGTCTGCTTGTATGACGCACCACCATCAAGTGCGACGACCTGCAGATCATACTGGAGCGCACGACGTCATTTTCGCGCACGCTCACGATTCTCAAGTCGTCCATGTCGCCCCACATTTCGTTTCCGTTTGAGATTCAGGTAGACGCTCATGGGCGGGGTACAGGAGTGACGCACGAGTGTATGGTATGTTAGCGTCAAGGCTTGGTTATGCTCGCCACAACACGCGATGACGACGGTGATGCGGACGAGGATGCGTTTGACGAGGACATGCTCTCGTGGGCCGACTTGCCTGTGGTCGACGACCATGGCACACTGCTGGCGTCCCAGTCCCAACGAAGCCTCGGTGATGAAGATGAAGATAAGGATGAGGATGAGGATGGAGACATGGCCGCCGTCAAGCCCAGCGAGACTGCGGCGACATCGAATGCTGCAAGTCGTTCGAATGTGTCGGTGATGGACACGATGTTTGACATTGTTCCCGACTCGGACGAAGACGGAGACGCGTGGGCATCGGTCCCTGGATGGTAGTCATGTCCAGCAATAGCAGTAGACACGCAGTAAGCATCTTCCAAGTGGCCTTCGACTTGCCTCCTTCTAACAGGTGGCGCGAGCTGATGGCGCGTCGAAGCCAGACCTACACTCTTGTTCCAATCAATCATCACTCTACATGGCCACGTCGATGCGATTGCTCGTTTCCACTTCCATTTCTGGGAACACGACGACGAAGATGGAGCTCTTCCTGAACCCGGACATTGCGGCAAGCGTGCTGCAGATGTGCATGGCCGAGACGGCTGCGCCGCTCGCCCTCGTCGTCCTCACGAACAAGCAGCTGCGGTCATATGGCGCCAGCGACGCACTCTGGGCGCGTCTCGTCGCCACCCACTTTGGCCCGGCCCGGCCGTACGCGCCGCTCGTGGCCTTTCCCGTGCTACCGGCGCTGTGTCGCCACCCGACGTGGGAGATGGAACTCGAGGTGCCGCCCGTCTCGGCGTCTTGCAAAGAGTTCATCGAGACGACGATGGAGCGGTCACTCTTCCAAACCATGACGGTGGTCCGCGACAACATTGGCACGATCGCGACGCTGGATGCGACGCCCATCGACTGCTTTGTCTTTCCGACGAACCCATCGTTGCGCAACCACGGGATTGGCGCGGCCGCCGCCATCTTTGAGCGCGCGGGCATCGAGCTCGACATGCTCGTGTCGAGCCGCGAGTACGCGCGCACCCGCCACTACGACACGGCCGAGGTCGTCGTCACGCCCGGCTTCCACTCGGGCGCCAACCACCTCATCCACTGCATTGGACCCTACTGGCGCATGCCGAACGCAGCATCCCGGCTCTACCTCACGTACGTGCACGCGTTCCAAGAGGCCGTGCGCATCGACGCGCGCTGCGTCGTCGTCGCGTCCATTTCAACGGGGTCGCTCGGGTTTCCCGTACCAGAGGCGAGCCGCATCGCGATGGCAGCGTACCGCGACGTCGTCAAGGCCTACCGCTGGCGCGCCAAAGTGGGCTTCATCTGCTACGAAGAGTCGATCTTTAACGCGTTTGACGCGGCGCGGCAAGCGACGCTGCATCGGTTCAACGACGGCTGCTTGGAGATCGAGCCCCGCACAGAGCCCTTTGGCACGCGCAACCGTGTGGTGCATAGCGACGACGAAGAAGGCCACGACGAGCCGAGCGACGAGGAAGAAGACGCGTAAAACATCACTTTTAACACGTTGCATTTCTCACCGGTCCACCAAGTTGTGTGCAATATGGAGCTGCCCGGTGCGAGCAGCAGCCAAGATAAAGCGATGGACAAGTTGTCGCTCTATGTACGTGGCATCAAGCAAGCCGGTCACTTCAAGCTTGCCAGATCGTCGAAGATCGGGCCGCCGTTCAGTATCCGGATGCGCCGATTGGGTGGGTCTATTTTTCGTGGGTTCATTTTCCGTCGGCTCGTCGCCGCCATGGAACTGCTCGCGAACCAGGACATTTGCCAGAGCCTCCTCGAGATGAGCCCTCCGAGCACAGCGCATGCGCTGAGCGTCGTCGTCCTCTCGACCCACGGCCTCTGCGCGTATGGCGAAGACGATCTCTTGTGGCGGCGGCTGGCGCAGGCCCACTTTGGCGAGGCCAACCCTGCGATCGTGGCGCAGGTGGCGCTGCCACCACCGCCGTGCAAGGTGCCGCTCTCGCCCACGTGCAACGCCTTTCTCGAGACGTGCGTCGAGCACGCCATCTTTGCGTCGCTGCAAGTCGTCTCTGGCGACATTGGCCGCGTCACGAGCATTGGCACGACAAAACTCGACTGCCTCATCTTCCCGTCCAACTCGTCGCTGCTGAGCTTTGGCATTGGCGCGGCCGGCGCCGTCTTCAACCGTGCAGGAAAGGAGCTCACGGTGCTGCTACGAAGCCCCGAGTTTCGCAACACGCGGCGGTATGTGGCGGACGCGGTCGCGACGCCAGGGTTCGACGCCGGCGTCGACCACTTGATCCACTGCGTCGGGCCCTCCACGAACCGCCCCGACTGCGCAGCGACCTTGTACCGTACGTACTTTAACGCGTTTGAGCGCGCGCGCGAGGTCGGCGCCACGTGCATTGCGATCGCGTCCATCTCGACCGGGTCCCTCGGCTTTCCGGTCCACGAAGCCGCGACCATTGCGATGCGCGTGTACCGCGACTACATCAAGGCTGTGCGGTGGCGCGCGCAGCTTGCGTTTGTCTGCTACGAAGACCGCGTCTTGGACGCGATGACGCGCCAGCGTGACGCGATCCTCGCTGAGTTCAACGTCGGCAGCCTCGAGATGCCGACCGCTGAGCTGCGACGAGCGCCGTGATCATCCTACTCTCTATAGTAAATTCCTCTATCTAATCTTCCTCCGAGCTTTGCACTTTGTCCGTCTTGCTTTTGGAGGAAGCTCGATGGAATCAAGCTACGATTTCGCTCATGCCATGGAGCGCTAGCCATAAGTCGATGAGCGACTCGCATGGTGGCGCAATGATGCGTTGAGGCTGCGTGGGCGGGTGCATGCGTACGATTGCAGCCATGTCCACTAGCGTATCTCGTCGACGAGAGAGAGGACGTCGGTGTCGGGATGGGCGCAAGGAGGCTAGTAGTCGTGGTCGCGGCGCGGGCCAAGAAGGGAAAAAGACACTATATTTGGCTTGATCACGTCCTAGAAGCGAGTCGATCGAGGTAGCATAGAGTGAGTCCATCATCCATTTAAGCCTTGAGGGCATAGCGGCGCTTGGGGAAGTACGCCTCCTTCTTCTGCTGCTTCAAGGTCTTGATGGCCTTCTCCGACTTGGTGAGGGCACGGCGGATGGCGCGCGTCTTCTTCTCGCGGAGGTCGACCGGCACGTGCTTGCCGTTGCCGAGCTTTTCGCGAAGGCGCTCCTTCTGCGTCTGGTTGTACACCGTCAAGACGCGCGCGATCGACTTGCGGACCGTCTTGATCTTGGCAAGCTTCGAGGCGGCGCCGCCCGTGACCTTGGCGACACGGAGCTGGGCGAGTTCCTGCTGGAAGTCATCGAGTTCCGTGAGGAGCTCGGCCTTGGTCTTCGAGCGCAATTCGTGAGCCTTGATCTGGACTACATGTTGGCATTAGCCTCAAGCTGCTCCGAGGACCTCCATGCTTACGTACCCATTATTTATCTTTTGGTTCTTCCCTTTTTTGAATGAAAATCGCGGGCGCCAAGCGCCGTAGTCGCACGAGCCAGTCACTCGGTCCCAGCTTTCTGCACCAACCAAGAATTCTTATCTTTTGGCCAATCCGCGCGCGCGCCTCTGATTCTGTATATGTGTGAATATCGAATGTGACAGGCTGCTGCCAACAGTTCGATATGGTTTTATACAGCATATCGGTGGACGTCGCGTCGATCGGACTGCGTCGACCGCGCGTCAGGGCGCGTAACACGGCTGGAGAGAAGAAGAGCTAAGCGCGAGGTCTATTATGTGTAGGTCGATACACGACCATGGCGAGGAAAGGGCGAGATGTGCGTTGTGAACCCGGGGTGCAAACTGTTTAAAACACATGGTGTCGCGTCGGATGCCAACCTGTATAATACAAATTGAAGCCAAGAAGAGCCACGATGGACGACGTGTTCGACCTCGTCGACCGCATTGAAGAGCAGTGCATCGTCCAAGGGCATGCGCAGGGCGTCGAGGAAGGCCGCCGCTTGGGCTTCCAAGAAGGCAACGATTTGGGGTAGAAGCGCATGACGAGGCATGGAGAAACGAGGCTACGCGTAGCGAGGTCAAGGGCTACGAGATTGGCAGCGAAGTCGGCTTCTACCATGGTTGCTACCTGCTCTGGAGCGCAATGCTAATGGCCGACGCTTCTTCACTGCCGCCGAGGTAGCCGCTCGATCTGCTAGCTAAAGTTGCCACCACAAAAGGCACTTAGAGCGGTCAAGTCGATCGAATCGCTGGGCCAGCGCATTCGCGCCTACGCCCTCGTGGTACGACTCTCGCGCCGACTAGCGACGAGTATATCTTGGTCGCCTTGTAGAACAGCCTCGATGAAAAGATCCACATGGACCTGCAGCTCATTCGCGCCAAGTTCAAGGTCGTGACATCGCTCCTCGGGCAATCGGCGCTCGTCTTCAACGAGCAAAACGTCTTGGACCACAAAAACATGTCCTTCTAGTCGTTCGTACGACTATAGTATCTACTCGCACATACTTCAAAAGAGCCCGCGAGCGAGCGTCCTAGGCGTCGTGCTTGGTCGCGGCGAGAAGGGCGAGCTCGTACGCGACGGCGCCAAACCCTAAATGAAAAACATCGTAATTCGAATCCGCGTTGATGGCATTGCTGCACGACGCACCGCTAATGTAGCGCAGACCCGCAGGTATAGGCGACGCCGCGGGTGCCCCCAGCGGGTTGATCAAAATGACACGGGCGTGGGAGAGCTCGACGGCGCGTCGGATACCGGCGCCGAGCAGGCCTACTCGGAAGCTGTGAATCTGCGCATCGTGTGAGCTTGGCGAATATACCACCGGCGTTGAGGATGATAGTGGTTGATGCAGCGCTGGACAAGAGCGTGTCGATCACGGCGCCTTCGTCGTTCGTGTGCGACGACGTCAGTGCGACGCCCTGAGCGGAGGTTCGCAGTTGCGCCTCGAGGCGTGGCCACGACACCTGCGTCCTAGAGGACGAGCATGCGCCATCGACGACACACCACGAGATACTCGTACCCTGCGAGAACGTTGCCATGGACGAGCGAGCACGGACCGTTGAGGATATGCACGTCACCAACCACCGTTAAGGGGCTACGGGCAAGCGTCGGAGGTGCTGCCTGCATGGGCGTTGGTGGCGCAGCCGTGTACTGCGTTGGCTGCGGCGCAGCGTATGGAGGCGCGGGCGGGCGAGGCCGCTCGACGCGCAGTGGCGACGTAGGATCGTAAGCCGCATCGTCCTCCTTGTCTGGCAATGGGCCCAAGAGCGAGGAGAGCTCTAGGATCGACGTGCATACGCTGCGCAGACAAGCTCGAGTCGTAGTACCTGCATCAAGGAGGTCCATGTCGCTGTCATACAGGTCCTCCTCTCCTTCGCGACGTGCCGGTGCATTCGGAGGCAACGCCGTCGTAGAGTGGACGCTGCCAAAGAGGTTGGGCAGAAAGTAGTCGTCCGCCGACTTCTTCGTCGTCGCGTAGGCACGCCGCCATGGGCCGAGGTGCCGGGTGGCCGCTCGTACCACCTGCCTCATGCTGCTCGCAATTGTTCGGATATGAACCGGATTCGAAGCCGCGGATCGCAAGACCGCATGTCCACCGACATCATCATTGCGTTAGCATTATACAAGACGCACATCAAGCATGACGGACAAACAGAGTGTGTCATAAATACGGTCGTCGCGCGCTACTAGTCCCAGCGGACCACGTTGCGGCTGCGCTTCGCCACGGCAACATGGGATTTGGACGACGACGACGACGACGTGCGTATGAGGCTCGCTTGATGAATGATCTTGGGCGGAAGGCCGGTCGACAAGATGCATGAGCACGTTGGGAGCTTTCGGATGATGCGGATCGCGGGCAACGTGGCATCGCTGTAAAGCTCGTCGCAGTCGCCTAGGCCGAGATGAGCGTCGTCCTCGGTATGCGTCGATGTGATACCTGCGGGATCAGCATGGGTGTCGCGCTTCCATTGCACCACGCAGCAGCCTTGGGCGCTCTCCCAAGTTCGCCGCGCCGCGCCATTGAACGACTAGGCGTAGTGTACACGTGAGATGAGGAGGTGCATGTGGATGTGTCTACCTGGAGGCGGCGCTTCGGGTGCAGGTACATGGGCGCGACGTCTGCGCGGCCGACATGGCACGAGCTGCTCAAGGCGCCCATAAAAGCCGTTTGGAAACTGTGGCGTCCGTCGTGACTGGACTTTTGTATGCTGTTGAAGCGAGCAAAAGAAAAGATTGCACCTCAGATCTGGTCGGTTTATCCGTAACCGTAGCCGTAACCGGAGGCTCTGGGTATCCAAAATCTTATAAAGCGCTTTTTATTCACTATCAGCGTGATGGGGACCGAAGTTCGAAGTCCTAGAGGTGTGACTAACTCGACGTAAAATGGGTTAAATAACTTCAGGATTTCCGATTCGAGTCATCATCCCAGCAGGCGGAGCCTGCATCAAGGACGCAATGGCGCGCTCGTCATATGCTATCGCAGCGAGGGGTTCGCAGAGCGCGCAATGCACCACAGCATCATCTTATATATGTTGGCGAGAAGGACAAGGCGGCCTTACCGCAAACAAGAGGTCGGCTAGGAAGCACTGAAAAAGTGCATCTGGATCTTGTTGTTTGCAGGTGCAGGTTGTCCATGTTACAGCCCGACGACACCTCCGCGACAGGGCACACCCTGATTGCATTAACGCGAAGGATCGTGTTCACCCTTTGGCAAAGAAGAGATGCACACAGAGCGAGAGAGCTCTACAACGTTCTTCTGCCTACAAATTGGTGCCAGTGGCGACTCGGCTTCCAAGGAAGGGGCACACGACAACGGGCTCATCTCTCCTGAAGGCGATAGCACCAGTGGTCGCTGACCTCAACAGCGAGTGTTGGTTTGCATTGCAGTCTTGTTTCTGCTACACATTGCGTTGCGTCATTTTCAGCGCTCTTGCACGAAGGTCGAGGAGGATGAGTATACTGCAATTAACGCCGTTTAACGCATCTCGTTGTCGTTTAACGCATTCGACCTAGACCCTCGACTCGAAGTCGGGAGTCGGGTGCGGTCCATGTACACTTGGTGTTTGTATGACAAGACAAAATTCGACACCGAAGTCGATGACATGATGACTCCGGCGGCGTTAAACGCGGTCGTATACAACGCGCCAGTCAAGCGCGAGGCGGCTGCGACATGTGGAAAAGGACACCACCAATCAATCGCGGCGGATTTGGTTTTTTGTAGACTTGAAGTTTGTATAAAAAGGCGCGAGATTGCATTTAATTGCAGCTGCGGGCCGGGCACCAGACGTGGGCAGTACACGGGTTCCGACGCTCCGTCTCGGCGCCAGAATGGACTTTGAGGATTTGTCGTCGATGCAGATCGAGGACCTCGGCAACTTCCTCAACGAGCAGATGACCGAGGGCGACGGCGACTCGTGGAAAGGCTTCTCGCTCGGCTACTCGGACGAGGACGGGTCGCCGTCGCGATCACAGGCGCCACCGACAACGACGATGGCCCAGGACTTTCACCAGGCGACAGCGTCGCTCTTGAGCCTCCCGAATTCGCCGTACCCGACAAGCTTCCAGTCGCGCCAGGTCATCGAGTCGGCGATGCTCGAGTTCAACGAGTTCTCGCTCGAAGACAAGATTGCGCAGCACACCAAGTCCAAGATCCACTCGATGACCAACTTCGAGCCATTCTCGATGCATGGCATGCCACCGCTGCCCTCGATGCCCTCGATGCCTTCGATGCCCTCGATGCTGCACAAGCCGCAGTTGACGATGCAGACCGCCGCCGAGCCGCTCGAGCAACCACCGGCCCACGCGCCGCAATGGTTCAAAGCGGCGAGCCCTGTGGTGCCATCGTCGCACGCGTCGACACCGACGCACTCGTCGCACCCTTCGCCAACGACAGCCACGACCAACACAATGAAGCGGTAATGCGCTTCTCGTCGCATACCTCGGTGGCTCATTGCGTACAGACCCTTTGCGACGATGGAGGCGTGCAGCAGCGACAGCTGCAGTACGATCGCCAACAACAACGACGACGACGACCGCGGGTACCGGAAAAAATCGCGTGAAAAGATGCGTCGGCAAGAGGTCAACGTCAAGGTATCGGATCTCGCTCTCCTGATGATGCTCATATGCTGAGTAGTTTGACGAGCTCACAAGTCTCTTGGGCATGAACGACAAGGTCCGGAAGAGCGCTGTGCTGCAAGAGGCCGTCAGCTGCATCAAGAGTCTCCGCCGCGAGCGCGACGAGCTCCGAAACGACCGCGACCGGCTCAAGCAAGAGCTGAGCAAGCTCGCGTCCTGTTTGCAGTACTCGCACATGGGCTCGATGGCCGCTGCGAACGCGATGGCCATGTCGCAGCAACTGCCGCCGCAGCACGCTGCGCCCATGCCCCCGCCGGTACCCTCTTTTTGAACGAGCTCTCGACCTCACTTCGCGCACTAGGGCGTCTGCTTTCCGATTGGCGCCAATTTTGGATTCAACTTTGGGTCGTACATGAACCCGGCGCCGTCCGGAGCCTCGACGCCGCTCGCCATGTGCCCACCGATCGCGCCCAAGCTCGAAGCGTCGCCGGGCGTCGGGAAGCCGACCAACGCGAGTGGCAGCACCCAGCTTTGAATGGCGCCTCGTAGACCCGTAGATATATTAGTACAAGAACGAGCCGACGCGCTCGTACTCGTGGAAGGAGCCTGGACCGCAGCCAAGCCATATTTTGTATGTACATTGCATGATTACACGTCGAAATGGATTGTTCCGAGAGCTATCGCCTGGGTGCGCGTGGCTGGCCACATTTGCGAGGCCGATTTGAAGCAAGCAGCTGGCGGCAATGCAAGGCAGCGTTCTTGAAGCTGTCGACGACAGTTGGATGGTACTAAGACGAAGCTGTCGTGGCGCAGAGGCCAGAGAGTCGCGACAGTGGTCTTTGGACGACGTATGCGTCGCATCTCTACCATGCTAGGCAATGGGACGCCGCAGGCTCTCCGGCGCGCCGGCGTCAAGTTGTCCCGGCTGGAAAAGATACGCTGTAGAGTGAACGGGCGAGCAACATCGACGGTCTCATACAGGTTCATGGCGACAGCACAAACGCTAGTGCGGCGACGCCTTGCGCTCGCCCACGAGAAGACCAGCCACGCGTGTTGACGTGCGGTCCGCCGGCGGCGCCGAAGCAGCTGACGCCAGCCTTGGCGGTCCTACCTGCCATTTGCAGCTGCTTTAACCGATGGCGCCTCGCGTGGCCATGACGCGCCAGCGGCGAGCGCTCGTTGATGCCAGGCTGATACCAGGTTGATAATATCCTCATCGATCCCTTGCACGTGCGGGGCCGCCATTGCGGCGCTGGGGTTTCGCTCTGAATTGATAATCCGGTTATCGTCCGGATACCATTCGTGTTCTGTGGTCATATTCCAAATGAGCGCCCACGTAGACGATCTCCTCTTCGACGACGACGACGACGATGACATGGGTACGTGGCTGCGCCGGACGCGCGGATCATCATGCTTCGTATCGCGAGGTAGGTGGCGTCGAGGCCATGCAGGGCTTCGTCCACCCGCCGGCGACGCTGCTTCAGCCGCCTGCGTCCATCGTCCAGCCACCCGCGTCGCTTGTCCAGCCACCCTCGTCGCTTGTCCAGCCACCCGCGTCGCTTGTCCAGCCACCTGCGTCGCTTGTGCAGCCGCCAGCCTCGCTTGTGCAGCCGCCAGCCTCGCTCGTGCAGCCGCCTCCGTCGCTGATCCAGCCACCAGCGTCGATCGGTATTACGGCGCCGCCAATCGCGGCAACGCCCATTGCGTACCAGCCGTCGCCGCCCACACAGGCGCTTCCGGACGACAAGTTGCGCAAGCTCTTCCAGATCATCCAGACACGCATCAAGGACAAGTACCTTCCGATCTACAACGAAGTCAAGGCGCAAGGCACGCCGTTAAAGGTACATCCCTCCTCGCTCGTCGTTCCACGCCCTTTCTCATGGAAGTACTCTGCAGTCGGACATGACGGCGATCCTCGAAGTCGTCAAGAAACACATTGGCGAGCCGATGCTCATGTCACTCATGCAGGAAATCGGCGGCTTCCCCGTACGACGCGCCAATCCTCTTGTCATCGCATGGATGCATGGATGTCGTCGTCGTAGATGAACCGCGTCGTCGGTGGCTTTGGCGACGTTCTCAAGACGGAGCCCGCGCGGTTCGCGTCGCCGCCGCTGCAGCCCGCGCCAACCGTCCGCACGCCGCCGGCCGAGCCCGCGCGTCCGTCCGCGAACGAGTCGGAGAAGATTCGCTTTGCGCGCCACTTGCTCAGCCACGCGTCGACGTGTGTCGTGACGACGGGCACGTGCCAAGTACGTCGTGGTTATGGCCGTCCTCAACCTCAACTCAAAACGGTCGTTTGTAGATCAAAAAGTGCGACGATATCAAGCGCTTCTTCAAGCACAGCACTGCGTGTAAGCTCGGGCGCGACTGTTCGCACTGTGAGCAATTGCGCACGCTCGTGAAACTGCACGCTGAAGACTGCTCGGTGGCGACGCTGAGCCGGTGCCCGATTCCGTTTTGCGACGACATTCGCAAGGCCCACGGTATTTCTCGTTTTTAAACATGCAATTTTGTTCAAGTCGTGGGTCTGTAGCCAGCCGCGGCGGGGCCAAGGCACCGGTCAAGCCAGCGTCCCCGCCCAAGACCATCACCAAGCTTCAGCAGCGCCAGGCTGCGGACGAAGACGACGCGCCGTCCAAGAACCAGCAGCAGGTGCCGCAGGTGAAAGCGAGTCCACCGCCGCCCAAGATGGCGCCGCAAGCCGCCGAGTACGGTCGGATTCTGCAGCTCATTCTGCACTGCAAACACTGCATGGTGCCAAAGTGCGCGTACAATGGCTGTATCGAAGCCAAGAGCCACATGCTCGAGATGCGGAATCCCGAGACGATGGTGCCCCGGGCGCTGACGTTCCGTCAAGTGTACAAGCACTACGAAGCGTGCAAGAACGACGCGTGCCCCGTGTGCACGATGGGCCGTCAGCAGCTCGCGATGGATGCCGCGCCGTCGACGCCCGCGGGCAAGATCACGCCGCGCAGCACACCGACGCTCCACGTGCCGACCTCAAGCTCGCCGCGGTCGCCGACGCATGGCATTGCCAAGAAGAAGACGCCCAAGAACCCAGCCGCGGCGGTCGCGCGACCGGACCCGACCAAGTCCATGTACGGCTTGCCGTCGGCCATCGACACCTCGTCGGCCACTATGCACAGCAATGGCACCGAGTACGAGGACCTCGTGCCGACGAACGCCAACGATCTGCGCCGCGAAGCCGACGTGCTCACGCACACCAATATCGATCCGACGCAGGAGAAGCGCATTATGCTCGCAGGCGTCCCGAAAGCCAACTTGCTCGCGTCCAAGAAGGAGACGTGGATGTACAACGACGTGTTCCAATCGCACGTGCTCCAGCAGACGATGCAGAAGGCGCTTATGCAAGCCGGCGTGCACGCGACGGACGAAGCGAGCGACATGATGGGCCTCGCGCTGCACGAGTACCTCAAGCAGATCTTGGAGGAAATGGTCCAAGTGTCCAAGCAGCGCTGCGATACGCACGCACTGCTGTTGCCGTCCACGAATGGCGCCGCGACCTTGGTACGAAGCGCGCTCCTGTTTCCATGTCTTATATGGATGGATCGGTAGACGGCGGTCGACATTCTCAAGGCGAGCACGGACGACTCGTTTACCAAGATGCGCCAGTTGGACTTGGATTTACGCGCCGAGCTTCTCGAAGAGGCCAAGAAGGAGGAGTCGACCGAGAAGGACAAGGGCGGGAAGCGGCGGAAGGCCAAGGTCGCCAAGACCAGCGCGACGTCCGCGCCGAACCGCAGCGTCCTGGACGGCAAGGACGAAGATGACATGGATATCGAAGAGCTCGCGCGGAAGGACCTGAAGGCCAAGCTCGTCTTGGAAGGCGCGGTGATTGATGGCCGCGTGAACGCGTCGATTTCATCGCGCCGCCCCAAGGCGGTCGAGAACCAGATCACGATCGAGGACGCCGAGTACTGGCTTCGGTCTCAGAAGCCGTACGTCGACGCCAAGCTCTTTTGCCGGGCCCAAGCCGCGCGGATCCAGACCAAGTCGCTGCAATAAGTTTCCTAAGAAGATCGCCATGTGCCACCCGTCGCGCGTCATTCTATCTTAGGGGTAGGTCGGTCTGCCGGATTCGACCCGCGCATACAAACTCTCATACAACCCGATCAGACGGCACGTTTATTTTTGGGTTGTTACACTTTTTATTCCCCAGGTTTTTTCTATATACAAAGATCCCATCAAGATAAAATCGGAATAAAATACAAGGGGTCGGGGACCCGGCCACCTTTTCACGCGCTGCGCTCTTCTTCGATGTTTCACTTGACATTTGTATACTCGACCGACACCGTGGCGTGTTTCTATTTTTATCTCACGTCCTGAGTGTCAAAAAAAGAGATTCTAGTGTCAAAACATGGGGCAACGGCCATGTCCATGACAATAAAGGTGGACCGAAACGTCGCGCGCGTACGTGAAGGAAGCGGGGGACACCCTTTTTTGACAATGCTGCGGTGCGGAAGATCCACGTCGAAATTCGAAGTTTAATAAGTCACTGGGACCAAGAGTGGTCTCATTTTGGCTTTGACGCTGCCGTCCATTTTTAGCGTCGTATCTTCCTAGCACCATGGGCCGCAAGAAGATCAAGATCCAGCGCATCGATGATGACCGCAACCGCCAGGTAGACGTCGCGAGCAAGCTTCCGGCGCAGGCACCTTAGCATGGCCGCATGTAGGTGACCTTTGCGAAGCGCAAGACGGGCATCTTCAAGAAGGCCATGGAGCTCTCCAAGCTCTGCGACTGCGAGATCGCGCTCATCGTCTTTGACTCGAACGACAAGCTGTACCAGTACTCGAGCACGAGCGTCGACCAGATCTTGCTCAAGTACACCGAGTATGGCGAGCCGTACGAGACCAAGGACAATGGCGATGTACGCATGTCATGGACCACGTGCAGCAGCAGCTCATGCGCTCTGTAGTACGACACGCTCTTTGGCGAAAACAAAAAGAAGCCGGGCGACAACAGCAACACCAATAGCCCGTACGGTGGCATGTCGTCGCACGAAAGCTCGCCCGCGTACTCGAGCATGGGCACGCCCAACGATCGCATGTTACCGCACGGCGTGTCCCTTGGCCTCACAAACGACGTACGTGACTGACATGGCCCGACGGTCGCGCTCACGCCAATGCATGCGTAGCCCGACCAGTATGTCCTCAACAACCACCGGAACAACATGGCCAAGAAGCGGACGCCTAAAGGGTTTCAGCAATTGCTGCAGAAAAAAGACATGCAGTACCTACCGCCGCAGCTCTACCAGCACAACGTACGAAGCGAATACGCACGCATGCTCAAACGCTCACGCTCACGATAGCTTGGAATGCTCTCGTCGATGCATGGCAGCAACCAAGGCATGCTTGGCGCGCTCCCGAGTCCTTCGAACCTGCACGGCATGCTCCCATCGCCAACAAGTACGTATATCCTTTAGCCCGACAACACCTCACGCTGTAATTCGTAGCTGCCAACATGCTGCTCCGCCACGACTTTAGCCCGCAAAACGGCGACGGCCCGCCCGGCGGCCACATGCATCATCTCGGTTCCATGGGCCACGACATGGGCGACGACAAGAGCGTGCTTGGTCTCAACCTCGGACCAAGCGACTTTGGGCACCACAAACAGTCGAGCAGTAACGCGTACCGCGACGCATCGTCGGCCGAAGGACACCATGCGCACATGCAGCAGCAGCATCGGAACGAAGGCTTGCGAGGCCACTTTGAGCAGCAAATGCGCGCGCCAGACGACATGGGATATGACGACCGACGCAACCAAGGACACATAAGCAGTATGAACCCGCACGGCTACGAAGGACGCATGGCCCATCATGACGTCGGAGACTTGGACGACGACGACGAAGACCGCGGGCGAAAGCGACCGCACGCCGAGTCGGCCAAGCGAGGACTCGTGCTGGATCCGGACGCGGTCTCGAAGCGTACGCGCGTCGCATCAATATAACGATCGGCCTTTTGTTGCGTATGGCAAAGTCGTCGTGGTAGATGACACCTTAATATATATTCGTGGCACCCGTCCTACAAGCTTGCGACCGCAGCTTCAATATCCTCGGCGAGCTCCTGGAACTTCTTCCACTGGTCGATCGAGAGAGAAATACCCTTGCTGCCGGGCATCTGAGCCCCGTCCTTGTCGTAGAACTCGCGAAAGTCGATGAGGAGCATGCTCTTGAACTTGCGAATCGTCGCCCGGCGCTTCGCCGAGACCTAGCCAGCATCATGGGCTTCCTGCTGAAGACGATGCAACGTACGGCGAACGCAATCGCACCCTCTTCGGCGCTCTCGAGCTTGGCGTGGGTGTAGTCGCCAGCAATGTCGTCCTTGACCTCGGCGATCGCCGCGTTGATGTCGGCCGTGAGCGCGGCAATCTTCTTGTACTGGTCCTTGGAGAACGAGATGCCCTTCTTGCCGGGCTTGCGCTCGCCGCCCGCGTCGTAGTACTCGCGCACGTCGACGAGGATCGTGCTTTTCCACGAGCGCACAGTGACCTGCTTCTTGGCCGAGAGGTCGAACGCGATCGAGCCGTCGCCGAGCTTCTCGCCCCGCGTCGTCTTGGTCTTCTTCACATCCTCGTCCTCCCCATGCTCATGGCCGTCGTCGTCGTCGTTCTCGCGGGCGCGCTTCTTCTCGACGACGGTCGCTTGCTTGGCCGAGGTCGTCGGCTTGGCGAGCTGCTTGGAGGCCATGGTCCGACAATGACCGCCGCAGAATCGATGTGCTTGATATAAAAAGAAATTCCACGCTAAAAAAGACGCGGGAAATCAATTTATTGCCGAAAAATCTGCGTCGACCAGATCTCCTTCTTACCTTCTCGCCATGAACTCGAATTCTCGGTCTGGAGCTCGTGCAGGTGTGTCAACCAAGCGCTGGTTGACGTGTATCGAGTCCTGCACTACTTTCCCCAGTTTAGAAGCACCAAAATTCAGCCAAGACCAGCGGGCGTCAACTGGTTTCTAGTACTACTTGGCACCAGGAAGGACACGCGACAGGCTGACGATCCTGCGAGCGACTACCGGTCCTGTAAGGTACTGGTACTCTACGCAGACGATCGCAAAGACAGCAATAAACTGATTGATGGGTTGGTTTCCATGGGATCTTCACTTGGGTTCGTTGACCAAAATGGCGGCCGCGACCTTGCGGTCCTCGGCGTTGAGGATGTTGAACGTCGCACACGCGTTAAACTAAGCAGCAGAATGCATGAGAATATGACGGTGGTGCGTGTGCATAGTACCGAGTCCAAGTACTCGACGACGATGCCGTTGGACTTGAGGTACTCGACGAGCGACGGTTCGAGCTGCTTGGCGATGCGCTTGCCGCAGCCAAGGACGAGGATTTCTACGCCCTACACTCACATCCATGCCAAGAAGCAAGACCCATACCAATCGGTGGGTTGGCAACCGTAAACACGTTGAGGCTCTCGATCGTGATCTCGTCGAGCGACCGCGGCTTCCACATCTAGTATAGCGCATGGATATGGACGCATCGTGGAGGCGAATGCGTACCATGGCAATGTTGGGCAGTAGCGCGACGGACCCGCGCATGTTCTAGACCGGCGACGGTCGGCGGAAGCGGCGAAAGGCGGCGAACGTACCACATCGTTGACAACAAAGCCGCCGTCGTCGTACTCGGAGATCGAGACCTTGGACGTACCCGTCATCATTTCCTAGACGTCGCGCCCATAAGCCTCATCGCATCGCATGCTTCTTGCACCTTGTGCATGTCGTGACCATACTGCAGCCAGCGGACGCCCATCCCGCGCTGGAAGGACGCCGGCGCACCACGGACCACTCGGCGCAACATGCAAGCGTGCGAAAATGGCAACCGGATACGCTGGTAGATATGCCGGATACGGCGACTTGCGAGGGTTGTGTTGTCTGTCAACACGGCCATGCTGCCAGTCCGAATCTAGTGGGTGTATGCGACGCGCGGCCTTCCTCGCTGTCGCCGCCGGGGCGACGAGCCTCCATAGCATGGCGTACGTCGACAACACGGCCGAGATCCCGCTCGACATGTCCCGCTTCTGCGCCGGTGGTGGCGCCTTTGGCCTCTACGAGCGCCAGACAGGCTGCGCGCTGGGCAACTGCGACTGCTTCCCGATCCTCTTTGCATGCGACCCATCGCTGGGCAATGGCCTTGGCGAGTGCGCGCTCTCGGGTACGAGTCTATGCAGCTGTGCGTGCGCTGAGCGCGAGCGTAGGCGTCGGCGAACTCTTGCTCGTCCTCGCCTTTGTCGCCAACCTCCTCGTGCCCGCTCTGTACGTGCTCTCGCACTTTTACCACGAAAACGACGCTACCGACGCCCGCGCCGTGCTCCACGAAGAGCGCAGCGCCCGTCGACCGACCCTCGACCACATGCCATCCGCCATCTCGGACGCGGCCGAGCCCAAGGAAGACTTGGAAGCGTACGACCACTTTATTTGATCCCTTCTGGCGCTCAATGGCTGCTTCATGTAGGACGTACTTTGACATGACGCAAGTATGCAGCTGCTTGCATCGTATGACGAGATCACTCAACGGATGCGTAGTTTCGCCGCGCGATCCCGGACAAGGTGTTTGGTCTTGACAAGACGGCCAAGATCAAGCTCGAGGTCATGTCCAAAGGTATCAAAATGTATCCCATCGATATTTGGATAGTTTACGCCAGTCTTATCGGATAGGCTGGATTCAGTTTATCTTCTTCTTCATGCTCACGGCCTTTGCATTGTGCCTCAGCCTCTTTGCGGTCTCGGCCGATACAATCGAGACGACGATTCCGTTCTCGTCGCTCAACTTTAGCGCGAGTAACTCGTCGACGACGTTCATTTTTGATGCGGCCGCCGCCAACGCGACGCTGCCGCAAGGCACGCGCTTCGTGTCGCTGCACGGCGACCTCTGCCAGCTGCCGCCGTCGCCCGGGGACCATGTGCTCAATGTGAGTTACACCGTCTCCGCGCGCATTGACGGCGGGCTCCTCTTCGACACGTTCTCCCACGAGCGCCTCGTCGTGCGCTGCGTCTGTTCGGACGTCTCCTGCCGCCCGATCGCCGGCAGCGAAGACGCGCTGGTCTCAATCCCGTGGTTCCAAGACGCCTTCCAACTCCTTGGGCACGACGTGCCGCATGCGATTTCGCTCCACCTCCACTTGCACACCAACATGACGCTACATGGTCGTCCGGCGATCACGCTGCTGGCGCACCACGCGCGGCTCGAGCGACTGATCGAGATCGTCAAGTGGCTCTTCCTCGTCGCCGATGTCGTCGCGCTCGGCTACTGGAGCTACCTGAACCGGCACCGCGGGTGGCGCCGGCTCCTGCCCGAGCGCCGCCTCTTGTACATTTCGCTGCTCTGCAACGCGCTCGGATCGAGCCCCGTGCTGCACTTTACGCAAGCGTTCCTCTCGAGCACGTGGAGCTATCTCTTCGCCCAAGCGTGGGCCGCGGGCCTCGCCGGCGCGTGGCTCCTCAGCCTCCTTGTTGCGATCGACCTCCAGCGCCAGCGCACCTTTCGCTGCTCCTTCTTTGCGCTCAAAGTGACCGTGCTTCTCAGTGCCATGGGCGTGCGCGGCGTCTCGTTCTACGCGCTGCCGAACGCGATCACGTCGCTCCTGGACCTCTTCCTCGCCGTGCTCGCGATGGTGCTCTTCCGCGGCGTCATGATGAGCGTGCGCAACGACCTCCGCCGAAAGGCGTATGCGGCGTCGCGGCCCGAGCAGCTCACGGCGCGCGTCTTGTATTTCATCGCGCTGCAAGTCACGTACGTTTACTTTTTCGCCGCGCTCTTGGCCGACCCCGTGCCCAAGGTCACAGTGTACATGGCGAACGCCCGGGTCCTCGCCAACCTTCCGATTCAAGTCATTTCGCGCGCCGCGACGCTTGTCTTGTTTCTCATCTTTTTACCCGTCAACAACAAGAAGCGAAAGCAGCTCCTATCGACCACGATGGTGTGTACGCGCGAGAATTCCCTCCATTTAACGACCGTCAAGCGGTCCTTGTCCCGCGCCGACGCCACGCATGGAGCGCCGCCTGTCTTTTGCCTCGAGACTGCGTGTGGCCTCTACAACCTCTCGTGCCACGCCTACTATGCGATCCCGCACGCCAAGCACGTGGCGACGGACCTCGACTTGGATTTGGCGGCGGTGGCGCGGGACGGCCTCTCGGTCGTCGCCGAGCTCTTTGACGGCGCCACCGACACGCATGCGCTCGTCTTCACCGATGCCAAGCGGCTCTTGATTGCTTTCCGGGGTACGTTTAGCCGCCAGAACGCGAAGACGGACCTCGACTACAACTTTTGCTCGCCGACGCTCTTCCTCGATCGGTTCCCAGCGCTGCGACTCCACCATGGGTTTTACACCGCGTACATGAGCATTCGGCCGCAGCTTCTGTCGCTCCTTGGCGACCACATGTCGGAGTCGCTTCAGATCTATGTGACGGGGCACTCGCTCGGCGGTGCGCTCGCGACGCTGGCGGCCTTTGACCTCGCGACGTCGTACCTTGTCCCGAACGACATTGTCGTCTACTCCTACGGCTCGCCACGGGTGGGCAACCATGCGTTCGCACATGCGTACAATACGTTCGTGCCACGCACGTTCCGCATCGTCAACGACGCCGACGTGATTGTCGGTGGCCCGAAGCAAGCGGTTTTTGGCTGCTACTGCGTCTCGTCGCTTCGGTACAAGCACGTGGGCACGCCCGTGCTCCTCTCGGACCGCGCGTGGGGCACGTTTTTGATCGACCCGAACATTGTGGAAATGGCCTTTATCGCCAAGCTCCGCAGCAACGGGTTTTCCCACCTCTTGTCGGCGTACCGCATCAAACTCGCGCGCGGCTTGAAGGTGACGCTGGCCGCGCACCCGCCGATGAACGAGACGACGCCGCTGAGTGTCGCATAAGACATTATTGTACACGGCACTTATAAATGCGGTCGAGAGATAGTATGTTAGTAGGTGTTGTTGTCGATGGTCTCGTCGTGCGTGTACCCGGGCTGCGTCGAGATGATGCTGCCGATTTTCTTGAATTTTGACATTTTGAAGGGCTCGGGCACGGGGGCTTGCTCGTTGAGGAGTTGCAGCCGCTTGCTTTTAGCACGGACGCCTTGGTTTCGCGGGGCATGGGTAGTTTCTACCGCGCGTTACAAGAGGCGAAGATAACATGAAGACGACGTACGCCCTTGATCTTCATGGCCGCGAGGTCCGGGTAGTCGTTGTCGTCCGAGGTAAAATTGGTGTGACGTGCTTGAATGAGCATTGCAATGTCCTCCGAGGCCCTAATCCATGTCATATTGTAGGTTTGGCCAAGTCGAAGCGCGCACTGTGTCTTGATGCCATAGATGACGTCGTTCGTCGGTGTGTAGCCCACTTGCTTCTTCACCGGCGCCCTCTCGCGAATGTCGGGGTGCTCGTTGGCATACAAGCGCGCGTCCTTGGCGTTGATGCAGCTAATACGGAGGCTTAGCCGCTGACAATGTGCTAAAGCCACAGTACCCGACGGCCAAAGCCCTTCGGTTCGTCTCCACAAAGCTGCGCGAAGATTCGACGGCCGGCGACGGCGTCGCTTGGACCCACTTGCCCATGACCTGGCCGGCGTCTTCCGGGTCGCGGATGACGGGGTAGCCGTAGACGTGGTCGTGGTCGCGCGCGTCCGGAAGGTCGTACGAGGCCCGCCGGACGTGGCCGATCGTGTGCTTGAGCATGGTCCGTCGCAGCGGCAGGTTCTTCGGGCCATTGTGCTTGGCCATTGCAGCGAGGAATCAAAGTGGTGCGTGGCAACTTGGCAACTGCAACATGGCGTTGGCAATCCAACGGTACTTTCCAATTCTATAAATAACGCGCGCTTGGATTGGCTATATTTCAGATGCCACGTCATTGGTGGAAACGGTGAAATGAACAAAGAACGACGATTGGATTGGCTATTGAAGGCGCGCGTCCGATTGGGCAACACGCTTGGGCGAATTGATTGGCACAGGCGCTGGCCGATTGGCAGCTTTGGGCCAGATACAAATCGGTTGAAGATGAGCAAAGCGACCAAGAAGATGGAGGCCCAGCTGGCCAAGCTCCAGGGCGACGAGTGGGACTCGGACGAAAGCGACCGCGAAGAAGCCCCGGCACCGGTCTCCAAGGCGGCCAAGAAGAAGGCCAACAAGGCCGAGAAGGCCAAGGCGGCGGCCACCACCGAGACGACGACCGACGCGGCGCCGGTTCAATTCGAGTCGCAGGTCGACTTTGTCGAGCTCTCCAAGAAGACCAAGGCCAACCTCTCGAAGGCCAAGACGCCGGTGCCTGCGGGTGATTCGGCCGTCATCTACATTGGCCGCATTCCCCACGGCTTTTACGAGAAGCAGATGAAGGGTTTCTTTGGCCAGTTTGGCGGCATCAAGCGCCTGCGCGTCTCGCGCAACAAGAAGTCGGGTGCGTCCAAGCACTACGCCTTCATCGAGTTTGAAGACCCGGAGGTCGCCGGCGTCGTCGCCCACACGATGGACGGCTACCGCCTCTTTGACCGCGTCCTCGCCTGCGCCGTCGTGCCCACCGAGAAGCTCCACGAGCGCATGTTCATTGGCGCCAACCGCAAGTTCCGCCCGCTTCCGTACAAGAACTTGGCGATCCGTGCGCACAACGCGCCCAAGACGTTCGAGCAGCAGGAAGCCGCGAACGCGCGCCTTGTTGCCAAGGAGGAAGCCAAGCGCGCCAAGCTCGCGGCCATGGGCGTCGAGTACGACTTTGTGGGCTACGCTGGCGTCGCGCCGGCCAAGGCAAGCCACGTCCAGTTTTAGATTCTACTATTCGTTCCATATTCCCACAACATATTACTATGAAATATTTGAAATTGATTTGCATCTCGCCGTGTACGCAATATGTCCTCCAGCAATGTACAGAATGTCCTTTCTTGGTCGCCGGTGTGGCGTTGGCCAGTACCTTTAAAAGCGCTTTTTATCGTACTCGGAATGCTCGATTGGTCGTGTTGTTACATAACACTCGCATTTCGCACTCGCCAAGTGGATACGACCGATGGCGGCGCGATCGTACGTGGCCGAGCTCTCGGCGCTCTTCGCCGCCGACCCCGACATGTGCTGCGACGTGATGCATGAGTCGATGGCTCATCATGCGCGTGTCGTAGCGATGAGATTGGCTTGATCTACCTCGAGGACCCGGCCGAGGCCTTCGTGCTGAAGGACCACAAGCTCGGGATTGCGCTCGACATGCTGCCAGCGCTGCACCGCGAGGCGAAAGACGTCTTCTTCGCCGCACGCCGATCCAACGACGTCGACCGGATCCGCGAGGCGACACGCTGCATGCTCCTCGTGTGCGCCGACTTTTACACGGCATGGAACGCCCGGTGCGCGTGCTCGTACGAGGGCCAACATGGATCTGATGATGATGATGTAGGAAGCAGCTGCTTGTCCAAGGGCTCTTGTCGCTGCGTGACGAAATCACCTTTATCAACGTCGTGCTGAGCCACCACTCGAAGAGCATCGACACATGGGCGCACCGGTAAGGCCCAGTTTGTGTCGACACCAGGACGACCGCGAGTAGGCGCTGGGTTCTGGACCGACTTGTGGCGACGACGCCGCTCACAGCCTCGTTCTTGAGTGACGAGCTTGCGCTGTGTCTTCGCCTCACAGAGCAGTACCCGCGCAACTACCACGCATGGTCCTACCGCTACCGCGTCTGCTGCCACTTGTCGCCCGCGGCCGTATGCTGATTTTCCCTTGGCGATGACATTGATGCTCACTGTAGCGTTCTGTGTAGCTCGTGCAGGAGCTCGATACGAACCGAGCGTGGTGTGAGCGCCACGTCGCCGACCATTCGGGCTGGAACCACCGGCAGCTGCTGCTCGCGCGCCTCCTTCCGTCCGAAACGCTGCTTGAGGACGAGTTTGCTTTCCATACGCCACTGCTGCGGCTCTTTCCGGGCCGAGAAGCGCTGTGGTGCCACCGCCGAGCGCTTCTACACGCCTTCCTCACGACCGCCCCGCGTCCGTGCGCCGCGGCCATGGAAGCATGGTGCGCGCGTGCAACGGTCTCTGCGGGCCACGTGCACCTGAGCGATGCGCCGGCCGACGACGCGACCTTCGGTTTTGTGGCACGCGAGTTGCTTCTCGCGGTTCAGTTGCCAGATGCTAACGGTCTTGAAACGCGGTACCTCATTTACGCCCTCGAAGCCATCATGGTACGACTGCAACGCATCGGCGTGGTTGCATCTCACGCACAATATTATTTGTAGATGGGCGAGTCAATGTCGCCACATGTGCGCGAGCTCCACGCGACGCTCTGCCAGACATTGGCCGCCGCGGACCCGACGCACAGCAACCTGTGGCAAGCCAAGGCGACCACTTAGATCTGAGTTTTGTCGTCGTGCTCCAACATCGGACAACTTTAGCAGCATACGAGCATGTGAATATGGAGCAAACCGACACTTGGTTGTCGTCCTCGCGTACAGTGTATGGTGGTGACGAGTGCAGCATGCAAAAGAAATGCCATGGGCACGTTCATGTCTTGGCCCTGGAGATGCCACGTCATTGAGTACTTAAGTGAAAGGCAAACGAAACTTACTTGAATGGCACGTCGTTTGACGATGGGATCCGCAGCTGACGTCGGTGACAGCCGCGACCGCAAGGACATGCATGATATGTATGTGCATGCGTAGTACGAGGCGACAATCCGAGCGCTCAAGAAGAGCCTTACGGACGCGCGGAACCAGCAGCTTCGCGCCGAGACGGCGCTGGCCCGCACCCAGCGCGACCTCGCGGCGGCGCCTCTTGTCGACGCAACGACGGACACGATTCTACGCGAGGTACACGGTTGCATTGGTGTAGACCGGCCTCCCATCACATGTGGTGCAGATTGCTGCGTGTGCAGAGGAGCTCCGTGCAGAGACACAAGGGTCGACGGCCCATGCTCTCAACAAAACGATCGCCCGCCTCGGCGCGTTGCAGCTCACGGTTGCTGCTGCACAGCAGCGCCAGCATGCAGTACGCGCGTCGACCTTGTGCTTGGCGTGCGAAATATACTGGCTTTGGGTAGTGCGTTGTCGCGCAGGAGGCAGACGTCGCGCACCTGCGGGCTGCCATCGAGCACCAGCCGCGACGCAAAGACTACCAAGTAGGTGCAGTACGCGACTGCATCCTTTCTACACAACGACACACGTTTCAGATGGCTCAGCTCGAAATCCAAGCGCTCAGCCAAGAGAATGTGCGACTGCGGCGCGAGCTCGCCGCTGCCCACGCCCCGGCCGCGCCACCGCCCGTGCCCGTTGACACACAGCGCGCGATCCGGCGTGACAAGCTACTGAAACAGCTGCGGGTCCAAACAAGTCAGAAAGACGATGTGATTACAGGCGATATTGTCCTCGATGGCCATGTCGTTCTGGACAACGTGATGCGTCAAAAGGTCGGCCTGCTCTGCATCGACATGATCATCGACATCAGCCAGCGACTCGACAACCCTCGCGTCGCCGAGCTGCCTCGCTACGTTGCCCAAATGGCGCACAAGTGCGCGACGATCCCGCGCCTCTTGACGTTTGCTAACTGCGTCGCGTCGGCACTCGGCGCACCCGCCGGCAGCGAGCTCCCAGACCTGGACGCTCTCATCACGGACTTGGTGCACTTCCGGCGCGACTACAAGGCGCTGCAGCTAGCGATGGAGCCACCTGGTAGCATGATCCACGCGCATTTGGCGACGTCATGAAGGCGCTCAACGTGACGACGCTTGCCGCCATGGTGCCGGCAATCATGGTATAGTGAATCTGGCCTTTCTGGAGGTGCCATAAGATCTGATAGGAGATGCGGTCGCTGCTGGTGACGCAGCGCGAGTTTGCTGCCGCGCTGCGCCAGCTCCTCGGGCTCGCACATGGCGCGACGACAAAAGATATCCTCGACGTCTTGACGGGGTACTTGGAGACGATTGGCCTCCGTCGCCACGCTGCAGAACCGTGACGCCCACTTCAACTTGGGGCAAACCTAGGTTTTACCCCGTGTAAAACAGACACGTGTCGAGTCCCATCTACCAAACGTGATGGCATGCGACGAGAACAGCGGCATTGAACGCAGACGTATCTGACATGCATGGAGAAGCTCATGAACAAGAAGCCTTGGCGCATTGGTGCATGTCATGAAGGCCGCAGCAACCCTTGCGGCGATTTGGGCAAAACGGTGACGCGGGTGATAATTGGTTCTTCCCAGTATTACATTTCACAGGTATGTCTAGTTGCAGCTGGCAATATCCGATTCCACGGTAGACCAGCGCGTTGAAGTGGGTCGGGCAGTTAGGAACTTGCCATGTCGTGTGGAAGCCAAGGTGTCGTCGTCTTCACGCTCGGCCTGCTCACGGGCACGGGCACGACGCTGTACGAAGACGCGCTGCGACAACAAGCACTTAAATGCCTTTTAGGATGTCCAAGGTGATGTACAACATCGACTCGATCGGCAGCGACGGCCTCCTCAAGAAGTTTGAAAGCCCATTTTCCAGACGTGGCTCATGTTCGCCGCCATGATTTTTGCCTTGCCGATCCAGTACATCTACCATTGGCATCTCGAGCGGCAATGGCATGCGAACGGCGGCAAGATCACAGGCTGTACGTGCTTCGCACCCACAACTGAATCGATTTCTCACGCGGCGCGCTCTAGTCAAGCGGCCACAGCGCGTGCCCATCAAGACGTACTTTGTCCTGGCGCTGCCCGCAGCCTTTGACTTGATTGCGACGTACTTGGCCAACCTAGGGCTGCTCTACGTGACGGTCAGCGTCTTCCAGCTCATGAAGTGCACCGTCATCATCTTTGTCGCGCTCCTCAAGGTGGTCGTGCTCAAGGACCACCTCCGCGGGTACATGTGGATTGGCATCGCCATGAACACGGCGGCGGCCATCATGGTGGGCTTTACGAGCTTCCAGGACACGGACGACCAGCTCAACAGCACCAACAACCCGGGTCTGGGCATCCTCATGATTGTGCTGAGCTGCTTTGTGCAGTCGGCGCAATACGTCTTTGAAGAAAAGCTCATGGGCGACGGGATTGACACGGCGCCGCCGTTGATCGTCGTCGGCATGGAAGGCTTCTGGGGCCTTCTCTTCACGTCCATCTTTGTCTACCCGATCGCGTACTACCTCCCGGGCAACGACCTCGGGTCGTACGAGCGCTTTGACGACGCGCTCACGATGCTCGGCCACAGCAAGGCGGCGCAGATTGCCGCCGGTATCTTTGTGTTCGTCATCCTTGGCTACAACGTCTTTGCCGTTTTTGTGACCTTTCTCCTCGACTCGATCTGGCACGCGATCCTCGACAACTTTCGCCCGATCACGGTCTGGGGCACGGACCTGCTGCTCTTTTACGTCTTTACGCCCGGTACGTTTGGCGAGGCGTGGACGATTTGGAGCTGGCTCGAGCTCGGCGGCATGCTCACGCTCCTCGTCGGCACGGCGGTCTACAACGGGTCGATCCAGCTGCCCGGGCACTACTATGACGAGCCGGTCGACGGTGAGAGTGGCGCCACGACCATGATCCGGACGCCGCTCTCGATGGCGAGTTCAGCCTTGACGCGCAGCCCGATGATCTCCAAGCAAGCGCTCAAGGCTGCCGACATTGCACGCCGGACGCCCGACCCCATGGACCGCGAACGCGTCCGGAAAGAGTACATGACCGAGTTCCACAAGCTGCAGTCGGGCAAGGACAGCAGCGGCTCGAGCGCGTCCAAGCGCCTCGACCCCGCGGGGCACTCGTACGGCTCGATGGACACGTAGTCGTTGTAGAAAATTCCGGCAACAGAAGTTGACTTTGAGTTGCGTGTTTGTAGCCAGGACGTGCCACGTGGATCGACCATCATTCACCAGTTGGCACAATCCCACACGCCATCAACGAGACGCTTATACACACCGCGAGGTGCCACGCCCAGCTTCTATGCGCGAGGCTACTTGCAGTGGATGGACACGGCAGCGCGGCCTGTATGAAGGTAGCGTTGGACCATTGCCGCACGACTATGTACGTCTAAGCTCTGAGAGGCCGCTGCAGCATCACATGGGCACGGCCATGACGTCGGTTCGGTGCAGCTCGGATTGCATAGCCGCGCAGCACAGTGGGCGAGAAGAGAGAGAAGCAAGCAGCACGATGCGTGCTGCTGCATCGACGGTCGTATGGCGATCCGGTCGGTCGAAGCTCCGAGTAGCTACTCAGAGCAGCGGCTGCGTCCATTGCCGTATTGGCTTCCACCGGCTCGTTCGCAGAGTATTCGAAATCCATGTCGGATGCATCGAAGCGGGTTGCGCCGACATGGCCAGCTGCCAAGGTGATCGCCTCGTGTGTATAAAACAGGTTCTGGCTTTCTTTAAAAAAAGTCATTTCGTTCTTTTAATCGGGCAAGATTGACTCAGGATGTGTACGCGGGAAGGATGTGCACACGCGCCTGTTTTTTAAACTCATCGGGGGTTTTAAAAACCGTTGGGACCTGGTTTCATTGGCCAGCGACGAGTTTCCCTATCCATGTTACGAGCGCGTGTCACGGCCTCTTCCTACACCAGCGTAATGCTTCGCGGGTCTTCTTGCTCCTCTCTACTATATATATGACGAGTACCTTGTCTGGCGTGAGGTCTCCCACGCCTGTACATGGAGGGCCTTGTCGCCTCTCTTGCTTCCGGATTGAAAAAAAAACACTCTGGTGCAGTGCCGAAGTCGAGACGTTGCATTCGATATCTGCTGACGCCACTGGCTGAAACGGTGTATTTTATCGTGTGGTATTTTTTTACGCGATCCTGGTGGCCTGCCGCAATTTTTTCTACCTTGCGTCGTGTTCGCTTGTTGTTTGTATGGTCTGTGGCCATACGTTTAAAAAACAGAATTCGAAGCCGCCAATTTAATGCGCGCCTTCGATCTTTCGAATCTTGGATCGGATTTTAATTGGTGCACGGATACTACGCGCGCATTTGCGCTGCGCTTCGGATCCACGCGCCACTGGATTGGATACAAAACCAAGGTACGACGCACGCCACACGCCACCTATCGCGACGCAAAAGTGACGCAAATCAACTTTGCGCCGAGCGACCTACTTTTTTGTATTTCGGAAGATTGCTAAATTAAAACCAGCGTTCGAAAAACGCCAGGCGAGTGTTTTGACTGGCCAGTAGCGTATACAAAACCAAAGATAATTTAATTCGCCACCGCATTTGCATAGGTTCGAGAAGGTGTTGGGCCGCGAATATTTTGTTATTTGCCAGCGCGCAGCCAAAGTCAGACGACCTCGGCGGCGACTCGACAAGCACGACCAGCAGCAGCTCCGCGATACCCTCGACCTCGCCGCACCTGCTGTCACCGCCGCCGACGACATCCGCTGTCTCTGGATCCTTCGCCGCCGCCTCCATCTCCGACGGCCACCGACCCGACGTTTTTCCAGTTTGCAAGGTACACGTCGCAGCTCGTCGCAGGCCCTCATTGCACCGGTGTTTACTAGATGATGCTCGGATGCTACGCAGAAGACCCGCTGGCCAAGCAGAGCCGCCAGCAAGCACACGCCCACGCGGCCTCGAGCGGCCACGGGGTTGGCGCCGACTCGTTTGTCGATGTAGAAAAGGACGGCGAACTCGGCTGGTTTAGCGACGGCAGCCTCCTGCGCATGGACGAGTTTGGCCACGACATTGAGTGGGTCAACGACGAGCTGGACCAAAGTCTGCACCTGCAATTCGCCCACGGCGACAGCGAAGACCTCTTTGCGCGCGAATTTGCGCCATTTGCAGTGCCCTCTGCGGCGACGCCGCTCGACGTGGCGTCCAACAATCAGCCCACCGCCTCTGGTACGTGCAACTCGATGATCGAGTATCTCGATGAGTATCTTACCATGCACTTCAACCCGATAGATGGCATGCACTTGGCAAGCGGTGACTTTCGGGAATGCGAGAAGCTCCTCATGAGCTTTGACACGATGAGCTACACGTCGCCGTCGCCGATCTCATCGCCGCGCCGCGGCGACGCATCACTTGACGACGCGATGCTCGACGACGACATGGACGACGACATGGACATTGACGACGACATGTCGCTCGACGGCGACAGCGACGCGCTCTCGTCCATGACGGATATGGAAACCGAGAGCCTCAAGGCCGCGCTCGCCAAGCTCTCGCCGCCGGCCGTCACCAAGGTCGAGCACAAGGCGCTGGTCGCGCCCGTGAAGAAGATTTTCGAGCCCATTTGCCATCAGCGCACGATCGGTGCGTACACGCCAGCCGCGCGCAAGCTGCGACTGGAAAAGTTCCACGAGAAGCGGAAGAAGCGCATTTGGAAGAAGAGCATCAAGTACGACTGCCGGAAGAAGCTCGCGGACGACCGTCCGCGCATCAAGGGCCGGTTTGTGCGTGTGCTCGAGAACCTCAACCTCGTTAAGTCGGAAGAGGCGATCGTGGTCCCCGACGCCACCGTTGACGCGCCCGTCGCCGCGTCCCCGAAGACGGACGCCGCGCTGATCGAGGCACCCGTGACCGACGCCGCGCCGGTCGGCACGCCTGCGGGCACGCCAAGCCCGACCGCCGTGTCGTCGCTGCTCGGCGCGAGCCTGAGCCCGACCGTGAATGCGATCTCGGCCAACTTTGGCTTTGGCTTTGGGTCGCCTGTCGTCATGGTCAAGCTCGAGCAGCCGCCGTCGTTCCCGCTCGTCGGCCGCGCAATCTTGGGCTAGCGACATGCTTGTCTGTAGTAGTTAGTAGTTCCTCCAACCCCCACCCCATCGCTGCCGCTGCGCAGTAACCACATTATAGTGCTAGAACCCGAGTCGCCCGTATCGAAAAATAACAAGCCCACTTCCGACTCGACATCTGTCATGTTTTCTGAAGACGTGCAACGAGGTCAATGTAAGAGCTCTGCCTCTGGCCTCGCAACCGCGGGTCAACTTGAGCCTTTTCACTTGATACTGCTTCGCCCTGCATCGTCTGGGAAGCATCATCATCGTACATCATTATCAACAGTGAGCTACTACGTGTGCTGGCCAAAGGGCGGGCGGTATGACTCCATGGCCTTTTCCTCGTCCGAGACGATGATGGCTTCGATCTGCCGGAGCACGGGCGAGAGCTCCTGCACCTTGCGCGTGAGCACGTCAATGTACTCGCCCGCTTGCTGCCGAAACGCAAAATCCTGCGGGTACGTCGATGACACCGTGTTGCGCATCTTCATCACGTCGTTGAGAAAGAGGCTAATGCGCGGGTACCGCCGCATGTGGCAAAACTGCATGAGCCGCGTGATGTCCATACCCTAATGATCATGCCCGATAGGATGAGACATCTTTCCAAAGACGAGGAGGCATGTACGTTGGCGTAACCCGGCTCGTCGCGCAGGACACACGTGAACGCTTCGCCAAACTTGTACTCCTCGGTCGTGTCCTTGATGGCTCTGAGAAAATGGTAGTTGAGTCGCCCGATCGCCGACCGATCGGTTGCGAGCGCCGCAATCGGGACCGGCTTGGTGACCTAGTCGTCGTCAAATAGCAGCAAGCATGCAGTATTCGAGCGCCTACGTGGGCTTCGCTGCTCACGGTGCGAGGGGCTTCGGTCTTGATGTACGTCGGTGTCGACGACGGCACGTACGACCGCGCCGGCTCGGGGTACCCGTAGCCTTGGCGCGACGGAGGCGGCGTCAGAAATGAGGTGCGCTGGGCGACTGGTGGCAGCGACGGCGGCGCCATGAACGACGACGACGGGCCACCGCTGTTGCGCCGGTACACGGCGTCGTCCTCGGGCACGTCGCCCTCCGAGAGCTGGTAGGCCGACGCGTTTGCAGCGGCACGCCACGCATTGCCATCGACGTTGGGCCGCAGCGGCAGCACCGAGAGGCTCGGGATCTTTTTGAGCTGCGGACGATCCCCCGGCGGCGTCGGGAGTGAGTACGGCGACGGCGACCGGTGGTGTGGGCTGTACTGTGGCTGGTCGAGGCGGGCAAACTTGGACCGGCCGTCGTCGATCATCTCGTCTTGTCGGGGGCGGTACTGGGGGCGCGGCTGGGTGGGCAGTGGCTGCAGCATCCCATGGTGCGGCGACGGGGACTGGCGGTCGTGGACATGCGGCGGTGTGGGCACGCGCGGCGGCGGCTCATGCTGCTGCTGCTTCTGTTGTTGTTGTTGCGGCTGTTGTTGTTGCGGCTGTTGTTGTTGCGGCGGCGGCTGCTGCTGTTGTTGCATGCTCGCCGTCTGCTTGGAGCTAAGCTGCGGCGTGACGGGGAGGAGCCACTTCAAAAGAGTGTCGCGGGGCAGGTCCTCAGCGTCGCCGTCCGAGTAGGCGACGTGGTACTGATCGCCATACTCTTCCGAGTGCCAATGGCGGACGACCGAGCCCTGGTACCAGCCGAACCCTTCGAAGAATTTGCGCACTATCCGACACATTGAGGCTCCTCCTCGACGTGGATCCATCATACCTTTGCGACCAAGAAGGTTCGACGATGGCTGCGAGACTTTGGCGTCGCTGCGCATGGACATGTGGTGGGCATCTGTCGTCGGACGTTCGTCGGGCGTTGCTAGCCGCGCGTCGTCGCCAGACGCCGTCAGGTCGACCCGGCCATCCATCGGCGGCGGCGACGGCGTCAAGCCACGCATCATACCGACGCTCGCGTTCACTTCAATGCTCTCGACGGTCGTACCGTCGACCGCGGCCATTGCTTGGTCGGGCGGTCCGCTGAACGGCTTGTCAAACTCCGTGGCCTCATTTAGCCCACAGATCTTGGCAGGCACGTAGCTGTCAACATGAGGATGGTCATGCAACGACGCGTCCGAGCGGCGGAAGCCATCATGCTCGAAGGGCGCGTCCTTGGCCGCGAAGACCGCGGCTCGTCCGTCGGCCTCCATCGAGCTTGCTTTCTTTCCAGAGTGTTACTTTCGGATGCGGGTTGACGTTTTTTAAATTTCTATCCGGATATCATGCCGGATATGGAACGGGCCTTCCATGGTTTGGGTTGCGATCTTAGCCATGGACCACCGACCGACCGGCTCGTCGGTCGCGACCGAGGCCTCGCCTGCATGCAGCATCGTCCACGCCGCTGCCAAGGCGCCATGGCGCTAGGTCGAGGATGGTGCTAGGCCATGATGTTGCGTCAACAGGTTCGCTCCAAGCAGCTACTTGTGGCTGGCTGTACTCATGCTGACAATACTTCCTTGTTCCCATACGAACGGATGTAATGACTTAGTCGAGGCCGCGCTTGAAGATACCAAAGATGGTATCGCGCATGTCGTTAATCGCGCGCTGGGCCGCAGGCACGAGGTCGCCGTAGATGAGGAAGCCGTGCGTGAGGTCGGGCAGCACCTTGAGCGCACCGGGCACGTGGAGGCTGGAGAGGCGCGTGTGGAAGTCAATGCTGTCGTCGAGGAGCGGGTCGAGGTCGCCGACCATGAGCGTCGTGTGCGGGAACTGCGAGAGGATCGTGTCGTTGGCGAGGCCAGGCGACACCATCGGGTCGTGGATGTTGTCCTTATACTCGGCGTCGTGCCCGTGCGCCGGGTTGTACGACTTGAGCGCGAGCTCGAGGATCGCACGCGGCAGCACCGGGTCGCTCTGGTGCAGAAAGCGCGACGGCGACGGCGACATGTTCATGTTGAGCGCCGGGTACACGAGGAGGATGCCGTTGGGTAGCCGGACGTTCTCAAGCGTGCACTTGACCGTGAGCGCGGCCGCGAGGTTGCCCCCTACATCCATCATCATCCATGTGCTTCGAAGCCACTTCCATGACAGAGAGAGCTACCGGCGCTTTCACCAAAAAACGCAATGCTGGACGGGACGAACCCAAGCCCGCCATCGAGGACCCACTTGTACACGGTGAAGCACTGGTGGAGCGAGTGCGGGTACTGCATCTCGGGCGCCAAGCCATAATCTGCCGCCACTTATCAGACATCCTCGTGTCTTTACACGACACGTACCAATGTAGACAATGACAGCACCGAGCGCGACGGCCCACTCGCTCAAGTTGAAGAGGTCTTTGGCGAGGAACCGCCCGAAGAAGCCACCGCCGTGGATGTAAATCAGCACCGGCCGCGCATACGGCAGCCCAATGGCTGCGAGGTTCGCCGGCAGCGTCGACGGCCACGTCCCGTTCTTGACGTGCTCCATCGAGCGCGCGCTAAAGACGCGGATGCCAATGTCGGTAACGTCACGCTGGTAGCGCCCGGCGGCGACGCCGTGCGCGTTGACAAAGATCTGGTGCCGCACCGCGAGCTTGGGCGACTGCAGCAGCGCAATGCGGATCGCAAGGAAGGACTCGCCAAAGAGCCGCCAGCCCATGCGGATCGTGTCGACGTCCGGGTTGTCCATGAGGAGCCGCGTGACGTACCGACACGCTTTCTTGAAGCGCACGCCATAGTACGGCACGAGCGCGGCCGAGAGGTACGGCCCGAGGTACGGGAAGAGGCGGTCGCCGACGAGCCAGCGCGCGGTCGCCGCAGACGCGAGGAGCACAGACGTGCCGGCTTTGAAGGCCGTGAGCCCGACGTGTTCGTGCGACCGGTCGTAGATCTCGGACGGCAGCGGCACGCGCTCGATGAGGAGGACGCTGGCCGACTTGAGGTGGTCGTTGATGTCGGCCTCCATGGGCGCGTCGATGAGGAGACGCTGCGACTTGGACCGGTTCAAGCGCGTGCGGTCGAGCACGTGCTGGCAGAGGAGGAAGAGGCGGAGCGTCATGAGTACGCGCGAGTGGTGCACCTTGAGCTGGCGCAGTTTCGAGAAGCGGTAGAGAAGCCGCCACGCATAGTCGTAGCAGATGAGGCCAAGGATCCCGGCCTCGACATGGCGCAATGACGGCAGAAACGTGAGCAAGATGGACCGGAACGACTCGCGGTGCACGAAGCGCTTGCGCGCCATGTAAAAGAAGATGGCCGTGACGACGAACGGCGTCGCGGACCACCGGTTCTCCCAGAACGGATCGTAGTTGTGCGAGAGGCGAAGGAGGACGTCCTTGGTATCCTCCATCGACACGGTGACATGCCGCAGCAAGGACGCGACGCCGCCGGCCAAGATCGCATGCCGCTTGTCCATGGGAATGAGCGGAATGATGTCTTTAAGCGCTTGCTTGTCGCGGTAGTCGAGGCGCGGGTTGCAAATGACCTCTTCCTTGATGAAGCTGTACAAGACACGCTCAAAGGACGCGACGGTGAGCGAGAGGTGCTGGAGTTCGCGGCCGACGCGGCCATAGGCGTTTTCACGAATGATGCGTCGGAGGACCTAGCGCTGTAGTATGAGGCTACGGCGCGGCGACGCGTGTACCTGGATCGTCGAGAGCACGGCGGTTGACGTTGCAATCAAGAGAGCGACGTCGTCCTTGCGGTCTTTCGCCGAGGCTGGCGAGCCCGGTGTCGGCGCCTCGAGGCTGCGCTCCATGCTCGGTCCCATCTGCCCGAGCAAGAGCACCGTGCTGAGCGACTTGGCCATCATCGCCGGTTCCGTCATGGCTCTGGTCGCCTTCGAGAACGCTGCCGAGTGGCCAGCAAAAATAAAATCTTTTTTAAAAAGCGTATCCTGTTTCGTCATCGCAAAACCTTTCTATATCAATATTATATCCATACATAGAGGTTTTGGAGCGCTTGTTTTTGACACCCAAGAGGCCCGGCAGTAGCTCCCGCCATTATGAGCGCCTGGATATAGTCGACGACAAGCGCTAGGAGGATATTACCGTAATACTACCTAGACCATCGATAACACTGCCAATGGAGTGTGTACCTGATGCGTCTGCAAGCCCATCTCGGCGTCTGGCTCGAGCGAGCGAGCGCTGCAGTTGGATGACGCCACAGTGGTCATGCGTTCGCTGCGGCGCACGCACGGCTGATTACTTGACACAGTGGCAACAGGTTCCAGAAGAGCGCGACGAATGGCTGCCAGTCGTCGGCCTCCTCGGCCAGCCACGCTGGCCGCTTGTCATTTCTCTGGGCTGTAGCTCGCTGACGGTCCTTCGTATAGTAGCAGAAGAAACGCAGCTCGAGCGTGGCAGGTACTCGTGTCCTTCGTGGACAAACGGTATGGCTTGTCCCTGTGGAGGACCTCGCCCGCCTTGTTTCCGACCTTGCAGTCGAGTCTTGGGAGATGGTGGACAGGGCCGATTGTGCGAGATTGAATACGCAGCACGTGCTTCGAGGCTGCGCGGTGAGAGTGCTCCGTGGATAGAACGAGCTGCTCCAAGCAAGTGGGTCCGAGCCAAGACTGCTGCTACGAGTCCATGGCAAGGATCTTTGTCGGTTGGCGATGACCAGTGGGCGATGACAATGCAAGCACGCGGTGCTGCCACGCTGACGCACCACGATCTGGATCGGCACGCGATTGGCCAACCCAGAGAATACCCTCGTTGGTCGTGCCAGGACGGGGTCGAAGGAGCCACTGTAGTGAGGCTCGTCACTGCTACACGGAAACGATGCAGCCAGTGGCTCAGAACGCTGCCAAACCAGTTTCTACAAGTCGCTTTTACAACCGCTCGCTTCTACACGCGCCATGCGATCCAGAACTCGGGTTATTTTTGCCTTTGCGGGGTCACCGAGTCGAGTGCCGTCGTGAACGGTTGTCTCAAGTCGGAGCAGCCGACGGGCTCTCCGCTTCCATCTCTGCGCTGTCGCTCACCCCTATATGAACGTGTTTCGCGTTTTCTTCGTTGTTACAAAGAGTTCGCATACGTAGAGACTACGTCTTCTTCATTCGCTCGCCGGGCCGTGGCTGCGCAGGCGGCGGCGTGGGGGCTCGTCTTGCTCTTCTGTAGTCGCCCGGGGGCGCTTGCGATGACGACAAGCGGTCACCCCCGAGTCTTGGAGTAGTACACGTAGACATCTAAGCGCGCAAAGCAATCAACACCCCAGCGTGAGGCCATGTCGTGGCGGTAAGGGACTCGATTCCCATCCGTCCCAGATCGATGACGACAACCTCCACCCATCGATGACGTCCTTTGGTCGCGCTCGCTCTTGCTCGTCTCCAGTGCAAGAAGCCTCTTCATTCAGCAATGCCATTTTGCATTACTTTTTCTTGTTACCGCTGCGCTTCTTGAACGACTTGGTTGGGGCCTTGGCGTCGTCCTCGATCGCCCACTCTTCGAGGAGCTTGGCGGCGGCGTCGGCGGCGGCGACGTCTTTCGCCCGCAGCTCAAAGGTCGCAATCTTGGCCGTCATGTCCTTGGCCAAGTCGTTCGGGATTGGGAACGTGAGGTGGTACTGCAGGACGAGCCAGGCGCCGTTGGCAAAGACGAGCGTGCCCGAGCCGCGCGACGTCGCGAGGAAGTCGGCGCTCACGAGAAGCTCGTCAAAGACGCAAAAGGTCGGCACGTCGGCCGATGGCTGGTACGTGATTTTGCGGCTGCCCGCGATCGGCCGGTATTCCCAGCCACTGCCCTGCGCAAAGTGGGGCTTGGCAAAGTCGTAAAAGTCGTTGACGTGCCAGTTCTCGGACGCATCCGTACCGAGGAAGCGGCCGTCCTTGTGGTAGCAGCCAAAGTAGCCCTTGAGGTCGCCGACCTTGGCGGCCTCATGGAACGCGTCGAGAAGCGCGTCGACCGTCGCATGGGCGCTGGTCCCGATCGTCTTGGCGCGGCTCGTTGCCATCGCAGAGGAATTCTAATTCGGCACTGACACACTTTTATTGTGGCACATGCCGCCAATGGACGCCACATCTAAATAGTAACATCGTGCCGACCTCCGGCACGGCATTTTAGCCAATTGCAAGCGCTAGCAAAAAGGAGTGGCTATTTTTTGGCCAATCCCATTGCCGTGCGTATCCGGCTGCATGGACGAGCCCAAATTGCATTTGATGGCAACTGACGCACAGACGCTGGCGGCGGCGCTGGGCGCCCTCGTGCTCCTCGCCTTTGTCGCGGTCAAGTACACGGCGAGCAAGGTGCTGGAGGCGCGCATCGAGAAGTTCCAGGCGTCGACAAGCACGCCCGCGACGGAGAAGACGGCCGAGTATGGCTGGCTCCAGGGCAAGCGCTGCCTGGTGACGGGCGGCAATGGCTTCCTTGGTCGCCACGTGGCCGAAGGCCTCTTGCGCCATGGCTGCAATGTGCGCGTTGTCGACCTCGCGCCGTCGACGGATCTCGCCAAGGTCGAGTTTGTGCAGTGCGACTTGCGCGAGAAGGACGCGGTCATGGCGGCGTTTGCGGGCGCTGCGTTTGACGTGGTCTTTCACTGCGCGACGCCGAGCCCGTTCTCCAAGAACACGACGCTCCTCATGCAAGTCAACGTACGTCGTCCAACTCTTCTTCTTTATGCCCATACGACGCATGCGCCTCTACGACTAGGTCGAAGGCACGCGCAACCTGCTCGATGCGTGCGAGCAGTTCAAGGTCGATCGGTTCCTCTTTGTAAGCTCGGCCGGCGTCGCGTACGAAGCCATCGATCAAATGAACGTCAACGAAGCCGCGCCGATGCCCTCGAGCTTTCGGTACGCGCCGTCGCGACCTTCTGGTCTCACCAATCCTTGCAGCGACGACTACTGCCGGACCAAATTCCTCGCCGAAGAGCTCGTGCTCAAGCGTAACTCGCCGAGCTTGCGCACGACGGCGATCCGCCCGCACGGTATGTTTGGCCCGCGCGAAGCCCACTACATGCCGTCGCTCCTCGCTGCGGCCAAGGCCGGTACCACCAAGTACCAAGTCGGCGCCGGCCAGTACGCCCATCTCCGTCTTGTCGCGAGTCCATACTGATGCGAAGGGTGTAGGAACCGCGTCGACCTGACGTACGTCGGCAACGTTGTGCATGCTCTTCTCCTTGCCGCCGACAAGCTCTCCCCCGGCGCCAAGTCGGCGGGCCAGGCGTACTTTATCACGAACGACGCGCCTGTCTCGCTCTGGGATACGATTGGTCACATTTTGATGGCCATGGGCTACAACCCGCCGTCGATCGCAGTGCCGTACGGCGTCTGCATGCTTGGTAGGACGACGTCCTCAAGGCTGATCGAATGAGGATGCTGACGGACGCTTGTAGCCGCCGCGACCGGTCTCGCGCCCGTGACGACGGCCAAGCTGCCGATGCTCGGCCAGCATCACTTTTACTCGTGCGAAAAGGTACATTATGACCGTCAAGACGACATGTGTGTTGACGTCGTCGCAGGCCAAGCGCGACCTTGGGTACGCGCCACTCTACTCGGTCGAAGAAGGCTTGACGCTGACGCTCGCGACCTTGACGGACGCGCGCGGCCCGCACTCGTTTGAACAGTTCAAGCCCGCGTACCTCACGCGCGAGTACCGCAAGTACACGCGTGCGCAAGTGGCCATGCACAACAAGGAACACGATGCGTGGATCATTGTCAAGGACAAGGTCTTTGACATCACCGAGTACGTCGAGGACCACCCCGGTGGGCTCAGCATCCTCAACGACGTGGGCGGCGACGCGACCGTGGTATGACGCCATTATGCTCGTGTCTTGGAAGTAAATGGGTCGTCGTGATCTAGGGCTTTTACGGTCCGCAGCATCCGCCGACCGTCGCCGAGCACATTCTCGAGTACTTGATTGGCGAGATTGACGACGCCGAGGCATAAGCACGTCGCCAGCTTACGACCATAAGAGTGGTCGAGACGCAATAGAACGCTGATTATGACAGTGTTATCTACGACGTGGTCGGGGGCGGCGGGGCGAGCGCGACGCCGTCGATGATGGGGTGCCGCTTGGCGAACGACGGCGTCTGCGGCGTCTTGGCCAGTGTCTCGAGGACCGCGTGGCGGTGGGCGGGGCTTTCGTGCAAGTGGCGGAACCGCTTGAAGACCTTCATGGCGTAAATGGCGTCGACGACCGGGTCGTGGTCCGTTTCCTGCAGCAAGCAAGTGGGCGGGGGTTCGAAACCAGCATGGATATGAGATAGATGATACCTGGATCGACTCTTCGAGGAGGTACTTGACGACGTGGCGCAGCGAGAAGTACCGGTACGACGACTTGGTGTTGGGCATGCGGAAGAGCATGGCGACGTCAAAGATCGCACGAAAGTCCTCGCCCGCCTTCAAGCCAAGCCAGGCCACATCTGACACGTGATGGAACTGACCGTGAGCTGGGATCGCGACGAGGATGTAATACCTTTGTCGACCGACTGCCCGACGAGGACGCTGTCCGTGGGCAAGATCGCCCGCAGATCGGTGAGCACCTCGGCGAGCGTCCGCGCGCCTTCCAAATGACTAATCGGCTCGTCAGTCGCCGAGTTACGAGAAGAGTATGGGCACGCACGCTGCTGTGATGCCCGTGAGCTGTGTCAAGTAGCTCACGACGGGCTTGGCGGGCTTGACATACGCATCAAAGAGCGTGTGTTCGTTCTCCGAGACAATGGCAATCCGTGCGACGTCGCGGTCCCTATTAGCTCGCATAAGTACACACATGGTAAGCAGCGCCGTCGTCGTACAAGTGGCCCGTGCCCGTGGCGACGCATTCGACATCAATGGCGAAGAAGGGGCCGAGGAGGTCCCGTGTGAGCACCGTCTCGTCGGCAATCGAGAGCTGCGTCATGTCGGGCAGCGGCGCCGGCGCCGGGACGTTTTCGTGCGAGAAGCTGCATTGCGCACCGTTGCGACACTGGCCCTTGAGGAAAAAGCGGCAGGGTGGCTTCCGCGGCTTGGTCGATGGGGCGAATTGAGCCTTGGCTTGCGCAGCGTCGTGGCGGAATTGGCACGTGCTGCCCTTGGCGCACCCCTGCGGCGAGTTGAAGAAGCGGCAGGTAGGCGCCGAGGCCGGGTTGAAGATGGCGTACTTGTTGGTCTTGGCCAGCGGCGGCGACGGGCCGGGCGGCAGCGGTGGCGAGGGCTCCATGCTTTTGAGAAATCATCCTACCCCACGTGGTACCTGTGAAACTTGATGCTACAATATAAATGGCTGCAGGTTATGAAACCGCCGTCTTTGAACCTCTTCTGGATTGGCCAAAATGAAACCTGGAAGCGCATGTGATTGGCTACTGCTAAAGATATTTTCAAACTCCCGCCTTTCACACGCTTGTCCTTACCAGAGGCGAAGCTCTAGCGTGCCAAGCGGGTCTCACATCGAGTGCAGCGCGGCCGGTCCAAGGGTATCCAGGTACCAGAAGGAACCTGTCAGTAGCGATAGCACTGCTCCACGCCAACACACTCTTGCGTGCAGGACGATGTTTTCGGTTGCTCTTGAAGGGGGTCGTCAACTACGTTCTTAGCTGGCCGCGAACGTTGGGTTTGCTGGGTCAGAGGTGGCGAATCGACATCAGTTACCGTCGATACTTGTATAGGGGCGTGCGCGATGATATAGCTTTATATGATACTTCTACAAGGCGCTATAACTCAAAACAGATGGGTCCCTCCGTCGCGGGCTTCCGGTGTGTGATAATGGGAATGCCCTGTCGCTGCCGAAAGGCCTTGAGCCATGACTCGGACGCCTTGAAGTTCTCAATGCCCAGCGATGTTGCAATGTCAATGGCCTCGGCGCGCAAGTCGTCCAGCGTATACTTTAGGTCCTGTTCCTTGAGATCGGCGATGAACGCCATCAAGCCGCGGTCGATCGCGTTGCAAGCGACGCCCTTGGATCCCCGCGCAGCGCGGCGCGTGTCTTCGTCCGTCGCCAGCAAGATGGGCAGCGCCTTCTCGCGCTCCTTGAGCACCCGCTTGATCGTGGCCGGCTGGACGCCAAAGTGCCTGGCCGCCACCGGGACGCTCGGCGGCGTCGGTCCGCCGAACGCCAAGAGAATGTCGAGTCGATCTTGGTCCGTGAGCCGCAAATTGTCCTCGAGATGAGTGCGTTTGCTTTCGGAGCTTCCGCCGTCGCTCGCATGGGACCGCGGAGGCCCCTCGAATGGATTGTTGGCAAAGCGGTTGTAGACCACCCGCCGCGTCCGCCGGACATCCTCGGGCGTTGCCAATAGCATTCGCAAGTACTGGTCGCCCTTTCGGACGAGTTGTCGGACCGCAGTTTCATCGACGTTGTACTTGCGTGCCAAGGCGCGCATCGACGGCGGTGCCGGCGTGTCCAGGGCCATGAGAATCTCGAGCCGCTCCTGGTCAGTCATGCGCAGACCATTGCGCCTCGGACGCTCCGGATACTCTGGTGCCGGCGGCGGCTTTGGCGGCTTTGGAGGCGCCTTCCGTCGGAACGTTGCGCGGCGCACCTTCTCGGGCGTCGCCAGGAGGCGTGGCAGCACCTCTTCCCGCTGCGCCAGCAGCTGGCGCACCGCGGGCACCTTGACGCCATACTGGCGCGCAATGCTGTGTATGCCAGTGTACTTGGGGCCTGGGAGCGCCAAGAGGATCTCGAGGCGCTCTTGGTCGTTGAGACGCCGGAACTTGGGCTTTGCTGGCGGCTCGCTACGCACCTCGTCTGTTCCCATAGGTCGGCGGCTACTGGCCAAACTCGTCCCATGCGTCGTACATGACTGATGTACGGGGTACATTCCGTACATTCACGTTGAAGTGCTAGAAATAGCGTATAACCTGTTTTGGCGCGAAAGGTCGGATGCTGGAGACTATCTATCTATCTATCTATCTATCTATCTATCTATCTATCTATCTATCTATCTATCTATCTATCTATCTATCTATCTATCTATCTATCTATCTATCCATAGTAGATAGATATGACGTTTATTCGCGTTAATCAACACAGCAGTAGTGGCTGTAAGCCAGGCGTGCATATTAGATAGTACCCCTGTTGTTAGCTATCCATCTATCTTTGAAAAGACCATACGACCATAGCACTTTATATGAAGCGAGATTATCCAACTGCTTGTTCGTCATGAGTGAGTCACGAGCTTCCTCTCAACAAGCGTTTAAACGTTTAGGTCGTTGGAGACAACGGACGACATGACTATCCATTGCTTGTGCTTAAATATCGCTGTCGTCCGAGTCGTTGGGGTCGGCGGCAGCGTCGTCCTTTTTGGGGTTGTCGTTCACGTCATCTTTTCCATCGGCTTCGTCAGCAGACGACACGACGGACGAGATAGCACTTCCGTCATAGTCGTCGTCAAGATCGTCTTCGATGACGTCGCTGAGCTCGCTGTTGTTGCGCGGACTCGGCGGGCGCGGTAAACCGAGGTATTGCGCTTTGAAGACTTCAAAGCCAGCGTCCCAGGGCCGTCGGAGCTGCTTTCGGATCGCCTTGGTGCGCTGGTTGGTCACAATCTAACACCAATACTATTGTCTTCACGGCACAATTCATCGTCGGATAAATGTACGCGCTCCCGAATCTCTTTGCCTGTCGTGCTCAAGAGCATCTCGACGATCTCGGTGACGTAGTGGTTGAAGGTCTGGCGCAGCTCATGCTGGAGTGTCTTGACGACAGCCTCCATGTCCTTGATATGCTCTTCCTGCTGCGCAATGTCTTCCTCGATCGCCTTGACAAGCGCCTAGCATAGAAGAAGGAATCATCCAACACCTTGGGCAGCAGCTAATACCTCGGCCGCCTTGGCGTTCTCGTCGGTCCACGCGTCGCCCGCGATCGTCTTGTCGAGAACGTTCTTTTGGGTCGCGACCACCAAGTCGGCTTTGCGCAGCCCGATCGCCTTCTTGAGCCCCGGTAGTTGCCGTCGGATTCGCTTCTTGCGCGCTTTCCGCTCGGCCTTGAGTAGTTTTGCCTCTTTAAACAACCGCGCCTATCCAGTATCCACCCGATAGCCATCAGATCTCTCGAAGCTGCCATAAGTATTCATGTATCAAGATATCAAGAAAGGCCACAAAAACGCCACAGGCCATCCCGCCATGTACCTTGCCGTCGCGCGTGGTCGTGAGGAAGCTATGGACCTGCGCACGGACCTCTTTGAGAGCGTGTTCGATTTGCGCGTCTTCGTTCACGCGACGCGCGGCCTCTTCGTGCGACGTGAGCGATTGGACGAGGACCCACGCAAACTTGTAACACGGATCATGGGCCGTGCCCTTGCGCAGCATGACTTCGCAGCCACAGCGGAAGGGCACGCGGTGGTGCGCGATGCCCACGGGCCCGTACACGCCTTCGTAGTGGGTGAGTGCATCGACGACCACGTCGGGCGCGTGAGGAAATGCCTCGTCCTTGAAGCCGCGCCCGACGCGCTTCTCAATGACATGCAAAATGCTCGGCACGTCTTCCCAGTCCTCGTAGAGCGCAGTGGGGTTGAGCATGTAGCATGGCGTTTCTTCCGCGTTGAGTCCCCACGGCCGCGTGAGGTCGTACCGGAAATCGACCTTGTCGAGCCACCTACATCGTGTGTCAAAGTACTATGTAGAACTCGGAAGCATCGACGGACGAGACCGTTTGGTTTGAATGAGGCGGCAGAGCTGCAGTACGTCCTCGAGGACAGCTTTTCGGGCCGTTTGGGCCCGAGCGTGCTGCGTCGCTTGAAGCTGCTGGACCAGGTCGACGCCTCGCATCGATGGTGCTTGGAAGAACGCGCCGTTGACGTACTTGTCGACCTTGCCGTCAAACTCAAGGAGGTCTTCTGGCGTTAAGAAAGCAAGGTTGGTCGTCAAGAGATTTTGCGTTCGGGGCACGAAATGCTCTCGGTTAAAGCCGTACGGCACGGCACTCAAGAGCGACTGGAGCTCCAGCACGCGCTGGACGCGTTTCTGGAGGTAGACTTGAATGTCTCCGATGCCTTGGGCAAGGATACTCGGCGGCGGGGACCGCAGTGGGTTGCCTTCAAACTCGACCATCTCGAGTGTCTGAAGGCCACCGAACTCGACCGGTAGCTCTTGGAGCTTGTTGCTTTGCATCCAGAGCCGCTTCAGATGCCGCATCCCACAGGCGACGAGCGGAAAGCTCTCAAATTGGTTGCCCGACCTAACGCGACAGTAGTATCCAACTGTACCATCACGATCCTGGCGCGTACAAGGAGAGATCGTGGAGGCATGCACTTGCGATGGACGCGGGCAAGGACGACAGCAGATTCCGGTTGGCCTTGAACTCGCGCAGGCCCGTGGCCGCTCTAAAGTCGAACGAATCGAGTGCCGCAATGCGGTTGTTGGAGACGTCGAGAACTCGCAGCGACGGCAGCCGCGCGAGGCTCGCCGGTAAGCTCTGCAGGTGGTTGTGCGGTGCGAGGCATATTTCTAGCTGCGTGAGCGCGTCCATTGCAGGAGGAAACGCCTCGAGCAGATTGCACCCGACCCGGAGCACGCGCAGCTTGGTCGCGAAGGCGAATAATGTAGCGGGGAGGTCGGGGAGACTGTTGTTTTCGAGATCGAGCTCCTCCCACGGACATGGTGTCGGAACGCACGAGGCGTCCATGGTTCGCAACCGGTTCTGGCGTAGGTTGAGGAGACGAAGGTTTGGCAAGAGAGCCACTTGCGGTGGCACGGTCCCGAGGTTATGGCCCGTGAGCCGCAGCTCCTACAGCAAAGATGTCGGGGATGCGACGTCGGGCGCTCGCTACCTGCAGCTTTGAGAGCTCAAACAGCTGGGGGGGCAGCGTCGCGAGGTTGCGCCAATGAAAGTCGAGTACATGGGTCGTCTTGGCAGCGGCAATGAGCTCCATAATCTCGCGATGGACGTGCAAGTCGGTGGTCTATACACAAAGAAATCCATCGCGTTCGATACATTATGGGAATGCGTACGACACATTCATCGAAAATGCCCGCTTGGACTTGGTGGGGCTCGGGGGGCGCCCCCCGTGCCTCCCTACATCAAAATGAATCCTGCAATTCAAGTTGACCTAATTCATACACAAAAATTTGGTTTTGAATTTCGGCAAAGACGGAGGGCAGGCCCATGGCCTGGGCTGTGGCCGACGGTACGACCAAGGACGGGTTGCCCGTGAGGCGAAGCGTTGTGAGTTGCCGAAGCTGCAGCACCGACCCAGGCACACGCTCGAGTTGGTTGCTGCTCACATCCAGCACTGTGAGCGTCGCTAGCTTGCCAATGTTGGGTGGTAGTCCCGAGAGTCGGTTGAGTTTGAGGTCCAGCCTACGCATCTCTATGACACACCATGCTAGTACCTCGAACCGCGATGTACTCTTGCAGAAGTGGAAAATGGACAAATCCGTCTGGAAGGCTCGTGATGCAATTGGCCGGCGCCAAGAGATGTGTGAGGTTGGCAAGCTGGCACAAGGCGTCGGGCAGCGTCCAGAGCCGGTTGTGGCCGACATTGAGTACTTGCAGTGCCTGCATGTGGCCCTAGCATCTTCTTCGTTTATACACGTTGAATCGCGTCATTTAAGCAAACAATCGAGATCGGCAGCTCATCGATGCTGTTGTTGGCGACGTTGAGCGTCTTGATGTGCGTGAAGCGGTCGTAGCGGTCGAGTTCGGGCGGGACACTACCACCTCCTCTTGTGTCTGTTACGATGTTGGCGTATCGCACCTGGTAAAGGTAGCATTGGTCATGTGGTTGCGGTACGACGTTCTTGCACCAGGTAGAATCTCCCAACCGCCGGGAAAAGCCAGTGGCGGTGCGTCCGTGGAGGTCTCGACGGGCTGTTGGTTTGGCGACAGTTGCAGACGCAGTTTTGGAATTGCAGTCGGGTCGGGCCCGAGGATGTCGGGTCGCTTGCGTGTCACGGTCTTCGTCTTGTGGTTGTAATAGACGAGCGTGCCACTTGCAGGATCCACCGACTCGGACCAGTCGGCGGCCGATGTCGTTGCTTCGTGGTCGGAAGACAGAGCATGGTTGCGCCGAGGCAGCATAGGCATGGGAGGAGCGCCAGCGAGAGAAGCTGGTTCTTGGCACACGATACTGTCCGAAGCAAGTGGAGTTCATAGAGGGCATTGGGCAGATGCACCAAGAGATTGTGGCTCAGATCCAATGTCACGAGATGGACGAGCCGGTACAAGCACGGCGCAGTGCGGAGTCGGTTCCGCGCCACTGAGACGTGCTGGAGCGAGCTTGGTAGCGTCTCGGGCAGCCCATCGAGTTTGTTGCAGTCAAGAAGCAGGGTGTGGAGACGGTTCCAGCGGCCAATGTCTCGCGAGATCGAGATCAGATTGTTTTCGGTGGCGTTGAGCCACTCGCAGCTCGGGAAGGCGGCACAAAAAACAGTTGAGATGTCCCGAAACTCGTTGCGACTAATGTTGATCTCCTTGATGAAGCGCGCCATTTGCAGGAGGAAGGTCGAAAACACCGTGTCCGGGACCATGTCGATGTGCAGCGCCTTGAGGTCGAGCGTGCCGGAGCCGTAGCTGCGGCACATGGCGGTTTGAATGCTGCGCGTCTTTTCTTGGGCTTGGAAGTCAGCGTCATTCTCATATTTGAGCATGGCGTCGGCGTGGTCTCGTCGCCGGTCGATGAGCACGGCCATTGTGTTCAACGTCGGTGGTCCCGTCGTCGCGAGCCTAGTCATACAACAAAGAGTGAGCACATCACGACGCGGAAGGTGCAACCGGGTTTCCAGAAACTTGGTCTTGTACTGCGACGCCTTTTGCTCGCGGAGATAGCGTTCGTTGTTGCTCAGCACTTTGGCCTCGTACTTGGTGCTGATCGCATGAATCGTCGCCCGCGCCGCCTCGTAGCTCCCACTTGCCGCGTACTCTTTGTGGATGTTGAGCACCGGTGCCTTGAGTGCGACGCGCTGCCTCGCATTAGCCTCTTCGTCTGGGGGCATGTACAGGATGTTGTCGCCACAGAGCTCGTCGAACGGGAAGGCATTCGCGGTCGTAGTTGGGTCGGTCGGATCCATGGCCGCGCTCGCGTTTCTGCCAATGGCATCCGGCAAAGTGGCAGATTGTGATGCCATTGGCCAAAATACACGGAAAATACGTCCTGCAGTGCGTGGATTGGTGCAAACGTCTCATCGGTTACGTGGCGAACGCAACGAACGAGCACATCGCAACCATGGACAAGTACCGCAAGCTCGAGCGCATCGGAAAGGGCAGCTTCGGAGCCGCGTACCTCGCCGAAAAGAAGGGCGACGCCACGGGCACCAAGTACGTCATCAAGGAGATCCCGATCGACCCGAGGGACTCGACAGCCGCGATCCGGGAAGCGCGGCTCCTCGGCGCGCTGGACCACCCCAACATCATTGCGAGCAAGGAGAGCTTTGTGCTGCCAGGTCGCAAGGTCATGTGCATCGTGACCGAGTATGCGGATGGCGGCGACTTGCGCCAGCGCCTCAAGCGCTGCATGGACGCCGGTATTACGTTGCATGCGTTCACCGCCATGGCACGACGCGCTGGGTAGGGCGGCGCCTCCCCGAAGAGGCGATCCTCGATCTCTTTGTCCAAATCTGCCTCGCACTCAAGCACGTGCACGACCGCAAGATCCTCCATCGCGACATCAAGCCCGAAAACATCTTCCTCATGGCCTCCAACGTCGTCAAGCTCGGCGATTTCGGCGTCGCCAAGGTCTTGAGCAACACGCTGGCTTGCGCCGACACGCAGACGGGCACACCGTACGTCGTGCAGCAAGCCTTCCGATCTCTGAGCCTCGTAGGTACTACACGTCGCCCGAGATCTGCGTCGGGAAGCGCTACAACCACAAGACGGACGTGTGGAGCCTCGGCTGCGTCTTGTACGAGCTCGTGACGCTCTCGCATGCGTTCAATGGCCCGTACGGCGCTGCTTGTATATCTAACGAAGTGCATCATTGTTCGTAGCAACCAGCGACAGCTCTTTCTCAACATTGCCAACGGAGCGTACGACACGCAGCGATTGAGCTCCGTCTCGAGCCGGCTCGCCGCCCTTGTCCAGGACATGCTGCGCAAGAACCCGCGCGAACGCCCGAGCATCAACGCGATCCTCAAAACGCCATTGATCCGCGACCGCATACAAGTACGTACATACTCTTCCTTTTCCAGCACTGGAAAATGCGTCGTCGTCGTCTAGACGTTCCTCTCAGCCCAGGAGATGCAAGACGAACTTGGCCACACGGTGCTCCACGGCCAGCACATCTTTCAACCGCGCCGAGGTGGACCCGCGAGCAGCAAAGCGCCGGTGCCGTCGAGTCCCCGGGCCATGAAGCAGCCGCCGCCGCCGCCGATCCCGCAAGCCCACGTCCGGCCTCTCTTGGTGCGGCCGATTCGTGGTTACGCGGCCCCACGGCCGCGGTCAAGCAGCGCCACGAGGTCATGGCCCAGAAAAAGGAGCGCGTGCAGAAGCAGCGCGCAGACGCCGCGCTCCGCAACGCCGAAGCCAAGGTCGCGCTTGAGCGCAAGGCCCGGCTCCTCGCGGCCAAGAAGCTCCACGAGAAGAAGGTTGATTGTATCGATTCGCGTCTTTGTCATCGATGCGTAGAACTCGCCGCCGAAGAAGGGACCGCAGGACCTTGGCCGGCGTGTCGCCGCCTTCAACGCGCAGGTGCCGAGGATATACGATGCGCTAACGTCTCAGAAGCGCCTAGTGGGAGCGCCAGAAACTCGACTTGGTTGCCAACTTGCCGCCCAAGGTATGCGGTTTTGGTGGAGAGAGAAGAGTGTCACCGGTCTCGGCTAGTCGGCGCCCACCAAGGCCGCTGTCGATTTCAAGCAAAAGATCGAGGTGCCATCCTCCCTCGATCTGCCGAGAAGAGTGCGTGACCGTAAAGATTAGGCCAAGAGGGCGGAGCTGCTCGCGGCCCAAGCCGCGCGAGACGCCTGCGACGTGCGGGCGCTGGACGACAGTAGCGTCGGTCTCGGGCCAAAGTACAAGTACCCGCCGTCGGATCGGGACCTCTCGCGCCTCAAGATGTGCGAGGACATTCGCGAGCGAAAGAAGCAACTGCAGCGCGGCGATATCAAGCACGCGCTTGAAGATCCCGTGATCCTCGTGCAGGCGCTCAAGCCGCCGCCTCCCGACGTTGAAGTCATGACCGCGCCCGACACGCTGCACTATGGCAGCACCGGTGCTTGTTTGTCTTTTTCTGTAGTTGGAAAAGCTCATGGTGGGAGTGCTAGTCGGCGTCATTTCGCCGCGCAAACCTGCTTTGCGCATTGACGCCGACGCGGCCAACGAGGACATACGCGGTCTCGCCTTCCACGTCCAAGAGCTTCGGTCGCCCGAGGTCCATACTGCGAGAGACGGCCGCCAAGACATTGTTCAGCGCCACAACCAGCTCGAGTACGAGCGCATGCTGCTGCAGATGAAGAGCGTCATGGATGCTGCGTCGTCGCCGACGGCCAATGACGACGACGACGACGACGACGACGACAACGACGACGACAACGACGACGCTATCTCGACGCCGGACGGAGCACCTGTGCGTCGCATGGAGCTGCCTGGAATCGATGGGACATAATGATTGCTTGCGTAGATGGTGCTGCCGCAAGCGACGCTGGAGGACCCGGCGTTTGTGCAGCAGCTGCAGGCGCTGCTCAAGGACGCGAGCGCTGTGCCAAGTGGTCCAACGGCGCCTCTGCTCACGTGGGCCCGCGACTACGTCCAGCACGTCCTGTCGACCTAACCAACTGCAGACGACCACATGACAGATGACAAGACGACGACGACGACACGTCATTGATGTATTGACACAACACGGTTGATATTCTTGCGACATGACGGGACAGGACGCCGTGCAAATGACGGCACAGAAGACAGAAAAAGGAAAAAGGGACGATGGCTACTCCGAGTGGCGCTTGCCAAAGCCGTAGCTGGGCGACGAGCCGCCGGCGCTCTTGACTTCCATGTGGACGAGCTGCTCAATGGACGCGGGCGGCGCCGTGAGGTCCGAGTACCGGTACTCGTCCTCGAGCATCATCTTGTCATGGGGCATTGGGCTCGCAATCGTGCGCGACCGACGGCGCAGCGGCGGCGGGAGGAGCTTGATGCGCTCCTCGTAGTCTTCCGAGATGACTTGCATTTTGCGCGCGCCCTCGAGGTTCAACGGCGTGTTCGAGTCGAACGCAGAGAGCTGCCCGATCGCGAGCGACTTGTAGATCGTGCGCAGATGGAAGTAGTATTTGGCGTACGACGCGGCCGAGACGCGCACGTTGTATTCGACGGCCGACAAGTACAAGAGCTCGAGCGTGTTGATGCGCCGGAGCGGGAACGTGACGTGGCAGATCTTGGAGAAATCCGCGTTGCACATACTGAGGTCGTCCCAGACCTTGCTGGCCATGACCATGGACGAGAAGAGGATCGCGTGCCAGTTGCCGGCGTGGATCTGGAGGCCTTTGCCCATCGTGGCTTGCAAGAGGCGCTCGACGTAAATGAGGCCCATGATGATGCACTCCGACTCCATCTGCGCCTTTGTGTGCACTTGATGCATGAAGGCGACGATGTCCTCGATCGACGGCAGCGGCAGCTTCTTGAGCGACGACGCCTGCAGCGCCTCGATCGAGAGGAACCCGTGGAAGCGCGGGTCGCATGGCAGCGGCGTCGCGTGTGCCTCCCGAATGTGCCCGCGGATCACATGGGCCACGCAGAGCATCGTACTCTTGACGTCGGGCTGGTTCATCGTGCCCATGCGCACGTAGATCGAGTTGGTGCTGTTGGAGCGCATGCGCAGCGGCTGCGGCGGCACGACGGCGGTAAACGCTTCGTCGCGGTACGCGCTGCCGTCGGTAAACGACGCACGCTCGTGCAGCATTGGCGTCTTCGGCTCGCGGTTCTCTGGGATCGGCGACGGCGGCAGCTTGGACGACAGTGAGCCATACACAGGCACGTCTTGGTTCAAATCTTCCTTGGCCGACAGCGTCCGGAAGAGGCGCGGCGGGCCCGTCGAGAGCATCATGTTCTTCGCGGGCTTGCGGCTATGGACCGGCGGCGTGTCGTTCATGTCCTCTTTGGCCGACAGCGTCCGGAAGAGACGCGGCGGGCCGGCTGCAATCACGGCGGCAACGTCTTCGCGGCTCGCGCGCGGCTCAGGCGAGAGCATGCCCGCGCGCAGCTTGTTCTTGATGTTGGTCTCCATGGTGCGGAAGAAGTGGGACGCTGCCTCCTTCTCGCGCCGGACGATGCACGGCGGCTTCTTCCATGTCGTCTCGCGCGTGACCGGGTGGTAGTAGTACGAGCGGCCAGAGCGTGGACACTGCGCGACCTTCCACTCGACGTCGGCGGCCAGGCTGCTGCTGCTGCTGCTCATCGTTGGTCCTTCGCCCATCGATCGACGCGCGGCTTCTCTTGAGTATTTAATAAGTGGTCTGCGAAGGGGCTTGGCCCAGAAAGGCAGCACGGAATAGCGCAAGGCCATTGGCTTATATCGCTGCATTTCAGCCAATCCACGCTCGCCAAAATGCCACAAACCAATCAAAATCTCGGCTGGCGGTGAAATGTACGAGGTGAGTGGCGAAGGGTTGCGACATGCGTACCGTTCGTGGCAGAAAAAGAGCCGCCCGATCGCACACCGGCGGGATCTGCGTTCTCTGCCTCATCATCCGCGATGGCTACTACGTACTGCAACACGGGTCGCGCACAGGTCGCACTGGATACTTACGACTACGAGAGGAGGCTCATGGCAAAGGGCAAACTCGAGCGAATGGACCGCAGGGCTCGACAAGAATGATGATACACCAGCAGCATGGTCGAACGCGCTGTATGAAAAAGGACACCAGGGATGTACGGTGCAGATACGGCAAGAGCAACAGCATAGCTAACAGCATCGTAGCGCAGACCACGTGGGCGGTGTGTACACGCGGCCAAGGCGGCGGCGTAGCGTTAGCACGCGCGAGACATCGTGGCCATCGAAGACGACAGCACTGGCGGGTATCTGGCGCGATCGATAACTCACGCCGCTACTGAGTCTGAGTCGCCGCCGCCTTCCCTACCGCGATCCTCGCCTTTCACGTGAGGCGCGTCGCGATGGCATGGTTCCTTCTACGATTTATGTCGGGGATGGTGTGGGTGCGGAGGGTGCGTGGGACAAAAGGCGCGCGACTGTCGGCGGTGGCCAGTACTTGACATGGTTCGAAATCAGCATCGATCGAAGCTTGGTATCGCGTCGTGTTGATGGCAACGACCTGGTCGACTCGCAAATATATCTTGCTTCATATTCCGACTGCACGAGGTAGTGTAGTAGCAGCACGCTGGCGCGACTTCAGTGTAAAGGTGCTACAGGACCCCTCTGGCTCACCGCATTTTTGCTGCGTCGCTGCACTTTACCGATGACAAACATATTCGCCACCAGCGATTACACCGAGGTCGTCGCTGCGTTGATTTTAAATTCGTGGCCTCTCGGTGCAGCGTTTGTACCAAGCTACCGTTGTCGTGAGTGCTTGCAATGCTACATCGCGCCGGGCGAGATGCCTCCGTCACCGAACGACTGGAATTCCTCCCTGTATCCTCGCGATCCAAGAGCTCTGTACTAGTATGCAGGATATTGTCAGCACGCCTGCAGCGACGACGTAGGTACCGGTACCGTATACGAGGAGGCGGTCGATCGCACGTTCGCCCAGAGCCTCGTACTCATCGTCGCCGCCACACCCGCCATGTCCCTTGAAACCGCAGTAGGTGGTGCAGTCGCGTACACAGATTTCACGACGAATCAATCAGTCAATCAATCAGTCAATCAATCAGTCATCAGCAAACAATCGACGCTTGCACCGGTCCCAACAAAGCTCTCGCTGGGCTGTCCCTTCTTCCTGGACCGTAAATGTGGACCACATGCTCAGCGGATCGGTTCGCCGAGATGCGTTGAAGAGACTGCGTACGAGGGTCCATAACAAGCTCCGCATGGTCCCTGACTCGGATTTACTATTAATGTAGTACAACTTCAACATATATATATCGACAAACAAAGGCTACCGACGTATTCAAACAGCTTGGTTGTTTACACCACCAGCGTCAGCGGCTCGGTCGTCGACAGCGACGCGTGGGCTTCGATGAGAATGTCGGCCAGAGCGTCGACGTCGGCTGCAATGTGCTGGATGCCAAAGCCGAGGCGGAGCGACGTCTTCTGGCGCACGTCGCAGTGAAACACACGGCGCGAACTCGAGTGCGCTGGGCGGCGCGCGGGCTGCGTCAAGTATTCCTGGATCGCCGCCGCGTGCGAGTGCTTTAGCACGAACGCGTTCGAGATCGTCGCCGGGTCCTGCGTCGCGCGCTGCGTGTAGCCGGCCGAGAAGACCTTGCCCAGGCTCGCGAAGAACCGGTCTTGGAGGCGCAAGACATAGGCATGGCGCACTGCAAGCGTCCACTTGTGCGACGCGTAAAAGGCTTGCACGTCGTTCCATTGGCGCAGCGCGTAGTGAAACCCGGGGGTGCCACCCTGAAACATGAGGTCGGGCGTGTACCCGACCGTCTTGGTCGGCACGTGCGTTGGCGAGAGCACCGAGAGGTCAGCGATCCAGCCCGTGTTGGCTGGCGTCCACGAGGTCGCACTCGGATAAGCGAGAAAGCCGAGACCGGGTCCCGCGGTCGCATGCTTGATGCCGCTGCCAATGACAAAGAGGTGGGGAAACTGCGACGGCAGCGCGAGCGGGACGTTCTCAAGCGTCTGCGCCACGTCCAGAATGAGCATGCGGCTGCTCGGCAGCGCCGCGGCCACCGACGCAATGCTCGCATCGTCGAGACGGAACTGAAAGTTGGAGTAGACGACGCTGACGTAGACGACGTCGTATTTGCCCGTGGCCGCCGCCGCCGCCAGACGCGCGCCGTACGTCTCGAACGGCAGTAGCGCGATCGTCTCGACATCGTGGTGCGGCAGCGCGTCCATTTGCCGTGTAAAGGACAAGAACTCGGCGTCCGAGGTGAGCACGCGCAGCGCCTTGCCCTGCGGGTGGCAGCTCAGGAGCCGCAGCAGAAACTCGTGGCAGTTGGACCCAAAGTTGATGTGGTACGCATGGGATGCGACTCCAAGCGACTGCTTGATGTACGCCGCTGCTGTCGGCACGTCACGCCCAAAGACGTGGTCCCACGACTCGTTCAGGCTCGACGCGAGCAGCCGGTGCGTCGCCGCGACGCTCTCAAAGGCCACGTCTGGTGCGAGGCCCATGCCGTACGTCGAAAAGTGCAGCGCTTGCGGGTCCTGGAGCGCGAGCGACCGGGCAAAGTACGGCCGGAACGGCGACGTCTCGACCGCGACGAGGTTGCAGAGCGTACTTGGCACTTCGATGGCCATGGCCGAGCGCGGGCACAGCATTTGCTGCCACTGAACACGCTGCTTGAGCGCGCGATGGCGCTCCCGCGCGCCTTCCGAGAGCGTGCGAATGATGCGGCCTTTGAACGATTTGTCGACGGCCAGCTGCGACGCGTCGAGCGAGCTCGATAGCTGCTCTTTGGCGTGCTCGCACGAGAGGTACCGGTTCGCGTCCTTCCAGCCGCGCTCGAGCATCTTGACCGTGAGCTCTTGGGTGCCCGCGGCGCCCGCGCCCAGCACCATGATCGCAAGGTGCTGGTGGCCAAAGTAGAAGCGTCGGACCGCATTCTCGAGCATTTGAATGGCCTGCACGATTTGAATGCACTGGGCGCCCGGCGACGTGCGCGCGGCAAACATAGCTTGGATCGTCGCGACGAGCTCCGGCGTCTCGGTTTCGTCCTCCGGCTTCTCGGACTTGACTTGGCCGAGCACGTGGAGCATGTCGACGAGGCTCGTGGGGTCGACCGTCGACCGCGGCGCGATCCCGGCGAGGCACGACGGTGTTAGGGGCATGAGGTGCGCGATGCGACGCCCGAGCTGCCGCAGCCGCACGCTCTGGCCCCCGCTCGCGCCGTGCAAATGGAGCTTGAGCGTCAAGTAGTCGGCCGCGTCCATCTCGCTCAGCATCGAGATGTGGTCGATGAGGTACTCCCAGATCTGGCACGCAAAGCGGTACCGGCGCGCGATACGCGTCAGCACGGCTGCGTTGAGCTCCGTGGGCGCGCCGAGATTCAAGTGGTCGAGGTCATGTTGTGCGACGTCGAGCTGGCGCTCCATGACGCAGCACCACGCCTCGGTGATCTGGTGCACGGTCGCGAAAAAGTGATCTTCGACAAACGCTTCGTCGTCTTCGTCCTGCGTGCAGTGGGTGCGCGTGTGCATCGGCAGCGCGAGCTTGTCGTACGGCAGATGCAGGCCGTCGGACGCGCCGAGGCCAGGACCAAAGGGCAATCCCGCAAAGTGGCAACTCAAAAGCCCCGAGACGCGCTGAAGGAGCTCGTGCGGCGGCAGCGATGCGTTCGGCGCACTGTCGCGCCACCACCAGTGGTCGCTGCGTGCCAAGCTCTCCTGGCTCTTGTCGCGCGAGAGGTCGTACAGGGCCGCGACCTGCGCCTTGTCGGTGACGGCCGCGAGGTCAATGTCCATGACCGTGCGCATCATGAGCAGCTGTGCGCTGAGGTTGCGCATGACGGCGTCGATACGCGATGCGTGGTTGACGTACGGCCGGTGGCGGCGAAAGCGCGGTGCAGTTGTGTCGACCGTCGCGCTCACGTTGACGTCCATGAACTCGAGCAAGAGCCGCAGCGTAATCTCAAACGAGCTGAGTGCGGGCGCGACGCGGTAGAGCGGACCGGGAACCGGACTCAGTGCGACCGGCTCCGAGAGAGGCGCTGAGACCGACTCGACCGGCTCGAACGGCATCGTCTGTGTCGGCGAGACGTACGACCAGAGACCCCAGACCTTCTCGAGCTCGTGGAGACGAATGTACGACGCGTACGTGTTGCGGTGGAGGTTGCCAATGTACGCAGCGTAGGCGCCGATGGTTGCTGACGTCGAGATGCGGCCGATGCTGGCGGCGTCGACGGGCTTGTTGGTTGGATCAAAGGCGCAGGAGCCAGCGGCCGCGTCGTCGGTATAGGCGCACGACGGCACAGAGGACGCGGGCGTGGTGTCGGACAGGGTCATCTTGAAGTTGGATGGGTTGATGATAAGGTAAATGGAGGAATGAGCGGTTGACTGTCGAGCTTACAGCGACTGCCGTGTCAGAACATGGAGGGTATTCTCACATTATGACAATATTTAACGGCATCTTGATGTTACATAATGTTGCAAAGGGGTTTTTCGCGCGTTTGATTGGTCGATTGCATGTTTAGCGTCGACTCAAAACAAGCTGTTTGAAACGGGTGTCGGTTACAGTTCAAAACGTAGAATGTTGACTTGATATTTGTATACTGATTGATGTGCGGTAATGAATTATTGTTGAAGCTGGTATATATTGTCAAAACGGGCTTCCCATGGTCGTTTCGACACCCACGCGGCGACTCATGGCGTAGTACTTGGAGATAGTTCTGATCCGGCTCATTGGCAGGCGTTCGTTGTCGTCAGCGTCGTCGATAAGAGGCATGGGTACCTGGCGTGCGACTCCTTTTCCGTAGCTTCAACTCAAGTACTACTGACGACGCGTCCTTTGGTAGCCGCAAAGCGCCTTTCTGGCCGACAGACGAGACGTGAGGGATGGAGATTGCCCCGAGACTCAGCGTGTTCTTTTATGGATCGGATAAAAACGATGACCAAGGGCATGTGCTCAAAACTTGAGTGTAGCAGCATTCGTGGCTTCTCGAGAACACTCGAAAGCTGGTTTGGATTCGGGGACGTCGCTTCTTCCTGGTCGTGGAGTTGGCTGATGCTTCCTTCGTCATCAACGGACGTGCACGACCGTCGCGCTTTCTTGCACCCAGGTTTCTGCAGAATCGCCGTGAACTTCAACCCATTGGGCAGGATGTGCTTGCTGTTATATATTGTCATAAAGCCGCCATTTTCGTACTACACCAATTTTCAAAATGGATGCTGCCTTGCACATCGAATCGACATGTCGCGCATTTATACTACCTCGAGACGGGGTACATACAAGCACTCATATACTGTACAAATACCCAGTAGCAAGCTTATAACATCCCGGTCACGCACTGGTATATATTGTCAAACGCAGATAAGGAGGCGGCGCATGAAGGTTCCGGATCAATCGGACGCGAGGATGGGCTCTTGCGACTGCGCGTGCATTTCATAGCAGTTCGTCAGCACGTTCGAAAGAAGTGCGAACACACACGGAGCTTAAAGGCTCAAAGGAGTAACCATACTAAAAGAAAATCGTGATGATGTCATCTTCGCGGTCGGCGAAAAACTGTTATATATTGTCACAATCCATACACCCGGCATGCAGATGAGGCGCGGGTCCGAAGACGGGGCTGACGCAAGACAACTAGTATACATCGGCAGAAGCGTCGACCCGTGCATGCGGAGAGCCACTTGGCACGTTGCTCTTACTGGTAATCTAGTTAAGACTAATACATAGGATTATGCATCATCGTCTTTACAACTCAAAACTAGTAATGTTATCGACGGCGATGACCTTGGGGACGACGGGCTCGGGCCTCTTGACCTGAAACTCCACAAAGTCGTCATCGTCGTCATCGTCCTCCTCGTCGTCATCAAACGTGCCGATGTGTCCATGCACCTCCTTGGGCGTTGAAGGACCCTGGGGCGTTGAAGGACCCTTGGGCGTCAGCGGCTCCTTGGGCGTGGAAGGTCCCGTCGGCGTCAGTGGTCCTGTGGGCGTCAGAGGACCCGTGGGCGTCGATGGCTCGTGGGGCGTTGTCGGCGGCGGTGTCGACGGCTCGGGCGGGTCTTCCTCATAGTGATCTTCTTCCTCTTCGAGGATCATCGCGTGTTCGTTGCCATTGTCGCGGAGGTCCTTGAGCGCCGCTTGAAACTCTTGCGACTGGTCGCCGAGGTACGAGAACCGATCAAAGTGCTTGCCCGACGTGTTGGTGGGCGACGACGGCATCGCGACCGGCGAGTCAGGCATGAGCTCTTCGCGCGCCTCGCGCGTCTTGGCAATCGCACGACTAGACACCGTGTCCTCATGTTTCTTCTCTTGATCCCATCCTACCTCAGACAGCTCTCGGGCGTCACGTCTTCTTGGCGGTGCGGCGGCCGCGGCACATCGACTGTCTGCGCCATGAGGCCCGTCCAGTCCACGTCGGCAAAAAACTCGTGGCGCTTAATTTCTTCGGCGCCAAGCGGCCCCGACCCGAGGCGCGTCCCAGCATCCTTGTCCAGCAGCCGCGACACCTAGACCGATGTCAACAACAGCATACGGTGGATCCAAAACACGAACGAGATCCTTGGCATCCGGGGTGAAGCGCTCGCTAAAGACGCACTCGTCGTTGAGGATCTTCTCAAAGAGCACCGCGGGATTCTGGTGTCGGAACGGCGAGTCGCCTTGGATCATCTCGTACATGAGGATGCCAAAGGCCCACCAGTCGACCGCCGTGCCGTACGGCTCCTTGAGAATGATCTCGGGCGCGAGGTACTCGCACGTGCCCTAGACGGTGCTATGAGCTCTACGGCTCTTGCGCCTTCGAGGCGTACGACAAACGACGACGCGCGGCCCGTCTCCTTGTCGACTTCTTCTTTGGACAAGCCAAAGTCGGTGCACGCAACGTTGCCGTCGGCGGTCAGCACGATGTTTTCGAGCTTCAGATCGCGGTACAGAATGTTGGACGCATGCAGATGCGCAATCGCAAGCAGAATCTAGTTTGCCAGAGGTCCAGACTTGAAAATGCCACTACCAGATATGCCAATCGCACGAACATACCTCGGCGAGGTAAAAGCGCGCGCGCTTGATGCTAAAGCGGCCGCGGCGACGGAGCACTTGTCGCAGCGACCCGCCGCTGTAATAGTCCATGACCATGTACAACTTGTCCTTGTTCTGGAACGCGTAGCGGAGCTGCACAATGTACGGGTGGTTGGCTTCTTGCAGAATGCGGCGCTCGGCCATCGTCTGCGTCACGAGGTCCTTGTTCATGACCCAGTCCTTCTTGAGCACCTTCATCGCGTAGAGCTTGCCGTCGTCGTGCTTGCCCACGTCCTTCTTTTGAACGAGCAGGACCGTGCCGCAGGCGCCACGCCCAATCACGCTCACGAGCTCAAAATCGTTGACCGACATCTTGCCGGGCATCGCAGAGTCCTCAAAGACCGACTCCTTCTCGCCGAGGCGCACGGCGCGCGGCCGACTCCACGAGATGAGCGACGGGAGGCACTTGCACGTCACGCAGAGCCGGACGCTGCCTTCGAGCTTGGTCGTCTCCATCGAGCTGCACTTTTCGCACACGGCCGATTGGCACGTCCGGCAGTGGCGACGCCACCGACGCATGTTGAACGGCTGCTTGCAGTTGTAGCACGCCTTCTCCATGCCGCCCGAGATCGTCGAGATGCGGAAGCCAGCGTAGCGCGCCTTGAACGTCGAAAAGACCGAGTGCATGACCGACTGGAGCACTTCAATGTCCGAGAGCTCGTAGCCCGCCGAGAGCACAATGCAGCCCGCGTCGTACTACGTATCAAGATATCAGTCTATCGACACCAAGTCCTCGAAACAGAAAGAGGTCAATGACGTCGCAGGCGCCTACCTCTTTGGGTTTGAGGCGCGTGAGCTGGGGCTCGGCCGACGCCACGTACGAGACGGCCCACTGCGCAATCGTCTTGCGCAAGAGGTACGAGTCCTTGGCGTGCACGCGGTGCGTCGACTGGATAAAGGCAATGCCACTAAGGAGACGCTTCATCTCCTTGAGATGGTGGCGCATCGAGTCGACGAGGAGCCGGCCGCCGTCGCCGTACGCAATGACAAACACGTGGGACGCCTGCGACGTGTCGACGTGATCGCGCCACGCCGAAATGAACCGGTCGATCGCACACTTCATCTACGCACGAGACGGAGGAGGGTATGAGGACGAGCATGGTGGTTTGTAAGAAGACGTACGACCGACGTGTTGGGCACGGGCGACTCCTTAAAGACGTCGTCGTACACCATGATGCCAAAGAGGTCGTCGCGCGCGCGGATGAGGTACGGCAGCATGGACCCGAGACTGCCGTGATGGATGCCACCGCCTAAATGTGGTCGCTTCTGCTGAGATGTGGGAAGAGAGGGACGGTACGATGGGTACCTTCCGAGCCCGAGCGCACGCACAGCTTGGAGCTCCAGATCCCGGCGGGCGACCCGCCGCTGTCGCCGACAAAGACGAGGAGCCGGTCGGCGTGCGAGACGGACCTCGACATGAAGAGGTTGCATTCGATCATCGTGTCCTCGCACGGGCTCTCGTCGCGGTAGAGATCAAGCATTTCCTCCATCTTTGCTTGCACATTGACCTTGACCGACTCGACGAGGCCGCCCGGGGGTGGTGCCCGCGGCTCGGGTGGTTCGACGTAGTTCGAGGACGCGACCAACGTCGTGGGCTTTTCCGTCTTGGAGCCCGAGATGCGCTCGCCCGAGCCGCGCGAGCCGCGGTTGGGCATCGATGTGCCGGTCGGCGAGAGCATGTTCTCTTCGTCGTCCTCGGCGAATTCGCCCTGACTCTGCGACGTCGAGGACGGGCTGCTCGTGCTCTGGCCACGGCCGAAGAGCGTCGTGACCGAGTTGAAGCCCACGAGGCCGACGGACTTGCGGCGGACGGCGTCGCGGATCGCGCCGACCTTGCTCAGCGGCAGAGATGGCATCTTCGACATCCGCGGCAAAAGCGCTTTTGATGGATCCAACTCTTAGCGCAGCTTAGTCGAAATCAAGTCTCACAGGTTATTCATGGACACCTTTCTGCGTATTTTATGCAATTTCATTGACTCCACATACAAAGGCCAGACAATAGAATGCATAGACCTACGGTCATGCCACAGGGACGAAACGTAGTCAGTATAAATCCTGTCCAGTATCACATCTCGCAGGCATCGGTCGATGGGAGACGCTGCCACGCCGGCCACAGTGGCTCACGGCCCCTCGCCGACGGGCGAGCGATCCCGCCTCGTCGCGACCACCTACGATCCTTCCGACCATAGGTACGGAGGCGGCGTCATGGTACTGAAGCCGTGCGACCGAACCGTTCTCTGGGAAGCTGGCTATATGGCCGAGCGACGAGACGGCCGCCGTCGCTACGCCAACCACCTCACGACAGTGCGATGCAGGGATAGGCAAGACACGACGACGACAAGTTGGGTGGCATACATTATATTGTTGTATTAGTCATCGGGGTAGTAGGGGTAGACACGGAAGGAGGCGTCGAGAAGCCGCCCGTTGGCGTCGTAGTGGGCCATAAAGTAGCAGCTCTCACAGTAAAACATCGGGTCTTCGACCGCCATCGGGTCGTCGAACGTGACGTGCTTGGCCGCATGGTTGTGGCAAATCTATCCGCATACTCGTCCATGAGAGGCGCGCATGGCAGAGACGACGACGTACCAAGCACTTTTGGTGCTGGCGGGTCGACGCGTGGACGCGGAGCGGGTACTTGGCCGTCTCGACCTCGTCGCGGTCGTGCAAGAGACGCATGTTGCGAAGATACATGACGTGCTCGCAGCTGCCAAGGTGCAGGAATAAATAGGGTACGTCAAAGCGCAGGTTCAAGTCCGCGAGCCGCGTCGTGAGCATCGGGAGGGGCGGGTCGCGAAAGCCCGGGAACTCGTCGTGGAGCCGCAGCATCGGGAGCGTGTCCATCCAGTACGCAATCTCGCCGGCGTAGTGCGTGCTGCCGCTGCCTTCGGGCGGGATCGGGTCCATAAAGACGCCGTCCAGATAGCAGAGCTTGCAGCCCGAGTCAAACTCCTTGAGGTGCAAATGGCTCACACAGTAGATGGCGTCGACGAGCTGGACGAGCGTTTGGGACGCGAGCGCCAGCACAAACTGGTTCTTTCGCGGGTTCTGTGTCGGATGGAGGACCTCGAAGAGGTAGAGGACTTCGTTCGGGGGCGGGTGACTCGTGCAAGCGTGGTTGGCGACGAGCCACGACGGCGTTGTGAACGCCTCGAGCGGTCGCTGTCGCTGGGCCGGGTACTTTTCCAAAAACTACCTCCATATAAGAATGTAAGAATGCGAGCCATACATGCGAGTAGTCGTACGGCTTGTGTCGCGGGGCTCGGCATGTGCTCTGCCCGGTGCTGTGCCTCGGACTTGAGGCCACGGAAGACGTCCTTGATGCGCGACTCGTCGTCCGTCGCCGCCGGCGCGTCGCTGTAGCCTACGCGCGCAAATGCCAGCGTCTTTTCGCGCTGCTCCTTGGGCCTCAGGGCTTCAATGGTTTCCACTGGGCTAATGTCGTTCCACGCAGCGAGCGCGGCCTCGATCGATGCGTGCATGGCGTCGGTCGCCGTCGAGAGATGCAGGTCGTCCGTGCTAAGGTCCAAGGTGTCGTCTACCTCGCGGTCCTTGGAGAAGCGCGGGAAGTTGTTCAGGAAGACCGTCGCCGGGTTCGGCGGCGCTCCTTGGACCCCGTGGTCGCCCGACCCGACGGTGCTGCCATCGTCGGCGATCGCATTTTCGGGCGCTTGCATGAGATTGGTTCGTGCTCCGCGCGATCCACGTCGGTAATATAATGCGCTTACATACAAACGATGCGTTTGATGGTATTAAAATGTGAGTGGCGTGCAATCTGACCCATGCGCTTCTACCAATATACCCTGCAATCGGAAACACCGTACACAACTTAGCACCGAAATGACTTTAGAAGAAGAATGCAAAAAAACCCGAATGGACAAATCGATTGCGATGTACCCTGTACTTAACAGATCACTGTACGTTACGACGTGGCCAGTTCGTCATGCTTGCCGCCGGCCTCAGCGCGCTGCTGCTCATGGCCACGGCCATAGCCGTCGACGTCGACGTCTACCACCACTTTGAGAACCATGACTTCTTTAGCATGCGCATGATGGGCGACGACGGCGCCTTCCGATGGAACACGTACAGCGCGGTGCAAGAGTTTGCGATGGACGCCGGCGGCGAGGTGCTGATCTCGGGCGTGAGCGCGTCTCACCCGATATCGTTTTCGCTCTACACGTACGAGCAGTGGGATGTCTACCGGTCGCTCGTCTTCCAGATCACGTCCATGGCCGCGTACGACGAGACGATGGCGCTGACGTGCATGTACCCGGCCGCCGCCCGCATCCCATTCGACCCGCGACGCACGAAGAACGCCTCTGCCATGTCTATTCGCATCCCGATCACGGTCGCGAGCCAGTACACGCTGCAGATCGAGAGCTGCATGCCTGCGTACAACCTCGTGCAGGTAGCCCTTCGTCATCCTCGTTGGATTCGATCGTCATGGCCGAGACAGGCCAAGGTCGTCATGCGCAACGTGGCCTACGACGGCCGCGTCACGGAGCACTTGGGCGTCGACCAGCTCGGATTGCTGCCCGTGTACATGAGTACGACCGCGTCTCTGCGACTCGCTCGATGTGACGATATATCTCGATGCGTAGTCATGACGGCAGCCTTCGTCTTGATGACGACACTCTGGGGCATCGACTGCCTCCGCAAGGAGCGCCCTACTTACGTCCGTTCTTGCCTTCTGCTGACGCCGTGCTGATCTTGGTTTCCAGGCCATCCATGGCGTCTTTGGTCTCTGCCTCGTTGTGCGCACGTTCGAGTGCATGATCAAGGTACGCTTTCGTCTCGGCGGCAGGCGCATAGCGTCCTCTAGCTGTGGCATTACCGCGTGCTGAGCAAGTCGGGGCGGACGCGGTCGTACTTGAGTGTCGGGAAGGACATGTGCGAGCACATGACGACGACCGTGCTCCTCCTCTTCCTCCTTCTCTCATATCCTTTGACCATCCGTTGGACGACGGGATTCGCATCTCTCGTATTATCTTCCTGAACCGCCATGTGTATTACATCGCTCGGCTGGTCGATGCGGCGCCGGTACTTGACGCAGAGTGAGCGGCGCATCGTGCAAGCGTGCTTCGTGTTGTACGTGTTTGTGGCCATGACCAAGGCGACATGCGACAGCCGCAACCAGGTGTGCCAAGGCTACATGGTATAACGACATACGTACGAAATCGATCCGGCGCCTCATATATGTATGTGCCTTGTAGCTCACCGAGTATGTGCTCAAGTCGCTCATGCTGCTCGGTATCATCATTACGCTCAATTACTCAATCGCGCAGCTGCAAACCAAGCTCGAGAACGAATACGGGCGCTGGACCGAGTCCAAGATCCCGAAAATGCAAGTGCGCCTCAATCTCTACTTGTCGCTGCGCTATAGCTTCCTCGCCTACCTCCTCCTCCCCACGGCCGTGCTCATGATCAACGTACGACGACGTTCTTTCTTTCGATTTGAGTCGAAATCGGCTTGTAGCTCACGGTGATCAATCCGCCGGGTACGTGGCGCTACGTCTGGGCGACGTACGTCTTTGAAGAGGTCGTCATGGCCTGTATCTTTACCCACCTCGGCCTCGTCCTGCGCCCCGTGCACCCAATGACGCTCGACCTCGTACGTACTTTCTGTTTGCAACAAGGCAAGTCGACGCTCATGCGAGTGCGCTCGTAGTTGACGCAGAAGAAGGCGACATAAATAAGAGCGTTCTGTTTCTCGAGTCTACTCCTCGGCCAAGGAAGATGCGTCGCCAGGTCGAAACACGATCGACTGTGAGAGACGGCGCATGAGACTGCCTTCGCTGAGCTGCACGATCGAGTTGCACCGGTTGGCCGACATAAACTTGCATTTCAACACGCCTTCTCTCGGGACATCATTGTCGCACAGCCAGAGCGCGTGGAGGTTCTCGACGTCGGCGCCGTTCAAGGTCACGTCTTGCAAGGACCCTTCTTGGGCGCGCGCGAGCTGCAGCAAGAGCGTCGCGACATAGCGCTGGTCGTGCTCGTCGAGGCTGAGGTCGTACTTGCCGCCGGGCGAAAGCGGATTGAAGACCTACGACCGGCACATGTTGCGACTTGAAGATGCCATTTACGCTCGTGTACCTGAACGATGCCGACGCGGTCCAGCAGTTTTTTGCGGGCCTTGGCGTCGAGGATACTGAGCGCATCCGAAAAGTTGGCTTCGTCGACGATGCGACCGAGTAGAATGACGAACACTTCGAGGCGCACAAGCGTGTTGTCGAGCTTTTCGTACGGCGAAAAGTACTCCATGAGGCGCTGCGCGTGCCGCGCCGTGAAATACCTAGCCAACCGTGTCTTGATACGTTGATACATTGACACTGACGTACAAGTTGGAAATCGCGCGGAGCCCGACGAGCTTCATGTCGGGAATCGCTTTGAACTCTTTGAAAACTGCTCAAAGGCCGCGTCCGAGAGCGCGACCGCGCCCGCGGGCGGCCGACGCGTCGCGACAAAGTCAAACTCGAGCACGCCGTGGCGAGGCAGCGACCACGAGGCATCGAGCGAAATCGGCTTGTGGTTGTACCTACAAATAGAACCTATTCTATCCATATCCTGTCTCCAGAGGGAACGTGGAGGCTACCGCGCATTGCGAAACCCGTTGTTGTTGCCGTGCTGCGAGACGTCCGGGAGCTTGTGGGCGGCGCGGAACCGACGGTCACCGACGTTGGCTTCAATGAGCTTGAGCATGATCCTTCTGTCGACAAAGTTGGACATGTTGAGCCGGTAAAACCCGTCGGGTTGGTTGGGTTGAACGCGATCCATTTGCCGAGCTTTTGCTCGACATACCCTTGTTCGATCTAGACACGATCATGAGCGACTGCATCCGAGGCGAGGATGGGACCTGGTCGAGGCCTTGGAGGCCGACGAGAACCGTTATGTCGCCACACACATCGATCTTGCCGTCGTTGTCCTTGTCCTCAAAGAAGACACCATTGACCGGTCCGGGACTTCCGAGGTACGCGTCGCGGTCGACGGTGTGGTGGTGCGAGTTGGAGATTTGAGGAATGAGCGCGGCCGCCGCCGACGCCTTCTCGGCTTGGCACGTCGGCGAGCGAAAGAGGGCGAGGAGTGCGCTCGCTTGGTTGACGGTCACGCAAAAGCCGTCGGCGAGGATCTTGATCATCGTCATCTTCTTGTGGTCGTCCAAGTCGAACGAGTGGCCGATGAGGTCTTTGATCGTCTCGAACTCGGCGTCCCGCAAGTGCAAGTCGGGGCTCGCTTCTTCGTCCTTGGTCACGTGCAAGGCCAATGTGCCCTGGAACGGGATTTGCCCGCGCTCGACTTTGGACGTCGCGAGGTGCGGCGGAAGCACGCACGTGCCTTTGGAGAGCGCAAAGGGCTGTCCGTTGAGCGATACGTTGGAAAATGAGATGCGGTTGGCGGCGTGCATGCTCAGCAGCTCCTTGAGCACGACGTGGTCGCTGCGGTCGGCCAAGTTGAGCGTGTACGGCCCCGTGCAGTAGGTAGGGCTGTACAGATACTCTTGGATCTCAATGTTGCAGTTGGAGAGATCCCACACACACTTCATGCTCGCCGTCGCCATCGCATGCAAGATGGCCTCGACGGCCGCGGTCCCGATCGGGTTGCTGCTCGCGTTGAGATGCGCGATCGTCGCGTTCGACTTGCACATGTCCACAAATACAAAGACGGCGCGGCCTTTGATATGGTTGTTGGACACGTTCAAGTTCGCGAGCGTCGTGTTCAGAAGGAGGCTCGTCGCGAGCTGAATGTCGGCGCCGCCACTGTTGCCGAGCGAGTTATCCGAGAGGACGAGGTCCAGAAGCGTGTCGTTCTCGGCCATCGCGGTCGCCAAGTGGCACGCTGGGTCGCCCCGGATCTGGTTCCACGACAGATCCAAGTGCGTCAAGGCCGTTTTGACCCGCAGCAGGTCGCCGAGGAGCTTGGCCGAATGAAAGACTTTGTTGTGGCTCAGGACCAGGGACGTAAGTGTGCAGCGTTTCAGAAGCGCCTTGACGAGCGCGGTCACTGACTGATCGCCGAGCTGATTGTTGCTCAGATCGAGCACTTGGAGATTCAACGACGTATCGTCCAATACCGTATTGAGTTTCATGTAGCCTTTCGCGCCAATGTGGTTGTGGGCAAAGTTGAGCTGGAGCAAGTCTTCCTTCCTCACCCCTGTGACGACGGCCGCCGAGCCTTGGCCAGAGATCCCAGCATGAGTCATCGCGATGCTTGAGATGCGAACCGGAAGCAGCTCGAGCGCATTACCGAGCGCCTCGGCGCGCTTGTCGCCAAGAAAGTAGTTGACATACGAGAGTCCGCCATCGGCGGAATAGTGCGGTTGCGGCGCCTTGTGCAAGCGCAAGTCGAGGACAGGCAACGGTAAGAGCGCCTCGTCTTCGCAGTGCCGAAGGTAGCGTCCGCGGGACGAGTCCGGGCGCGTCACGCGACGTGCGCCGTCTTGGTAGATGCGCCAGAAGCGGTCGTTGACGTCGTCGCAGAGGTAGTCGGCGTCGGTGGGCGGCTCGATTTTGGGTTCGTCAAGGAGCGTATCGTCAAGCAGTGGCCCTGCGGCTGCGGGCTTGATCGGCACAAGCTCAGCGGCGTCATCCGTTAGGATGCGGTCCAAGCACGAACTCGACTTGGGCGGCGGCAGGACGGCATTGGAGAGCGGGGCCAGCGTGCTGTTCGCGATCGCCGTGCCACACTTGCCGCCGCCCACGTTGTACATGGAGAGACGCCGGGTCACGCGCGCGACCTTGGCCTTGAGCGGTCGCTGGTTGGCCACGCGGCGCGGCAGCTGTGGCGACGTTGGTGCGATAGCAGGCATGCGCTGGGACGCAGTCGAGGTGCGCCTGTCGCTGTCGTCCTTTCGCGCCAGCGCCTCTGCCTTGTCCGCGTCCGAGGTCCACGACCAGAGCATGGCGCGAGGGAAGCCTTCGCCCTTCTTGCGCCGGCGCCGCAGCGGGCTCTCGGCTATCTCGGGTCCGCGCAGCTCCATTGACACCAACTCGGCTGCCATTGCGCGAATCGGCCACGTAAAAATAGCATCTTTCCGGATACACCCGATATTTTATCCGTATTTCTAAAGCCACCCAACGAGTGGCCGTGGCTCCTAATAAGTGCGATGCCAGTGTCTCTGTGCGGGCGCACTTAAATGGTTTTAGCCTTTTAAATGTATAAAATACAAATGTAAAGTAAATAGGGAAGTTGGTAAGTCATTGAGAGGTCCCTTTTATCGGCAGCTAGCAGCGACAAGAACGACAACGACGATGGACGGGCCGGACCAGTGGATCGAGAACTTGCGCGCAGGGAAGCTCCTCACGGAGCTGCAGCTCAAGATGGTCTGCGAGATGGTCAAGGAGATCCTCGTCGAAGAGGGCAACGTGCAGGCGGTGTCGAGCCCGGTCACGGTCTGCGGCGACATCCACGGCCAGTTCTACGACCTCCTCGAGCTCTTCCGCGTCGGCGGCGAGCTCCCAACGACCAACTACGTTTTCATGGTAGAGCATGTATGCATGCGACATGTGGCTCATGGCCGCGGTAGGGCGACTTTGTCGACCGTGGCAACAACAGTGTCGAAACGTTCGAGTTGCTCTTGTGCCTCAAGGCGCGGTACGTCCTTCTTCGCCCAGCCTACGACCGCTTGGCCTTAGCCCATCATGCATGGCACAGGTATCCCGACCGCATTACGCTGCTGCGCGGCAACCACGAGAGCCGGCAAGTCACCCAGGTAGGCCATGCCAACGCGATCTTTGAGCTGATTGGATTTGGCAGGTCTATGGTTTTTACGAAGAATGCGTCCGAAAGTACGGGAATGCCAACCCGTGGAAGTACTGCACAGACGTCTTTGACTACCTCAACCTCGCCGCCGTACGCTCCGTTCGTATGCAAAAGTCGCGGTCGCTCATGTTGGATCGCTAGGTCATTGACGGGCGCGTCCTCTGCGTCCACGGCGGCCTGTCGCCCGAAATTCACACCCTGGACCAGGTACGCGTCGCCGCAAAGAGTGAGTCGACGAATGCAATGCGGGGGTAGGTGCGCACGATTGAGCGCCAACAAGAAGTGCCCCACGAAGGCGCGTTCTGCGACTTGATGTGGTCGGACCCAGAAGACATTGAGACGTGGGCCATGAGCCCGCGCGGCGCCGGCTTCCTCTTTGGCTCCAAGGTCACGGCCGAGGTGCGTCGTCGTCGAAATAGGGGCATAAGATCTTATCTGCGCCTGTTTAGTTTAACCACGTGAACGGCCTCGAGCTCATTTGCCGAGCGCATCAGCTTGCGCAGGAGGGCTACACATACATGTTTCCGGAGAAGAGCCTCGTGACGGTGTGGTCGGCGCCCAACTACTGCTACCGCGTCGGCAACTTGGCGGCAATCCTCGCCTTTGACGAGCACCTCAACCGCGAGTTCAAGATCTTTCGCGAAGTGCCCGAGTCGACGCAGAGTGCGACCGTGCGCTCGTCCGTGCCGTACTTCTTGTAGGTGCGCAGTAGGCAGACGTAGTAGCAAGACAAGATATGAACCCGCAGCAGTAGTAGTAGTATGTACGACTCGGATTGAATACATGGATTACACCTTCAAAGCGCGCCGACGACGATGACGACCGACGACGCTGCCTTCGTCGGCCACAAGCAAATAGTTATTCCCTGGTCGGCGACGAGTTGACGAGCTGTGTCAAGCCGCGACGACAGAGTCCAAGCGTCAAGAGTCTGGCTTGGCGACGCGCGGGACCAATTGCCGGCGGTCATGCCTGAACCATCTCTTGGCCTCGTGGGTACCGGTAGTTGAGACCTGGGCCAGATGGGCACGTGCACGCTGGGACTTGAGCACCTGTGGAGGTGCTCCCAAGGGTCGCAGGATCTGCTCGGGCATCGACGCGAGAACCTGTGAAATCGCATATACATATTCAGTGTGAGAGACTTGGCAAGATTCAATTTTGATGAGCATCGTGTACAGCGGCCCCGGACCGACGACGCTGGCGACGACGCCGGTCGTGCTCAACACGTGGCCCTTTACGGCGGCGACCGACCGCGCGTACGCAGAGCTGCTGCGGCCCGATCGCTCGGCCCTCGACGCCATCGAAGAGGGCTGCAACATCTGCGAGGTCGACGACCACGCCACGTCCTGCCTCTTAAGCTGCTGCCATGTAGGTGGCGCAGTGCGACTTTACCGTCGGCTACGGCGGGAGTCCCGACAGCAGCGGCGAGACGACGCTCGACGCCATGATCATGGACGGCGCCGACCAGTCGATGGGCGCGGTCGCGTGCCTTCGCCGGGTCAAGGACGCGATCCGCGTCGCTCGGCGCGTGCTCACGCACTCGTCGCACTCGCTTCTCGCAGGGGACGGCGCGCTCGCCTTTGCCAAGATGATGGGCTTCCGCGAAGAGTCGCTGGCGACCCCGTACTCGACCAAGCTGTACCTGGAGTGGCAAGCGAACCGCTGCCAGCCCAACTACTACCGCAACGTGGTCAACCAGTCGACAGCCTGCCCGCCGTACACGCCTGCGTCGGTCGACCTCGCGCGACCAGCCTCTGAAAGCTGGATTGACGCCTTCAACCACGATACCATCGGCATGGTCCTGTGATCGTCTGCTGTTCTGCGAGGTCCTCAAAATCTGGGCTGTAGGTGGTGCTGAGCAGCGCTGGCCATCTCGCCTGTATGTACAACTATTCTACTGCATCCTGATCGATGTTGTCGGGGCGTGCTAGCGGGCACGAGCTCAAACGGCGCCAACCACAAGATTGCAGGGTGCGTGGCTCATTGGAAATGCGGCTGTCGATCCGATGAGCTAGCCGAGTGGGTGACGCACCGATCCCTGGTGCTGGCTCGTACGCCGACAGCACCAAGGGCGCAGCGGCAGCCACGGGCGACGGCGACGTCATGATGCGCTTTCTGCCAACATACCAGGTAATATTACCATCGCATAACTTTAGAAGACGATGCCGACGACATATATTTATGTAGGCGGTGCAGGACATGGGCAATGGCGTGCACGTACACACGCTTGTCGAAGAGGATCAATGTCGACTTATCATGCCGACGTACTAGCCTCAAGTGGCCTGTGAGATGGCGTTGCGGCGTATCGCGGCCAAGGCGCCAGCGTTCAAAGGCGGGATCGTCTGCTTGAATCCAGCAGGCGTCTATGGCGCAGCAGGGTATGCCCCCGTCAACGACAGTACATACGTTAACCTCAATTGCTGTAGGTTTGGCTGGACGTTTTCGTACGCGGTGCGCACGCCAGGCATGGAGGCCACGCGGGTCATTTCCGTGGATCCGATCACGGTCGTCTAGAGCAAACCGTCCCAGCGTAGCGTTGATCGTGCGAGGTGGCAGCGAAGCTAGTCCCTCCACCATCGCGCCTCATGTGAATGGTCATGCCGACGAGCAATAATGACATTAAGAAAAGACTCTGGTATTTGCTGGTGAACCTCGGCGGCAGATACCAGGGTTGTCGCTTGATGGATCTGTCCAAAGCGATGGAAGGTCAGCCAAGGGTGTGGCCGAGTGAGATCGGTTTCGGCGCGTAAACTTGCAGCGGCAAGGTCGGTCATCGTTCCCACCCTCGTTCATATTTCTCAAAGCTTCCTTCCTCCATGATCTTCGCGATGGTTTCTCTTGAGCCTTTTTTGGCGCCTCACTTCTTCTTCGATACTCGACGCGCGTGGGTGGAATGGTATCGTAGTACTGTGCAGTGCGCCGCAGCTCGTGCCTAGCATTGCACCGTCGCACCCAAACCGTTTAGAAGGCTGTCGGCGATATTAATTCTCGACGGTGCGATTAAATACGCGCGCTGTGGTTGCGTCTTCCGTGGGTTCAGAGTCGAGCTGCGTCCAGTGAGATGCAACCTCAAGGTGCTTGGATGCTGATCGGTAGTACGTTTTAAGATCTTATTTGTACAAGGATGTAAAACACGGAAGGTGTGTCCCGCGAGCGTGTGTGCTTGGATTAAGGTACCAACGTGGCAAGCTTGCGAACGCACACGCAATGGAGTCCACTGGCTCTACAACTTGGCTTCACATGTATAGAGATTGATGCGACCATTTTAAAGGGTGTAAAGATAGCTGGACTTGTATGGAAGCGTCCAGTTGAAGGTGCTTTTCCACTGCTGATACCGGAGATGACTCACGGGTCCGGAGCTGGCACCAGGTGCTGGCGCCAAAATTTTCTCGAGCTACTCGTCGCCGCATTCCCACCGTTTCTCAAATTGCAGCTCAATGAGAAGGTCACTTTTCGATTTCCATCGCCATGGGCAACACGACATCGTACGGCCTCGCCTTGCTCTCCCTCGGTGTCGCGATGGCCGACACCTACGACGTCATCGTCGTCGGAAGCGGTCCCGGTGGCCTCGTCGCCGCCGAGTACCTCAGCCGGAACGCATCGCTCTCGGTGCTCGTCTTGGAGGCCGGTCTCCCGACCCTCGCGGCGTCGGGTGGCAACAACTTTCCTAGCTACGCCCAGGCGAACGGCCTCACAGTCTTTGACATTCCGGGCGAGTACACCAACATTGCGTTTGGCGGCAACGCGGCGTACCGCTACGGCACGGACTGGGTGTCGTCGCCCACCGGCCTCTACCTCGGCAAGTGCGTCGGCGGCAGCTCGTCGCTCAACGGCATGCTCTACTTTCGCACACCCGACTCGTATGTGACCGAGGCGAGCTGGCCCAACGACGTGGCGACCGTCAACGCTGGCTTCTCGGCGATCGAGACCATGTTTACGGCCACCAACAACCCGTCGCCCGACGGTGTCCGCTACAACCAGCAAGCGTACAACATCATGCGCTCTGTTCTTGGCAGCGGTGGCGGCTACACCGAGTCGAGCAACCTCAACAACGACCGCAACGCCAAGAGCAAGAGCTACGGCCACCCGCCGTTCGCGATCAAGAACGGTCTGCGCGACTCGCCAGCCAAGACGTTTCTCGGTGTCGCCAAGGCCCGGTCCAACTTCAAGCTCATTTCGTCAGCGACCGTCTCGTACATCATTCAGTCCAAGGGTACTGCGACGGGTGTCGTCTACACCACCGGCGGCCAGACCGTGACCGCGAGTCTGTCGGGCAACGGTGCCGTCATTGTGGCCGGTGGTGCAGCCATGACGCCCAAGATCCTCATGCAGTCGGGCGTTGGTCCGTCGAGCCAACTCAATTTGCTCAAGAGCCGAGGCAACTCGCCGGGTGTCAGTGGCGATGCGGCCAACTGGGTCGTCAACGAGAACGTCGGTGACAGCATGTTTGACTCGCAACAACTGCTCATGACGTTCTCTCGCAACGACATGGTCACCTTCTCGTACTCGCAGTCTCAAACCGCCGCGATCACGCAGTACATGACGCAAGGTCGCAGCGGGCCATGGGCGAGTCCGGATCCGATTTTGATCGCATACGAAAACTACAACTTCAACAACCGGGCGTACCAGTTCCAGGTGACTGCGTTCACGCACGGCTTCAACTGGGGCAGCAACAGCCCCACCGAGTTTGGTGTCGCCGTGTACGTCAACAACCCGATCTCGCGCGACAGTGCGCGCTTCAGTAGCGACGGCGGCTACCGCTTGGACACGGCGCGCAGCCTGTATAGCAACCCGACAGACCGAGCAGCCGTGGCCAACTACCTCGACAAGCTCCGCGGATGGATGAGTAGCCAAGGTGTAACCCAGGTCGTGCCGAACGCTGGTGTCTCATCGATGGACTTTGTCAACGCCAACATTCAAGGCGCCAACCACTACGGTGGCAGCTGCTACGCGTCCGGCGACGGCTCGGACGCCAAGCGGTGTGCGGACGAGACGCTGCGTGTCGTTGGTACCAAGAACATTTTCGTCGGTGACGCCAGCTTGATGAAGACGGGGACGGTCAACCCGTACGGCTTTATCATGTACGCCGGGTACCAGACCGGCGTCAACGTTGCCAAAGCGATTGCTTCTGGGTCCACCACACCTGTGACGCCGCCTGGTTCGTGCAGCAACCTGCAAAGCGATCTCGACTACTACGGCAACGACATCAAGTCGACGTCGCGGGCGTCGGCGACGGACTGCTGCGGTGACTGCGCGGCGACCGCCGGCTGCGCCTTGTATGTGTGGACAGGCAACAACGGCGGGACGTGCTGGCTCAAGAACGCTGCCGGCGCGCCGTCGTCCAAGCCAGGTGCCAAGTCGGGTTTCCGTGGCACGGTGACGACACCGCCGGTGACGACGACCCCGCCTCCCGCTGGCTCGTGCACCAACCTGCAGAGCGATCTCGACTACTTTGGCAATGACATCAAGTCGACGTCGCGGGCGTCAGCCAACGATTGCTGTGCCGACTGTGCAGCCACGACCGGCTGTGTCTTGTACGTCTGGACGAATACGGCTGGCGGAACGTGCTGGCTCAAGAACGCCGCAGGCCCCTCCTCGTCCAAGCCGGGGGCCAAGTCTGGTTTCACGACGTCGCCTCCGCTCTCGTCATGCGGCGCACCGCTCGCCAACACGGACTTTGACGGCCAAGACGTCGCCAATGTGCCGGGGGGTACACCGGCGGTGTGCTGCGCTGCGTGCCAGAGCAACCCAGCCTGCAACGCGTACAGCATTTGGAACAACATTTGCTGGCTCAAGAGCGGTTCCAACGCGCCGCGCTCTGCGCTGGGCGTCGTGGCGGCCACCGTCAACAAGTGCTCGGCGCTCGAGTCTGACGTCGACTACTTTGGCAATGACTTGGGCAGCGCGCCAGCCGCCGCCGCGACCGGGTGCTGTGCGCTGTGCCGCAACCGAGCGGGCTGCAAATCCTTCTCGTGGTTTCAAGGGGTTTGCTACTTGAAGAGCGCCAAAGGTGCGTCCAGTACCAAGACGGGTGTGATTTCGGCCGTGGTCATTGCGTGAGTCTGCTGTTCGATCCTCGTCTTGTCAATCTTTTATTCTATAATCAAATTCATTGTTTTATCTGAGACACCGGGGCCGATCGTTGCCAAACAACCACCCGCAGCAGACGCGGGCGGTGGCCCAGTCATGACGCCTGAATCTTTCTTCTGCGCGGATTGCGCGCAAATACTGATAGCAAAATTCCAGTTTGCACTTTCCACCTCCGCATTCCGACCACGCTAAATAGGTTTAAACATGTTTTTATTCGTACTGGACCATCCACAGCCGCGTAGGCGACAAGCAACACACAAAACGTTTGTTGGTGCACCAATAGTGCTGAGCGTATGCACGATGCGATAAGCTATGGATTTGTGTGTGTGGTAGCAGGTCGCGCTAGCGTACGATTATTGTAGTCGTCCAACCAAGGCTTACTGGGCGAAGTGCGTTTAACCCATAAAACGCGTTCGATGCGATTTTCATTCATTGCGTCATCTGGAATCGATCACATGGGACTCATTCGAGAGCGCTGATAGGTTGCCGGACGCTCTGCGACTTGTGATGGCTTTCACTTTTCAATTTACCTTGCAATGGGCAACCAGTGGAGCTACGCGTTTGTGCTGCTGACGGTCGTGATGCGCGCTGTGCTTGGCGCCACGTACGATGTCGTCGTCATTGGCAGCGGTCCTGGCGGCCTCGTTGCCGCCGAGTACCTCAGCCGCAACGCTGGCATCTCGGTGCTCGTCCTCGAAGCCGGTGGGCCGTCACTCGCCGTCACGGGCGGCAAGGACGTCCCAGCGTATGCCCAGGGCCAAGGTCTCACGCGCTTCGACATTCCTGGCGAGTACACCAACTTGGCCTTCCAGCGCGACGCCAAGTACCGCATGGGCAAGGATTGGATTGCGTCGCCGGGGTCGCTTTGGCTCGGCAAGGTCATCGGTGGCAGCTCGTCGCTCAACGGCATGCTCTACTTCCACACACCCGACTCGTACGTGACGGAAGCGTCGTGGCCCTACGCGGCGTCGTCGGTGCACCAAGGCTTTGCGGCCATCGAAAAGGTCTTTGGCTGGACGGATCTTCCTTCCGTTGATGGCAAGCGATATGCGCAAGAGGCGTACCGCGTCCTCACCGACGTTCTCACGAGCGCCGGGTACAAGGAGGCGACAGCCATGAACGCCGACGCGTGGCGCAACAAGAAGCACCAGACCTTTGGCCACCCGCCGTTCACGATTCAGAACGGTCTGCGGAACTCGCCGGCCAAGACGTTCCTCGGTGCCGCCAAGACCCGACCCAACTTTAAGCTCATTTCGTCGGCGACGGCCTCGTACATCATCCAGTCCAAGGGTACCGCGACGGGTGTCGTCTACACGACCAATAACGGCCAGACGGTGACAGTCAACCTCTCGCCGCGGGGGGTGTCGTCGTGGCGGGCTCGGCGGTCATGACGCCCAAGATCCTCATGCAGTCGGGTGTCGGTCCCAAGGCGCAGCTCGAGTTGCTCAAGAACAATGGCACCTTTGCCGGTGTGAGCAAGGATCCAACCAAGTGGGTCCTCAACGAGAACGTTGGGAGCAGCATCTTTGACACGCACCAGCTGCTCATGACGTTCTCGCGCAAGGACATGGTGGCCTTCCAGCAGTCGCAGAGTCCCGCAGACGTTACGAAACAGTACCTCCTCGGAAACCACTCGGGGCCCTGGGCGCAGTCGCCGCCTGTCTTGATCGGGTATGAAAACTACCAAGTGGGTGGCCGCATGTACCAGTTCCAAGTCACAACGTTCACGCACGGCTTTGCGCCGGGCGATGGCGCCAAGCATATCGGCGTCGCGATCTACCTCAACAACCCGATCTCGCGCGACAGCGGCCGGTTTGACAAGGACGGCCTCTATCGCATCAACACGGCCCACAGCATGTACAGCGACCCGCGCGACCGCGCGGCGCTCATCAGCTTCGTCGACAAGTTTCGCAAGATGATGGCGGCCAAGGGCGCGGCGGCCGTCGTGCCATCCGCGGGCGTCTCGTCGACCGACTTTGTCAACAATAAGGTCGAGGGCGCCAACCACTACGGCGGCAGCTGCTACACGTCGGGCGACAAGTCGGACTCGAAGCGCTGCGCGGACGAGACCTTTCGAGTTGTCGGTGCCAAGAACATTTTCGTTGGCGACGGCAGCTTAATGAAGGAGGGCACGGTCAACCCGTACGGCTTCATCATGTACTCGGGATACCAAGCCGGTGTCAACGTCCAAGCTTCCGTCTTGTCGGGCCCCAAGCCCCATGGAAAGAACATGCCGCACATGCGCCTGCCCCGTACGTTTGAGGCAATGGACGACAATGACACTGCGGCCTAACTTTTTAGAGGGATTTATCACCATGACTTGTTTATTCATGAGTGTGAGCTTCTAGCAACCTTGGGATGCATTCCCTTTGGGTGTTTTGCGCGCGCAGGAAGTTGAGACGACCTTTTCACGAAGGGGCATAGCTTGCGAGCAGTCGGAGAGCTAGTAGTCTAGATGTGGAAGCCTACTAAGCAACCCGCCTCCCCTCACCCGAGGTCATGGCAGTAATGAAGGCATTACACCTTTTGCCCCCTGAGCAAGCTCGCCATTGTGAAAACCCCATCATCAGTGAAGACGTGGTCATAGAATGGCTTGAAGTGCCATTTCGAGTCTGCACAAGGCTTGTCTACCCGTAATGACCCTTGGTGACATAGATGAAGATGCGTGCATATCCAGGACGCACCAGCAGCAGACGCAGATACAAAAACCGAATCATGGCAACAAGGGCCCATAAAAGAGTTTGTTTATGAACCCTGGATGGCGATCATCGTGGTCGATGACCTGTGTTGGCCGCACCCGCCTGCGACACCGCAAGCTGACACTTCGTCGATGCCCAAAGTAGTACTAACGTTAGAGCTTCAGTTTTAGCAATTGCACACTTAAGGGCTCTATGCCAACGCTCCGCATTTACCGCCAAGACGCGAGATAAACTGTCGAGGCGTGCGTGGTGGCAGAGCTACTTGCACTGGTCGTGGTGGCGGCAGCGTTCGTGCAGTGCAACGGGAGGAAATACCAGCGACGCAGCGTCGAACGGGCTCGTGGGACTGTACGCCGCAGCAGACAGGCGCAGCCCGCGACCTTGTTGCATGATCCGACGCGCTCGACATCCAACTCGGCCATGGAGTGCCAAATCAGCCAATCATCGTGCTGGAACGATGGAAGCCTGAAAATCGAAGAGCCAATCAAAGGCGTGTTTGCGTGGAAACTGCAAATCCAGCAGGTGCAATGTCGCGCCAGTTTGTAATTTGCAGCGACCATGCCCAACAAGATCACGACGAACCTTCTCGTCTTCGCCTTGATAAGCGCGATCGCCTTCCTCGAGGCGTGCAGGGAGACGCTCGTCGCATGGCTCGCCGACGCCCTCGACGAGCAGGACGCCCCGACCTGGTACGACGACAGCGACGACGCAAAGACCACCTATTGGTGGTCGTCGCCCAAGCAGCCCGACAACGCTGATGACGAAGAGGTGCATACAGAGTGCTCGTCCGAAGGCTGCGCCGTTCACGACGACTTGGATGTCCATGCCATGCCGTCGAGCGCGGAAGCTCCGTTTCAACTAAAGCACAAGACCACGGACCTTCTCGTCGACGATTACATCTGCCCTTGTGGCGAGTGCCCCTGGTACAACCTTATCGAAGCTCACGTTGCTGCCTATCGCATGCCACTGCAGCTCAAGCGGCCCGTGTGCCGAGTGCTGCAGGCGTACTCGACGTACAACGAGGCCGTCGGGTACTGCTCTGGCATGGTGCCATGGGCTCTGCACTGTGTACAGACGTGCGACGGCAACGAAGACACTGCGTTTGCCGCCTTTGTCAGCCTTTGCATGCTTTGAGCACGCATCCTCTTCCCATGGAGAGCCTATTTCACCTGAATTTAATTAAATTAATTACCCGTAAGAATGCATGTTGAAGTCATCGAGTCTAAGAGGCAATCCAGTATCAACGCTTGATTGGTTGTTTTGTTTTCAATTTTAGCCAATCGTAGGGAGCAACACGAACCGAGCACCTCGTGCCGGGCTGGCTGGGCGCCAAAATCACGTCGGAACACGAAGTCGGCGAAACTTGGTCCATGGGTAGAGGACATTGTGGAAACCTGGACGTGCTACGTCATGTCGACGAAAGACGCGTACAGTGAGAGAAAAAGACAATTTGTTAATAATGGCATATGCCATTTATAACAATGAAATGCCATATTTAATCGCCAAACGCCCAAACCGCCAGACGTACAGCACATCGCGTCGCCACCAGCAATCCATTCTCGTGCGTTTCTCTCCTTGCATGGACACATTTGAGCCGGTAGACGAAATGCTTACAGCGGGTGGATAAAGCATTTCCATTGAAATCTTCGTCATCTCCACAGATGAGATGACAAACGGCTGTGTTCTTTCCATGACTGTCGTGTCAAATGGAACCACCCGAGGGCTATTGCAGCTCAACAGTTGAAGCCGTCGTAGACCGTCGTGACCTGGTACTGATTCGCCCGGCTGGTCACCTTGTCGGCTTGGTTGGACTTGTGGTTTGTATGCACATACAAACCTCAAGATACTAGGGCTGGTCAAGGTGGCTCATGATATGAGGATTTGCATCGCCCAGGCAAGATGCATGTGATTCATGAACTACTTGTGCGGGCGAGATGGTCCTTGGATGCAGGCAAGGTGTGGTTAGACAGCGCATCTTTGAAACCAGGGGCTTATCAGCCATTTGCACGGGGCTTTGATCTTGTCGCTGAAAGGAACTTTTGTTGCACACTTGCAGGATCGAGGCTGTCGCTCGCCACAGAGTCGGTTGTAACAACCCACGCCGCACGAGCAAAGCGTATAAATTAGCAAGATATGAATTTATTTCCTTTATATTGCTAGGTATTACCTACAAGCTCAAAGTGACCACGCCATGTCGTTCGACATGAAGTGTAACGCAACGCTAGCGTTGAGCAACCTCTGCGTGCAGTGCATGCGCTTGCGTTCTACCCTCTTTTCTTGTCGCTGGACAAGGAGCGACAGATCAATTCGTTTGGATTATTCGTAGTGTACAGAGGTTAAAAATGGTGTCTAGTTTACATGAGCACCGTGGCCGAGATGACGTTGCCATTCGCCTTGGTGCTGCCCTTGCTGCTCTTAAAGTAGCACGTACCCTGGTACCACGAGAAGGCACCGCACCCGTTCGTGTTGCGGCATTTCGCGCAGCAGTCGTCGGCAGTAGACGCAGCGGCGCGACCGATGTCGTTACCGACGTAGTCGGTGCTAATGTCGAGCGCCGAGCACTTGTTGACGACCGCCGCCGTCGTGCCCGGGGCGGCCTTGCGTCCGTCGTGGCCGCTCTTGAGCCAGCACGTGTTGCTCCAGAGGCTGTAGGCGTTGCACGCCTTGTTCTTCTTGCACGCGGCACAGCAGTCGCTGGGGTTGGTGCCTGGGACGTTCCCGACGTCTTGGCCCGCAAAGTCCGTGTTGGGCTCGGGAATACCGCAGCCAGAAGCAGATGCGTGGATGCCACCGGCCTTGGCGCCAGGCTGCGAAGACTTCAAGCCGCGACCACTCTTCAACCAGCACATACCACCGTTGTAGTTCGTCCAGACGTACACGGAACAACCTGGCTTGGCCGCGCAGTCGGCGCAGCAAGCGTCTGCCGATGCACGACTCGTGGCACCAATGTCGTTGCCGTAGTAGTCGACGTCGTTCTCAACGTCGGTGCACGTTGACGGCGTCGATGGCGTCACACCGCTGTAGCCAGCGATCGCCTTGGCAATGTTGACACCGGTCTGGTACCCGGCGTACATGATAAAGCCGTACGGGTTGACCGTGCCCTCCTTCATCAAGCTGCCGTCGCCAACGAAAATGTTCTTGGCACCGACAACCCGGAACGTCTCATCTGCACAGCGCTTGGTATCCGACTTGTCGCCCGACGTGTAGCAGCTGCCGCCATAGTGGTTGGCCCCCTCGACCTTGTTGTTGACAAAGTCGATCGACGGAACACCGTTTCCCGGGATGACGGTCGCCACACCTTGTGCGTTCATCATACCTCGCAGCTTGTCGACATAGTTGGCCAGCGCCTCGCGGTCGCGCGGGTCGTTGTACATGCTGCGCGCCGTGTCGAGATGGTAGCGCCCGTCGCTAGTGAAGCGTGCGCTGTCGCGCGAGATCGGGTTGTTGACGTACACGGCGACGCCAAACTCGGTGGGGTTGTTGCTGCCCCAGTTGAAGCCGTGACAGAACGTCGTGACCTGGAACTGGTACGCCCGGCCGTTCACGTTGTAGTTCTCATACGCAATCTGGACCGGGTCCGGACTCGACCACGGACCGCTGCGGCCTTGCGTCATGTACTGACTGATCGCCGCCGACGGACTCTGCGTGTGGGCAAACGTCTTCATGTCGTTGCGAGAGAACGTCATAAGCAGCTGGTGCGTGTCAAACAAGCTGCTGCCGACGTTCTCGTTGACAACCCAGTTGGCCGCGTCACTGCTCACACCCGGGAAGTTGCCGTTGTTCTTGAGCAAGTTGAGTTGGCTCGACGGACCGACGCCCGACTGCATGAGGATCTTGGGCGTCATGACCGCCGAGCCCGCGACGACGACCGCCCCCCGGGACGAGAGGTTGACTGTCACCGTCTGGCCGTTATTGGTCGTGTAGACGACCCCCGTCGCGGTACCCTTGGACTGGATGATGTACGAGACGGTCGCTGACGAAATGAGCTTGAAGTTGGACCGGGCCTTGGCGACACCGAGAAACGTCTTGGCTGGCGAGTCGCGCAGACCGTTCTTGATCGCGAACGGCGGGTGGCCGTAGCTCTTGCTCTTGGCGTTGCGGTCGTTGTTGAGGTTGCTCGACTCGGTGTAGCCGCCACCACCCAAGACGCTGCGCATGACGTTGTACGCCTCCTGAAGGTACCGCGTGCCATCCGGTGACGGGTTGTTGGTGGACGTAAACATGGTTTCAATCGCCGAGAAGCCCGCGGTGACGGTGGCGGCGTCGTTGGGCCAGCTCGCCTCGGTCACATACGAGTCAGGCGTGCGAAAGTAGAGCATGCCGTTGAGCGACGAGCTGCCGCCGATAACCTTGCCGAGGTAGAGACCCGTGGGCGACGCGATCCAGTCGGTGTTCATGCGGTACTTGTTGTCGCCTTGGAATGCGACGTTGGAGTACTCGCCGGGAATATCGAAGCGTGTGAGGCCTTGCGACTGGGCGTAGCCTGGAATGTCGATGCCACCAGTGGCCGCGAGCGACGGGCCGCCGGCTTCGAGGACGAGCACGGACGTGGATGCATTGCGACTGAGGTATTCGGCAGCAACGAGGCCGCCGGGGCCACTGCCAATGATGATCACGTCGTAGGTCTCGCCGACGGCGACACGGACGAAGAGTGCTACGCCGACAAGCGTCGTAGACGAGATATGGTTACCCATGGTCAAGTTGGAAATTCAAAAATGAGCAAAATGCAAGCCGAGTTGGTGCGGTGGGTGGGAATGATCGCGGACCGCCAAAAAGTGGACGCTTGGTTTGTACGGCACACAATAGCATAGCACCAGCTGCGACAGATGGTATCGTCCCTCGTCTCCATCGCTAAATTTCCATCCTTCGAAAGGTCGAGCAAGCACTGTTTGTTCTTGGATTGAATACATGTTGGATTGATTGAATGAATGGAATACTAGTATATTCGTGTTCCATTTGCAGGGCTCTCGAAAGTGACCGACCGCGGTATGCGGCCCGTCATGTCTTCTTACTACACTCTGTGGCGGCACGGCCCCAAGGTTGGAACCAGTAGGTAGGAACGGTGCCCGACCAAGGTGCTAGCTATGAGATGCCCGGTATCTTTTTTCTCGTCCTCAAGTCTTATGTGTACTACTCGGCGCGGATTGGCTGATAGCAATCTTCAAAAATGGAGCGTTTTGTCGCAGTTGAAAAGCGCACCCAATCGGCAACAGCCAAGATGCGCACCTAGCCGGTTTAACCGACTAACCGGTTTACGACAGCACGTCCAGCTAGCCGGCTATGTCCGTTCGGTTACAAATCGCAGTCGGTTCCGAGAAAGGCGGACCTTCGATGCGCATATCCAGGAACGATGTTTGACAAATTCCGGTTTGCGGCAGGAAGCGCGCCCATGAAGCGACCGGTCGCTGACGAGGCCACCCCGCGCTTGCCGCCCAAGAAGGCCAAGCCAGCCGTGCTCGTGCGCAAGTGGCAAGAGCGCTATCACGGCATCTGCGACGCCTGCTTTGAAGCGGTGACCGAGTGCACGCACCACGCCGACGTGGCCTTGCGCCTACTTGTCGTGGGGCACAATCCGTCCGACAATGCGTGGCAGAGTATTAAATCGACCTCCCACTGCGCATGATTCTACTACCGTATGGATGGCGAACTAGGCGGCTTCTCGTACAGCAACCCGTCCAACCGCATGTGGAAGTTGCTCATGGGCGACTTTCATGGCCAGCGCTGGCGCGGCGTATTGCCGCCCGACTGGAGCATGTCAGACCAAAACGCTATGCCGCATGAGCTCGGCATTGGCTTCTCCGACCTGGGCCACGAGGTACCGGATCTCTGGACTACTCGACGCATGTCGTGCTCATATCGTGGTGGTCATGGTAGCCTGGCAACGACGCGGCTGCGTACGGCAAAGCTACAAGTATGTTTCTTCTTGTTGCGCATCGTCCATATATGCATTGCCAACTGAATAATGGTGCGTAGTGCAGAGATGGACACGCGAGTTCTACGACCGCATGCGTGCGCACATTCAGCGCGTCAAGGCGACGCTGCACACGGGCGATTGCAACAGCGTCTATGCACATGGGCCGATGCTTGTTGCGTTCATGGGAAAGCGGCAATACACTTTTCTCTTCGATCCGCCGCTGAAAAAGGTGAAGTTATTTCTCGCCTCGACCATGTTGTCATACGACTCATTGCGGCATTCATAGGTCGAGACGGGGCGACAAGACCCGTCCAGCCTGCCGCCCGACTGGCCGCTGCCGCCGTCGTGCGAAGTGTGGGTCCTCCCGAGCTCCAGCGGGCGCGCTGCCATGACGGACAAGGCGCGATGTACACCGTACCGCGATCTCGCAGCCCGGTTCCACGCGATTCCATGGCCCTCGCCGCCCAACAGCAGCTGCTGCGCCGCCATCAGCTCAGAAAACGATGGCATCAAGTCGGAGGACGACGACTCGCGCATCAAGACAGAATAAGATCCAAGGTGGAGATTATTGTCGATATACTATGTTAATCCGTTATCAACGCAACGCGGTTACTTGCGCGCGGTCACGAGTACAAAGGTGAGGTACTGGAGCTCATGGAGGTGCAAGAGCATTTGACCCGTCATCCGGATCTTTTCAAAGCCGTCGGCGAGGCCCCAGTCTTCGAGCAGCCGCCCTTGGGCCTCGGCAAAGGCGCCAAAGCCCGTCATAATACTGTCCAGCGGCGTCACCTGCACGTCGTGGAAGCCAATCTTGGTGAGCTTCTCCGTAAACATGTCGGTGGTCCAGAGGTTCGCAAACGGGATGCTCGCCATCGAGCACATGGCCCGGAGCCGCGCCTGCTCAAAGCCCTTCCACGTAAGGAGCTCAGGCGAGACGGCGCAATCGACCATGCCCAGCATGCCGTTGGGCAAAAGCACGCTGAACGCCTCCGAGAGGAACGCGAACCGGGTCTCGAAATGGTACGCGGCGTCGCAGCTGATGACCTTTGTGAGCGCGAGGTTGGGCAGCGCAGCCAGCGCGGTCGCCGAGCAGTCATGGACGTCAATGGTCGACGAGAGGTCCAATGCCTTTACAAGCGACCGCGCGCCCTCGAGGTGCGTCGGCGTCACATCGAGGCCGATGACCTTGGCGACTTTGAAGTGGGTGGCCCAGAGCACGCATTGGTCCCCGCGGCCAATGCCAGCGTCCAGGACGATGTCATGGGCCTCGAGCTGCACAGCGCGACCGAGCTTGAGGGCGAGGAGTTCGCACGCTTCGGGGTACGACGTCACGGCGCTGCCATCGTCGCGCGTCCAGAAGCCGAGGTTGATCCACGACGACGTCTTGGTCAACGGCGACATCTCCTTCTTGAGGCACGCCAACGTTGCATCAATGTGGAACTTGGTCTGCGGCAGCGGCCGCGTCATGAAGTGGTGCGAGAGGTACCCTGCCGTGAAGCACGCAATGGGCACAGCGAGCGACGCCGCCCAGCTGCGTTGGTCCGCCATTCGCCGAATTTGATCTGGCCTTTCTATGGGAGGCAATGCATCGCCGCGTTTCATTGGCTACCATCGTGATTTTCATCGATTTTTGTCCAATCACAGCCACCATGACGACGGCATGGCGATCGTCGATGATTTCATCTCAACACACCTCCTCTCTACGCTAATCGCAAGACGACGTGACGAAGAGAGAGCAATGGAGAGGAAGAGAAGGTAATAGCATCTAATTTAGGAAATATTGGCGGGCTTGAACACGTTGAAGCCATCGGCGGCCGTACTGACAAGGAGACCGGGGCACTGCGGGTGGAAGTGCAGCTCCTTGATGTCGGTCTGGCCTTGGTGGATGAAGAGCAGCTGCGGCGGCACGTCGAGCTTTTCGCTGCTCGGGTGCTGCTCCGTGTCCTCTTCGACCGACATGTCCCAGATCGAGATCTGGTTGTCGGCGCCCGAGACCGCAAGCATCGACTCGTCGCTCGGGTGCCACTCGATCGACGTGACGGGAGCCGTGTGGTAGCGGAAGTGCGCGATCGGTTCGTCCTTGGCCGGCGACCCAAACTTGCGGCAGTCCCAAATCTTGAACGAACCGTCGTCCGAGCCCGACGCGATCAAGTGCGACACGTTACGGTTCCACGAGATCACGTTGACGTCTTGGTCGTGGGCGTTGACCTCGATCATCGACCGCGTCTTGGTGCGAATGTCCCAGATGCGGACCGTCTTGTCCGCCGAGCACGACGCAAACACCGAGCCTTCGAGCGGGCTCCACTGGAGGTCCTCCACGCTCGCCTTGTGGCCCGTGAACGGGATCTTGTCGACAACCCACGACGCGCCGTTGTTGACCCAGTGGTAAATGTACTTGGAGCAATCGCCGGTAAGGAGCGAGCCGGCCGTGTGCGGCGACCAGTCCATCGCGAACCCTTCGTCGGCATGGCCCGTGAACGTAAAGACAGGCGCCGCCGTCGACGACATGCCGACCGGGTTCTTGCCGTCGAGCGACTGGAGCTGCTTGGAGATGTCGTAGAGGTGCACCTTGCGCGTATCCGCCCACGTGGCGACGATGTTGGACGACTGCGGCATCGCGCGGATGCGGTTGATGCCGCCGTGGTGGTCGATCGAGCGCGACTCGAGCACCGGGTCGCCCTCTTCGGCGTCGTCGTCGTCGTCCGAGTCGGCGTCCGAGTCGTCCGAGTCGTTCTCGTGCTTGGTCTTGTGCAGCTCGGTCATCTTCATGATCGTGATCTTGTTGTCCGACGCCTTGGCCGCCTGCGTGCCCGCGACCACGTAGATGCTCATGGGAAACTTGGTGCGGCACGCGCCGAGGTTGTCGCGCACAATGTCGAACGAGAGCGACGGCCACTCGGCCGACATGGCGTAGTAGAGATCGTACGCCGACGAGTCGTAGTCGAGGACTTCGTCTTCGCCGAGCTTCTCCTTGTTGGGCAGCCACACCTTGGTCGTCGGCTCCTTCTCGTCCTCGTCGTCGGCCGCGATCGTCTGCGCAGGCGTCTCGACGTCCATGTCATCGCTGTCGACGTCGTCGTCGTCGGCCGCATCCTCCGAGACCATCTCTTCGTCCTCGAGGTCGTCGCCATACGGGTCTTCGAAGACCAAGTCTTCCTCGGTCTCCTCGACATGCAAGGCCGGCGCGTCGCTGCGCGCCTTCTTCTTCCCAAGGACGGACTCGACCCCGCGCTTCATGGCTCAATTCAAAATACGACCAACCGCTTTTTGACTGGCCGTAAAAGACTGGTGACAAAGGTACTCGCACATTATATTGTAGAGGACCTCGGAAAATGGATACGATTTTGAAAGGCCAAAACAACTTCAACTTGAAAGATCGCCAGCCCGACAACAATGGAACGGTCCGATGCACTCGACGAGGTGTGTCAGATATTGGCGAGAGAGCAACGAACGTGTGCAGCAGCGGTGTGGCCATGTATCGCCGCTCAGGTAACACTATCCGTCACAGGATCGAGGCGGTGCGCCATCGTCGTACGCGTGTGTTGGCTTGTTGGGTGGTGTGTTCAGGAGTGCGTGGAGAGCTTGCGCGTCCTTCGGGTTACTGTCGGAGCCATTCTACGTGCCGCATCGTTCGAGCTTGAACGTGAGCCTGTTTGTTGTACGCCGCAGAGTCCAGCAAGACCCGTCAAGGGCTACTGATGGGTCGGGATGATCGTGGTCATCATTTGCAGTGTCACTGTTTCCTAGCTGCCACTCGAAGACTAAGTTCATCCTTCCTACTGTCGACGCGGTATCAATCAAGACAATAAATCCCGTGGTGGTGTCATTGTCAACATACAGTAGTACAACGCAGTCGAGTATCACTGCAGCGTCTGGCGTTGCTCCGCCCGCTCGTTGGCGTCCGAAGCTTGCACGCGTCCGTGGTGCTGCAGTTGCGCGGCCGCCATATCCACAGCATCCGCCGACGACGTGTGGCTCTTCTTGAACACAATGAGCTTCTCGTAGTAAATGTCGCTTTGGTCGGCGGCAGTTTCGGCGGCAAAGCCCGCGTCCGAGGCGCTGACGCCGTCGGCTTGTACGTGTGCATGGGCGTCCTGGATGGTGTCGGCATGAGCGCCAGTACCAAATGGAGCGTCGAGCAAGTGGCGATGGGGTCGTCTGCCGACAAAGAGCTTCTCATCGTGGTACTCGTGCACGCCAAAGGCCGAGTCGCTCGGCGCTACATACGCCCGCCGTCGCAAGTAGACTACCTTGGCGTAGCCCAACCCAAGGACGAGTGCGAGCGACCGCAGAGCGCGCCAGAGACGCATCGAAACTAATATCGTTTGGCTTGATGGAAATAATGGCGATGTTTGGTTCGGGACTGATCTGCCGAACCCGATCCCGGTCCTTGGCTCGTTTATCTCGCCTTGACTCGGCTACCGGTGGTATGCCTGCGGCTATGCTAGAGTCGCCGCATGACGACACTTGATCTCCATTGACCAGATTGATAAAAAGGACATCCAGACGTCCCTCGATGCTCTAAACTCCATGCCGCTGGACGTCGCCTTTTGCGATGTGGGCTTGCGATGGATACGACGCGAGTGAATCTGGCAGAATCCGTACATCGTACTACTTCAGTACCACGGACGGCCTTCTGGGTGGATTGCAACCGCGCATGTACCGGTAGTAATTACCAGCCACACAATCGTGCAACATGGCGTGCGAAATGCGAATTTATCAGCCTCAGCCTCATGACGGTCGTCGGATTTTGGTCGTTGTCGACGATCTTTTCTCCTGCCACTGAGAGCTGAGTGTTGCGATATATGCATAGTACGAGGTCGCCTCGAATGGCTCGAGGTCGAGTGTCATGATGGTACATGCACTGCATATCTTTGAGTGCCGTCATTTTGCGTTCATTTTGCCCGACCCATCTGCGCGAGCTATCTGCGCTGACGACCGAGAAACGCGCCGCTGGATCTCACCGTTCTCTCTCGTCACAGCCGCGCAGACGGTGCATGCATAATATGCTCGTGCGATCTGGGATGCACACAATTAACACCATACCAAACACTGCTGGTACCCAGTTTCGCCCACGGACGGAGGCCACAGAAACGACATCAAGACGTGTGCCTACCGGTACAGACAGCAACAACAACACATCGGTGGGTGGATTGATTCAGCCGTATTCGTTCGTCGTCTGCCACGTCCACGCTGGATGGCAACGGATCCGGCGTGCCGATCCCACTCGACCATTACATCGTCGACGACGCGTCGGCAGATAAACTATGCGCCGCTACGTTCGTAGTAGCTTCCTGGCGCACGAGCTACCACGCGCCGAACAACAACGTGCGTTGGTAAAGCAGTGCGAACACGTGCAATGCCGTCATTGAGTCTCTGCCGCCTGGTCGGCTTCGCTTCCAAGTATCCTTCCTCGCCTGGATGATGCCAGCCAATAAACTGGATGTTTGTATCAATGCGCCACGCCCGCCGCATACGACAAGATGCGACACATGATGCAAAAAAGCGCGTGGTCCGTTTGATTGGCCAGACGCCGCAGCACCGACGACGCTCGTTGGCACCGAGCGAGCGACTGCCCTTGCTTGCGGGCAACCATAGCGACTGCCCTTGCTTGCGGGCAACCATCAGCAGCATACGCAAGCCCTGGCTTGGTCGAAGGCGCTGGGAGGGATGCGGTACGAGCTTGCCACGACCGCAATCTGGTGCCACAACACATGACGCCAAAGACGGGCCACAACCACCATGCAGAGGAGATGCAGAGTCGGGTGGTGCGGCTCATGGTGGGACGCTACCGCGGACGACCAATGCCTCTGCACGGGTCCGATTACACATGGTCTCGCTGTTGCTTGACGGTCAGGTCATTCTGCGATTTCTCGTCGACCACCATGAAGGCCCAACTGATTGGTATTGCGCTCGCGGCCGCGTCCGCGCAAGCTGCCACGTGCAGCACCGTGCTCTCTAACACGGACTACGTTGGCAACGATATCTCGACGACGACGCAGACCAACCATGCGGCGTGCTGCGATGACTGCAACAAGACGCTCGGGTGCTCGCACTACGTCTGGAACAGCTACACGAGCACGTGCATTCTCAAGGGCGGCGTGCCGGGTGCGCCGGTCAAGGTGGACGGCGCGTTCGCTGCGACGCTCCAGGCCGGTCCCAGCGACGCTCAGTGCAGCGCGGTCAAGAAGGACACCGACTACTTTGGCAACGACCTCGCGACAACGAGCCGCACCAACCACGATGCGTGCTGCGCCGACTGCGCCAAGGCCAAGGGCTGCACGCACTACGTCTGGAACAGCATGACCAACACGTGCATCCTCAAGGGTGGCACCCCGAACGAGGGCGGCGCGCCCGTGCCCGGCGCATATGCGGCCAAGCTCGCCAACGCGACGCCGGTGCCGACGACTCCGTTTGTGCCGGTGCCGGGTGGTGACCAGTGCGCGCTCGTCGAGCGTGATACCGACTACATGGGCAACGACTTGACGAGCACGAGCCGCACCAAGTTTACCGACTGCTGCGCCGACTGCGCCAAGACCAAGGACTGCACGCACTACGTCTGGAACAGCTTCACCAACACGTGCATCCTCAAGGGCGGCAAGGGCGAGCCGTCCTCGTTCGTTGGTGCCTACGCGGCCAAGCTCACGGTCAAGCCGTCGCCGTCGCCGTCGCCTTCGCCATCTCCGTCGCAGTCGCCATCTCCGTCGCCCTCTCCGTCGCCGTCGCCGAGCGCGACGTGCGGTGACCGCGTCCGCCGGTCGTGGCGCATGCACTCGCAGCCCGAGAAGGACCTGTACCTCAAGGCGATCACAATGGCCACGAACAACGGCAACCACCAGATGTTCGTGCGCATGCACAAGAACGGCATGACGTTTGGCGAGGCGCACGGGTCGACGTGTGCGTTCCTCTTCTGGCACCGCCGCTTCCTCCTCGGCTACGAAGAGATGCTGCGGTCGCTTTCGCCCGAGTTCAAGTGCCTCACGCTGCCGTACATTGACTACGTCCAAGACTCGGTGTCGTTCCGCAACAAGAAGTGCAACTCGGTGCTCAGTTGCTCGAACGCCGCCAACGACATTTACTACCTCAAGACCAAGAACCCGATCCAGCGCGGCAACTGGAACACGGTCAAGTACGACGACCGGTTCGGCATGGAGGCCATCAAGCGCCTCATCATGCCCGCGGGCAAGTACCCGGACTTGACGACGATCTCGGCGGCCATCGAGACCAACGTGCACAACATCTTCCACGCGATCCTCGGCGGCGACATGATGTACGCCAACTCGAACAACGACCCGATCTTCTACTTCCACCACGCGATGATCGACCTTCTGCATACGATCTACCGCGAGTGCCGCCTCAAGGACGTGCCGGCCAGCGACAAGCGCAACTTTGTGCAGTGCAACGTCAAGTACAACGGCGGCATGCACATGGTGCAGGGCAACTCGAAGCCCCATATGCTCCAGGAGGGCAAGACCATGGACGTGGATGCGGACTCGGCGACCGCCCGCTGGTTCAAGGACATCCCCAACACGTACTTGGAGCTCACGGACGCGTCCAAGCTCGGCAAGTTTAGCTACCGCTACGAGCTCAACGGTTTCCTCGTCGACATGAACAACCAGTGCGACCGTGTCTCGACGACCAAGCAAGATCTGCGCGAGAGCGGCCAGATCATGACGCGTGACAGCGCCGAGCCTGACAACGACAAGGAGCGCGAGTGGCGCGCGGCCGTGTACGCGCAAGGCAAGCGCGACAACCTCGACGACCCGACGATCGAAGACGAGATGGAGAAGATCATGGTCATGATGTACGAAAACTGCTTCCCCGGCGGCACCGTCGAGGACTTTACGCCCGAGTTCAAGGCCACGTGGGGCATCACCGAGCCGAAGCGGTCGTGGACGCTCCTCCAAGGCATCAAGAACGGCACCAACCCGATCAAGATCTCCAAGTGGACCGAGATCGACACGACGTACTACGGCTGCGCTGGTGACAAGAAGACGTATTAATGTGTGCACATCGTCTTGCTATATCTTGGCAACCACAAGATTGCATTTTTGCCAAATTTCCTTATTTTCTAGTTTCTTGAACCTTTTGGGGGTGGAAAACATGGTTGGCAATATTGCTGGAAAGACGAAAAATTAAGTAGACCCTAACCATTACCCTAACCCTTTTTATAGAATATCTAGAAAAGTATTGTACGTTTTATTCATTACTACTGCATGCTTGGCCATTGACAGCACCGATCATGCCGGTTGACCGACATTGTCGCAGCCGTCTTGGTGGTTGAAAGGCCACTCTGACGTGCGCAAGACGCATTGGGAAGAGGAAGAAGGCGCGAGGCTGTTGTTCATTTCTATGGGATTACGCGCGAAAGAAGCCTCCGTTTGTTGTCATCGCATTACTGACGCCGCCAAGCCGGTTGGCTTGGCCGAGACCGGGCGCGTCATAACCACCGCCAAACGCATGGCCGCCTCCAGTCGAATCGAGCGACGGGCCGAAAGCGTCTTCGCCGCCCCCAGCCAATGACGCTCGCTCGCTCTGGAGACCCGCAGTATTGCCCGACGTAAAGCCAGGGCTACCAAAGCTTGGCGTCGCACCTAGCTGCCCGCTCCAGCCGGTGCTCAGCGTCGGTGACGCCCCATTGCCTCGAAGAAGACTGGTGCCAAAGCCCGGCGCTCCACTCAACGTGGCGGCAGTACGCAGTGGTGGCAGCGGCACGCCGAGCAAACTGTTCGTGGCGCCTTCAATGCTGCGTGGCGCATCGCCAGCTTGGTGGTGGACCGTGGATTGCGACCCTTGGCTTGTCGAGTAGCTCGAATGCGTCGACGTGTCGGTCGGCGGCGCGGTCGCCAGCGCGAGGCCGAGCGCCGTAGTACCGAGGCCCCACAGACAGCGCATGGAAAAAGCAAGAATGTGCGATCACCCGGGTTGGGCACATGATGGACATGGACATGGACGCGATAAAATAGACACTCGGTGTTTCGTCGCTTACGTGTAGTAGAGCTCGAGGCCCATGCCATCATGGATCTCGTAGTCTTCGAGCGTGATGTGGTCCTTGTAGATCGTGTACCATTTCTGGATGCGGATCTTCTCGGGCCGCGTCCCGACCTGCGCGGCCACGAGCTTCTTGAGGTCGCCGACCGTGTCGTCCTCGTTGCACTTGACGCGGATCTTCTTGCCGACGCGGTCGTTCAGGATGACTTCGATCATGCTTGGCCGCTTTCGCTTTGCCCACTTTACTGGAAGCCCGAGGTCGGGTATCCGGTTTATGCCGGATACTGCGCCCTGTCGCACCAATCCCTCGAACGATCCACCGAGACCCTTCTCTCACGGCGTCGGTATGCTGGCCGGTACAGCCGACTACTAGTACGTACGAGGCCAAAGCACCTCCGAGCCATGGCATCGAGGACACGAAGCCAGAGATATTCCGCCCACGGCCTCCTGGCCTCGTAGTGCAAGGAGCTGAGCTGCAAAGGAATCAAGTCGTGAAGGCCATACAAGTGCGCTTTGATTAAATGCGATGTTTATGTTAGGTGCGCTATTTTTAAGTGCGCATCGGGTCCGGGGACAGCGGACCCTGCAAAGTGCGGATGCGTCAAAAGCTGTCGGAAGTCGGGGTTTGCGGCCGAAGATTTGGGTAATTTACTACCGCAGCTTTAAGATGACCGACGGAGCCGAGGGCTTGACGAGCTATTACCGCCAGAAGATCGAGCACCTCGAGCTCACGGTCCGGGACAAGACCATGAACCTGCGCCGCCTCCAGGCCCAGCGCAATGAGCTCAACTCGAAGGGTATGGCCATGCAGGTGGAGCCATCTTGTCATGCTGCTGCTAGTGCGCCTCTTGCGCGAGGAGCTCCAGCTGCTGCAAGAGCCGGGCTCGTACGTCGGCGAGGTCGTCAAGCAGATGGGCAAGTCCAAGGTGCTCGTCAAGGTCAACCCGAAGGCAAGTACGTCGTCGACGTGGACAAGGCCATCGACATTACCAAGTGCACACCCAACACGCGCGTCGCGCTGCGCAACGACAGCTACGTCCTGCACAAGATTCTGCCCACGAAGGTCGACCCGCTCGTGAGCTTGATGAAGGTCGAGAAGGTGCCCGACTCGACGTACGACATGATCGGTGGTCTCGACAAGCAGATCCGCGAAATCAAAGAAGTAGGCTCGTGCTCTGACTGCAAGGCCTCATGGGTGCATGTGTTTAGGTCATTGAGCTGCCGATCAAGCACCCAGAGCTCTTTGACTCGCTCGGTGTGGCGCAGCCCAAGGGCGTGCTTCTCTACGGCCCTCCCGGTACGGGCAAGACGCTCCTCGCGCGCGCGGTGGCACACCACACGGACTGCACGTTCATTCGCGTCTCGGGCGCGGAGCTTGTCCAAAAGTACATTGGCGAGGGCTCTCGCATGGTGCGCGAGCTTTTCATCATGGCTCGCGAAGCCGCGCCATCGATCATTTTCATGGACGAAATCGACTCGATCGGTAGCTCGCGCATGGAAGGCGGCGGCGACTCGGAGGTGCAGCGCACGATGCTCGAGCTCCTCAACCAGCTCGACGGCTTTGAGCCCGCGCAGAACATCAAGGTCATCATGGCCACGAACCGTATCGATATCCTCGACGCGGCCTTGCTTCGCCCGGGCCGTATCGATCGCAAGATTGAGTTTCCCAACCCGACCGAAGTGGTGCGTCCTTCGCGATCTATCCTCTTCTGTTTTCTTATCCGGTGCACGCTTGCTGTAGTCGCGCGTCGACATTATGCGTATTCACTCGCGCCGCATGAACCTTCTCCGTGGCATCAACCTTAAGGTCATTGCAGAGAAGATGCCGACGTCGTCGGGCGCCGAATGCAAGGTCCGTCCTCTCCGCCTCCCCAACGCCTTGATGCGATGATGCTACTACCTCTGCTAGGCTGTCTGCACGGAGGCGGGTATGTTTGCGTTGCGTGAACGCCGCATCCACGTGACGCAAGAAGACTTTGAGATGGCCGTCTCCAAGGTCATGAAGAAGGACTCGGAGCAGAACATGTCGCTCAACAAGTTGTGGAAGTAAACCACCAGCTTGGCGTTGGATCGATCAACACACAATGCATCATGCCGCCTCTTGGCCGACACCACCAAAGAACCGTTCTGGTCGTCTTCATCTTATTGCCTATAGTGCGTCCTAGTGCAGGCCTCGACCCCGCAAGTCGAGCTCAATGTCGTCCTTGGCGAGCATCTCGTCGGGCACCCAGTTGTAGTTGTCAAACAGCTGGTACTCGGTGCCCATGATGGGCCGCTTGGAGAAGACCGCCATGTCTTCGAGGGCTTCCTTGTGCAGGGGCACGGATGTGAACGCGGCATCAAAATTGCTATAGTCGACGGGCGACGGGCGGCGCGGCGGCACGCACTTTCGCTGCATGCAAGTCACCCAGTCATGCCCATGCGCGGCAAAGAACGCATGGTTCTTGATCTCGCTCGATGACGCGTACCCGAGGCGCTGGGTCGGCTCCTTGTGCAGAAGGCGTGTCACGAGGTCCTTGGCGTCTTCGCTCAGATAGTCGGGAAACGGAATGTAGCCGTCGCGAATCCGCGCGTAGAGCTCGGCCCGGCACTTGCCGCTGTAGAAGGGGGGAGGCCCGTGAGGAGCTCAAAGATGAGGCATCCGAGGGCCCAGATGTCGACGCCCTTGTCGTACCCACCGCCGTCCGCGCCGTCTGCGAGCGCCAAGAGCTCGGGCGAGATGTACTCGGCCGAGCCGCAAAACGTGGCTGCGAGCTTCCGGCCCGAGACATCCTCTTTCGAGAGGCCGAAGTCGGCGAGGCGAACATGGCCGTCGCGGTCGAGGAGGACGTTCTCGGGCTTGAGGTCGCGGTAAATGATCGCGTGCGCATGTAAATGGTCGAGTGCGAGGAAGATCTCGCTTGCGTAAAACGCCGCCTCGGGTTCGGTGAAGCGCCCCACTTTGGAGAGGTGAAAGAAGAGCTCGCCGCCCGGGCAGTAGTCGAGCACCATGTGCAGATGGTCGATCGTCTGGAAGGCAGCGTGGAGCTTGACGATGAACGGGTGGTTGTAGCACTTGATGAGCACGTTGCGCTCGGCCTTGGTGTGCGCGACTTGGTTCTGCGCCGTTAGCGCGTGCTTGCTCAGCGTCTTGATGGCGACGAGGTTGTGCGTCTCGTTGTGCCGAGCCACAATCACTTGGCCGAACCCGCCTTTCCCAATGAGCTTGAGCGGCGTGTACTGCCGCAGCGAGAAGCTGCCCGAGTAGCTCTCGGCCAGCGAGATGGCCTGCACGACGCGCGTGTCATGGGGCTTGACGTCGACGCCGCTACTCATAACGACGAGCGACTCCCGCTTGCTGCGGACGTCGCCCTCGGCGTACGAGGCGGTCGACGACGACGAGCTCCGGCTGCGCATATGGTGGATGCGCCCGAGGCTGTGGGTGTGTACGCCGAGCGAGAGATGACCGAACGACCGGGTTGCCTCGCCGGTCGTGCAGAGGTCGTGGCAGAGCTCGTTGGAGATGTCGAGGGTGGCCTCGACGCGCGCGTTATCGTTTTCAATCGCCGCGGCGAGGCACTTGAGACTGCCCGCGCTGTCGCTGTGGTGGTGGTGGCTGCTATGCTCGCGCAACGAGCTCCATTGAAGATCGACGAGGTTTTGCTGCGACTGGCCGCGCTTGGTGCTGTAGAGCAGCTGCAGCGCCGGCATCGCCTCTTCGTGCGGGTCGTACCGAGGCAGCGTTGGCGAGGTCGATGCCTTGGCTTTAACGTCGTCGTGGTGGTTCTCTTGGGCCCCCGCTTGGTGCTCGAGGTGGTCGTGGAATTCGGAAAAATCGCCCAAAATGCGCTTCCCGCCGCTCGCCTCGAGCGTTGCAATGACTGCGTCCGCCTTTTCTTCCGTGCAGCCATGGTAATGCAAGACGATGCTGCCTATGGACATCGATGATGAATGATCCTCTACCGTCCCCGCGGGCCAAGTCAGGGCGTGTCTACCCCAGGCGCGGACAGGCGTGCGCAGCTCAAAGCACATGTTGAGCTTCTCGTGGCCCGCGACGTACTTGTGCATCTTGAACTCGGAGCCCTGGATCGGGATGAGACCGCTCGGCTCGGTGGCACTTGGCGACTTGAAGTAGAAGATGAAGCCTACACAGCGCGTCGTATACGTGGCAGCATGCAGCAGCGGCTACCGTCGGCGAGGACAAAGACGCGGAGCACGACGTGGTGGATGGTCTTGCCGCGCTTCGTGAGCGTCGGCGCGCCCGCGAGGTCGAAGCTCCGGAAGACGTCGATCGCGAGCTCCGACTGGCGGCGCGTGAGGAGGTTGAGCCCTGGCATGCTTGCTTCCATCTGCGTACTGCAATATGGGCACCTCGCCATCTATTTTTAGACTGAAAGGTATCCGGATAAAACCGGATGCACCGAATCTTCATCCCTGTTGCCACCCCACTCGACCACGCTACACGATGGAGCGGTGCACTATCAGTCGTGGGCTGGACAAAGTTGAGCGCTCGTGACATTCCGTTGCGGAGGCGACGGGGTGCAAAGGCAGCGTTTTTATACTACAGAGATGCGGCGATGCATGCTAGCCGGGCAGACTATAATACCCTACCCCTCGTACGTTAGTACGTTGAAACGCATCGACCTCATCATTTGCCCCTCGGAAACAAAACTTGTGATGCGTCTGCAGGCACCGATGTTTTCTGCGAGCTGTCCACGCAGTCCCTAATGCGTAGTCACCAAACAACCAGCCTCGTGAGGATCATATCACTCAGATATACATGCTCGCTTCAAGCAAGAAAGCGGTCAAGTGCTGATCAAACACATGTTTCGAGGAATCAATTTGCTAGCGTCGGCTTTTGCGGCGGGTGAGGGAGGACGAGCGCGATTCGTTCGAGTCGTTGGTGAGGTGTGATAGGATCGCGTCTTGGTGCATCGCCATCTCGGTCTGCTGTGTCGCAGCGGCGTCTTGTTGCGTTGCCATCGCACCTTGCTGCGTCGCAATTGCTCGAAGTTGACTTGAAAGCATCTCCAAATGAGCCGTCATCACTTCCATGCGCCTCTCTGCCGACTCGTTGAGCTGGCTCGTCAACGCCTCGAAGCGGGCGGTCACCACTTCAATCTCCTTCGTCGTTGATGTGCGCAGCTCAGCCAGCTCGAGGCGGAGTTTTTCGTTCTCTTCATCGACGTGGCTGACAACGTCGTCTCGGGGTACGTCGGCAAGCGCCGTCGTGATCGCTGCAAGTTTATTGGTCAAAAGCGCCTCCAATGTGGTGCGCTGGTTGATCTGGTGGAGCATTACGCAGTTGGCGTGGTCGTCAACCGGCTCTGTCGACATCGAGCGATTCCAGGCACTCAGAAGCTGCGCCTTAAGATTCCGAAGATCCTTGGATGTTCGCTTCTCGAGCTTGGCGAGGATCTCCTTCTTGAACTGGCCGCGGCTGCGTCGCGCCACCTCGATCGCACCCAACAGCTGCTGTTGAGCAGTCGCCAGCACGTCAAACTCACGTGCAAACACCTCGCGGACGTTGAGATCGGTAAAGTGACTGACGTGGTCCAGACCATCGACCACAAACCCGATCTGGTCCATGACGACCTTGTCCAGAATTTGCATCTGGTCGAGCCAGGCGGCGCGACTGGCCCCTGTTCGCTGCAGCGTCTCGGCTTGGTCTGGCGTCAGCACGAGGCTGGTGCGAGGGACACTCTCCGAAAAGATAGGATGCAGCGTTCGCTTCCCACAAGTGTCCTTGACATGCGTGAGTGCAATCGTCTCGGCTGGGTTGAGGTGCATGGCGCCTTCGAGCCGCAAGATGCACTGCGCATAACTCATCAGCGCTCGTGTCTTGGCCTTCTCGAGACCCCCCGTGACGGTCTGGTTCATCAACGCCAGCAAGACGTTGAGTAGCACGACGACCACGATCGCCGAGTGCAGCATCATGAGAAGAGCGACACCCGTGTACATGGCGGTAGGACTCGAGCTCATATTGTCCTCCAAAGAGGGAGAAAAGACGCTGAGGGAGTCCAGAGGGACTTGGCCAAACGCTACAAAGTAGGTTGTCATGAACGACTGACCGAGACTACCAAAGGCGTCGTCGCCGTGGCCTCGAAAGAGCTGGTAGAACGTCAGCGTCAAGCCCAGTTGGAAGACGCCAAAGAGAATGAAAAAGTTCCAAATGTCGCTCAAGAGGTCCGACATCATGGGCAAGAGATAGCTGGCCGACGAAACCACTTCGAGGAACTGAAGAGACAAGACCCAGAGGCCGAGCGTGAGGGTGGCGCCGAGTCCGACCTGAATGTCGTCACTGACTCGGATCCAGCCGACTTGGATTGGAACAAACAGACACAAGATGACGGCGTAGTTTGATCAGCTGCACGCGGTTCATCGAGGTGACTGAG